GCCACAGTGCCGACCATCTCGGTCATTATCTTCAAACCGGAGGCGAGGAAAGACTGCTGCGTGACCTCCGTCACCGCCTTCAGCAGATCCTCCTTGAATGAATTCAGGAACTCTTCCGGCAAGGCCTGCGCTGGGGTGGTCGGCGGCGGCGGCTGCACGACGAGGCGGGGAGACACGGCGGCTGCAATGTTGGTCTGCGCGGCGCCGATGTATTTTATGAACGTCTCCTCCAAAGCCTTCCTCGCCTCACCCACCTCACCCGTCACGTGGTCGGCCAATTGGTCCACCGCGGTCGCTCGAGCGACCGCCATTCGTCCGTTGGGGGCGTCAATATCCAGCAGCATCTGCCTCGCTAGCTCGGCAAACCTCTTGCCCGATTCAACTGCGTTCTCCAGGTTGCTGGTGAGGTCCTCGGTGATTGTGGCCGCCATGGTCGACGTGGCCTCTTTGAGGCGCTCCACCGATTTCCGGTCGGTGTCCGCAACCTGGGCGGTCAATGCCGTGAGCTTGTCGAGGATCCCAGCTACCGCCGCCGCCAAGCAGTCGACCCGCCCCGCCTGATCACCGAGCTGCCGTTGCAAGCGTGCATTGTCGGCACGCAATTGTCGGTTCTCCGCACGCAGCTGCTCGACGACGTCCGGCATCGCCTGCCGACCAACTGCGGTGGAACTTGGATGACCGCTCACCGCCTTCTTTTTCCTGGACCGCTCCCCCCCGGCCTTCTCTGCGGTAGCATCGGTATGCATTTCCACGCCCGTCTGCTTCGTCGCCGCGGCGAAATCCCCATCTTCGTCGGCCTCGAGGTCGACAACTTCCTTCCCTTCGCCGACAACGACCATCCCACTCCCCCCGTGAGCCGCCTCCTCGCCGACCTCCTTGCTGGGTTCCGCTGTCGCCCCCTTCCCCTCTCCTTCGATTTCCGCCGATCTCCCACCCGTTTCCGCCGCTCCTTCTGCAACGTTCCCCTCCGCCATTTCCACGTCCACCTCTTCGTCATGCTGCTCCTCTTGCTGCTCGTGGTGCTGCCTCTCGTGCTCCTGCTTCTTCTGCTCCTGCTGCTCCTGCTCCTCCACCGACTCCGACACCGACTCCGACTCCGACTCCTCCGAGCCCCCCTCATCCTCACGATCCGCCTCACGACCCTGGACCCCATCATCATCCCCATGAACAACCTCGTCCCGGTGCTTCTCCTCGGTCCCGGCCACCCCATGTCCTGCTGCCGCATCGGCCTCGTCGACGCCGCTACCCGGCTTCCCGACCGAGGTGCCACGCGCATCAGCGACGGCAGGGGCGACACCGCCAGCTTGGGGCGCCGACTGAACCTCCTCGCCGTCGTCGTCACAGACGTCGGCCGCAACTACGTTTCGGCCCGACCGTATGAGCGCGACCTGCTTCTTGATGAAGGCTACCATCTCAGTCCGCAGCCCCTTCAACCCCGCAACAGCGACCTTGTCCATGCTGGTGGCACTGCGACGGAGGGCGCCGGCCAACCGATCCTTCCGCCTCACAGCCCAGAGCAACGCGCTCATTGCTAGCAGGCCGGAGCCCGCGTCCCCGTCCCGGACGGTGTCGGGCACTTTCTGCACACAACACAGGAGAGCGCTGATATGAGCACCGAGATCGGCAGTCGCATCTCGCAAGGACGAACGGCAGTTGCATCGCGCAAGGAATTGACACCAAACGTACGAAACTCACATCTCGAAGGGGTTCGTCGCAGTCGGCGAGCCTCGCATGCACCTCCTCCTCGGACGGCTTCGCCCAGTCCCATTTCCTACCTTCGCGCCGAAGCTCGGCCATTACAGCCGCCCGGAAAAACCTGCAAAGCATGGCACAGACGGTCAGTTAGCACGGTGCACGCTCCGCATTGACAACGCAAGCGGCGTCGACTACACTATTGAGCTCACTCCAGCACGCGTTTCGCCTCTTTGATGTGCCACTCCTTCACAGTCTGCGGGTCGGCGTGCCGGATCGAGGTCCTGATCAACTGGCCCGATGCCTTCAACAAGTCGCCGGGGCACAGGATGATAATGACGCTGCAATGTGTTCCCGGAAGCGGTGCGATGCTGCACAGACAATGGACGTCGACATAGATCAGAACACATAATCGACGCAGGTTGCACCACACGCGCGACGACCCCGAACACCCTCACCTCGATATCAGTGGGATAACCGCCACGTCGGCGTCAAAAACCTTCGCGAAGACGGTATGGTCGTTCTGACCCATCGCCGCCCTAAGACGGCCGACTCCTATCGACCACAGCCGCTGGTCCTCCTCCGTTCCGCGCAACCATGCGTGCCTGCACGCATGCATGATCAGGAGGAGTGCGTGAGGATGTGGTCGGGACGCCGGCAGATACTACGGTTGCGGCAACAACGCATCGCCTACGCCGACCAGACACCTTACGTCGGCGCCACCGATGTGATCGACATCCCTAATCCCTAACCCATGAGTCCGTCGACCTAAAAGACGGGTATTATGAAACCACGCTAGGGCTATCACCAGCATGAAATAACGACGCCGACATCCCCATACGTCACTCACTTGAGGCCGAGTCCCAAGCAACGGGCGTTAAACTCTAGCATAGGGTTTGTCAGAACGGCGTAGTCGTGTTCCTCGAACTTGGATGTGAGTCCTCTACCGACGCTTAGATACAGGGGGAAGTCGCGCGAGGTCGGCGTCGCTTCGTCGGCTTTCTGGTCGGCCGCCATGGCGGGAGAGCGAGGATGCTATGCTACGGGCTAAGGGAAGAAACGGTGGGAGAATGGAAGGCGCAGAGGTGGGAAAAGAACATGAAAGAGAAACGAGAACGCGAAAATGAAGGGACAGCCCACCTCCAACGAGGAAAAGCCAGGCGGAGCCTCGCAGGCCCGGTTGAGCGTCGCCCAGGGGGCCGTGGTCCCTGGCTCGGCAGGGCTCGTGCACGGGTGGCGTGGCACAAGTGCACCCTCGCCGCCGAGCCAGCAGGTCGACGTCACGTCCCCTGGCCGACCGAGGCCAGGGGACGCAAATTCGCATGCACGCGGTGCGACGTTTCGGCACCACGTGTCGATTTCGCAGCGGGTCGCGAAAACCGTGCGCCTTGGTGCGAGAGACCCAGGACTTCGCTCGATTTTCGACGGGTACGAAATGTCGCATGCATAAAAAATAGCGATGCGAAACGACGGGAGGGCACGTGGCGTCACCGCAACGGGTCGCGAAATCGCCGAGCGTCCCGAGGAAGCCCCCGAATTTCGCACGGGCCTCGCCTGCCCGTACGGGCAGGCCGCGATGGGTTACTAGGACCTCGCGGGCAGGAGGGACGGGTGGGCTGCCTTCGCGCCGGGGTTACTTTCCCTCGCGCGAGGTCTCGCCAGCTCGCCGCCCCCACCCGGTAACGTGGGTCGCTGTTCACTTCCGGGGGGGGTTTTGCGGGGCGGCGGTCGTGCGCTCGGCCCAGCCCTGGGCCAGGCTGGCGGGCCCGCACGCGCGTCAGTCGCCCGCCTCGTCAGACCCCCTTCCGTCGACCCTGGCAATTCGGCTCCGTCGACCGAATTCCGCTGGGATCTTCAGAGAAAATCAGCACATCCACGCACCAACATCCACAACCCTGCAATATAGACCTATAAACAAAATCCTGTCTTAGAACAAATAAATATTGACTCTCAACGAAATCGTGGAACGGAATCCCTTGCATTTACTGCAATATGGTGACGAATCTACCAAGCAGCTCCCCTTCTCCCTCAAGCTGCCATTCCATCTCCATAACCTGCAACCCCATCACCAATACCATAACATTTCTAGCCAGAGCTCCAAGAGTGGTTGAAGCACAACCCAACGACTCTCTTGCATGGTTTAGTTCTTCCTCACTCCACATTGTCACCCTCCTAACAAACCTTCTCTAGGCTGCTTCACACTGGCCTCCTCAACCCATCTCGGCAGTTTAGTCAGAAACTGCCAAAAAAGGCTGCTCCTAGGAACCATCCTTGAAGTTAGAACCAATGCTACTTCCCATCACGCTTTCAACCACACAAGATGCACTACCTCCTCCTGCTCCACCATCCCCACTGCATCCTGCACCCTCGGCCTGCTCACAGTACATCTTATCACACTGAAAACGTATCACCAGACCCCCTTTCTCGGCAGACCACCCACAATCTAACCAATCCCGAAACCTCACCAGCCCTACTGCTTCACCCTACTACCTCACCACACCCACCACCTCACCAGCCCCACTCTCCTACCAGCCCTGAATTTTCACTACCCTACTGCTTCGCGCTGCTATCTCATAACCTTCACTATCCCATCGGCCCTACTGCTTCACCCTACTACCTCACCACCCTCACCATTCCACCTAACCTAGTGCCCCAACCTGCTACAGCACCATCCCTGAACGATTTTCTCCATCGTTGCGCGCCTTCCATTTTCCAGCTCATAATCTCCTCCTTGTCCCTGCCACCTTTCACCGCCCCAAACCATAACAGCCGACAAGGTGGGTGCTTCTCAGGAGGACGACTTTTGAGGCGTCTCAAAAAAGCCCTGCTAGCTCACCACACCTTAACGATTTTCTCCCACATTGCCTGCCTCTCCTCCATTCGCTGACTCATAGTCTCCTCGTCTCTTCCCCCCTTCGCTGCCCCAAACCCCAACAGCCGATGCGCTGGGTGCCTTTTCAGTCTACTAAAAACTCGACCCTACCACAACTTGACGATTTTCTCCCTCGTTGCCCGCCTTTCCTCAATCCGCTGACTCATAATCTCCTCACCGTCCCTGCCCCTCTTTCGCCAGCCCAAGCCTGGGGGAAGCCGATGCGCTGGGTGCTTTTTCAGTTTACTAAATAAACAACCCTGCTACCTCACCACCCCTTAACGATTTTCTCCCTCGTTGCCCGCCTCTCCTCCATCCGCTGACTCATAGTCTCCTCGTCGTCACTGCCCCCCTTCGCCAGACCCAACCCCGACAGCCGATGCGCTGGGTGATTCTCAGGAGGACAGATCTTGGCGTCTCAAAAAGAACTGCTAGCTCACCACCCCTTAACAATTTTCTCCCTCGTTGCCCGCCTCTCCTCCATGCGCTGACTCATAGTCTCCTCATCGTCCCTTCCACCTTTCGCCGGCCCAAACCCCGACAACCGGTGCGCTGGGTGCTTCTCAGGGGGCCCAGCCGACGGGTCCAGAAGAGACAAGATATGCGAAGCCCAGTACAGGGACTCCGGCGGGCCTTCGTTCTGCACTCTTTTCACCGCAGTGAGTCCGCCACTAGCGAGGATGTAAGTCGCGGATACCTTGTTAGAGGACAGGACGTAGAGGGCCCACGCGGCGTTCTTAGAAGCCTCGGGATTGTCGTTCTGACAGAGAAGGTCTAGAAGAAGGGGACACGCGCCTGCTCCCGCTACAGTCAGCTTGTTCTCGTCGTGATTCACAGCGAGTGTGCCTAAAGCGAGCGCCGCTTTCTCCTGCTCGGGAGGCGAGCCTTCCTTCAGCATAGTCACAAGAGCTGGAACACCCCCTGCTTCCGCTACAGCCGTCTGGTTCTTAACATTGTTGGCTGTGAGCTGCGCTAGTGCCTCTGCTGCTTCCTGCTTCGCCTCACTCTCGGAATCCGATTGGATAATCGCGACTAGCGACGGGACGGCTTCTGATGCGGCTATTATAACCTTATTCTCCGTGTTCACCGCTAGGTTCCATAGCACCCGCGCCGCGACCGCTCTCGCCTCGGGGCCGCCGGTGCGCAGGAGCGACACAAACGAGGGCACGCACCCCGCTTTAGCGATCACCACTCGGTTCTCGTCTAGGCACGCGAGACGCAGCAGCACGCGCGCGGCGGCTAGTTTCGTGGGTTCCCCGGGGCTATCGGGGAGAGTGAGGAGGACCGAGAGCACTGGGACCGCGCCGGCCGCGGCGACGCTAAGCTTCCCCTCATCCGATTCCGCCAGTTCTAGCAGCGCCGCCAGCGCCGCGCGCTTCTCCGCGGGGGACCCGTCTATGAGCGCGGAGACGAGCACGCGCGCGTGGTCGGATTCCGAACAAATGCTGCTTACGCTGGGGGGAGCGCGGGGGTACCCAGATGCATGCCTGACGTGGGTTGACGTGTAATCAGAATCCGGCATCTCTCCGTTAGCGTCTTCGTACATCTCCTCCGAACCACCCGCTTGCCTGGCCGCATTCGCGCGTCGCACGTTCGGGATGTCCATCGAGAACTCCCCGGGAGTGCCGCGCGCCGCTGCCACGTCAGCGGCGTCCGTGGAGGAGAACGAGCGGGGCATCGGCATCGCCTCGCCGGCCGTGCCAGGCCGATCCAACTCCGGCACCAAACGCCGCTGCTGCCGCTGCTGCTGCGAAGAATGGCGATCCCCGTGACCATGACCGCCATAAACCCCGTGGCTCCCGCGCGCGCCGCGGGACACCTGCTCTGGCAAGCCGTCGCTTCCGGACCGCGGAAGCGCGCGGGGGCGGGGACTGTGCGCACCCGGTTGCCTGCCTCCGTTCCAAGCGCGTGGGGAGCGGTCTACCATGGGGCTGGAAGGGAGAATCACCTCGGTTGAAAAACCCCGCTGCAAACCTCCACCCGCGGAACCGTAATCCGAGCCTAAACGCTCCCCTGCGTCTCCGATAACTCTTCCGCCGGTACCTCCGCCGATACCCCCGCGGTCGCTGTTGGCGCCGCCAGAAGCAGGAGGGGCGCCGGTAGCACTACGCGGCGCGTAGCCGCTTCGACCGTGGAAATTGTCCTGGCCAATCAGAATGAGGCATTCCGTGTGGCACTGCCGGATCTCCGCTAAACAGGTCTCCAGGCGCTCCGCGATTTCCGATCGGCGCTTAAAGCGGAACATAATGCCGAGCACGGACGCCTTAGTGCTGGTCTCCAGAAGATGCCTCGCCTCCTGTAACTCTGTAACCAGACGCTCGAAGACGAAGGTGGCTCTGGGGTCGTGGATGAGGCTCATTGACGAAGCCTGCAGCCGGCGAAGCACGGGGAGAAGCTGCTGCGTACGCGTCGCAATCCGATCCGTTAATAGCCGGTGGGAGCGAGACTGCGACGCTGTAGCGGCTATTTGCAGAATGCGCTCTGCGAGGGATATTGCCGTCGCGAGCTCGGCTAACACGCGACGGTCGGCATTGTCTGAACCTGTTTCGGCTTCCGCAACATTTTCAGCGGGGTGGCGATTTCCGGACGCGCGGCCGTGACGGGAACTATCATGATGGTTTCGTTGGCTGCGATAACGATGATCATTATCGTGATCTGAGACGGGTTGGATCTCGGCATCCATTTTGTGCCGTTCTCTCAGCGGCACAACGCAAATAGCTTAGCTTGAAGCGACAGCGAAGCTTCTGCTTTAGGAATTAAGCTTATTATTTCCAACTGCGGGTACAAGATTGAAAGTAGATAAGGAAAGTAGAAGTCCCAACCGAAAACCGACGCCTACGGCTTAGAAGAGATTGTTCCGGAGACATGGCGCAAGACTAGGCCATAAAGAATTGAAGGGAGGGGAGGAGAGGAGGATATGAACAGAAGCATACAATGGTTGCGGAGCGGAGCAGGAACATCAGCGATCAAAGGGAAGAGATAAAATGATGATGGTAGGCCCAACATGACTGTAGCGCATCCAACGAGTCCCAACGAACTCATACGAAATACTGACGAGAAAGGAGCGAACAGGATTTTCCTTCGTGAACCAATAACGCCAAGGCACCCACGAACCAAGTGGACACGCGTGTGCGCTGGGAGGGTGGCTTGTGGGGGAAGGGTCGTCTTGTCGGTGTGTGTTTGGGAGCTGTGGGACTAAAACGAGGTGGAGCCTTGGGAGTGTCACCACTGGCTGTGGGAGAAGGAAAAGGGACTCCAAGCAGACTAAGGGTGTGATACAAACGGAGAGCGGCGCGGGTGCGGTGGTGGCTGTTGAGAATGGCGTGGGTGATATTGAGAAAATTCAGTACCCTGTGAACAGCAGCTGGTCACAGTGGGTGGAACGTAGATACGGTACTACAATCAGTGGGCAAAACTTTCCAAAGTACTCAGAAAACCCATCATCACCCAAGGCCTCAACACAAATCTAGAACAAAACATTTTGCACGGTGCCGCAATCAACTCCTGAACCCGTCACATGAAAACACTGTATTAGAGTAACTTGAAGCTCAATAAATACCACCGAACGTTCTTAGCGTGCGGAAGAAGCAGAAGAACCCCTTGTACCACTGCAGCCCTCCTGCTTCTGCTTCTGCTGCCTCCCTCATCAATCTGATCAGCTCCAACACGAGCCGTTGATCCTCCGAATTACTGGAATGAACGGGAGCAAAAGTTGGAAAACCAATCAATAGAGAGACACATACCAGTGAAGCAAGATACAAACAAGAACCCGGCCGAAGAAGGCAAAGGGAAAGATTACCACACAACCGTGACAGAAACAGAAACAGCAGGAGGTACAATCACAGGCCATGCAACACTGCAATACCGCTCTGCCTTACCATTGCGGTGGTGACGTCAACCACGTGTCAACCAATGATGTCCTGCACAGCATCGGATCGCAGCAGCAGACGCAGCGAGTCCTCTCTCCTGCGACCACTGAGAAGACGTCTCATCTCAACACTTACCAGTACGGAGAGGTCAACCATGCAATGATGTCCTGCAAGGCATCGGATCTCAGCAGCAGCCTGAGGGAGTCGTCCCCTCCGGTGCGATTCTTGACATGTTTCATCTCACAGCTTACCAGTACGGAGAGGTCAGCCACGAGATGATGTCCTGCATGGCGTCTGATCTCAGCAGAAGCCGCAGCGAGTCCTCCCTCCGGTGCGATTCTGGAAATGTCTCATCTCACAGCTTACCAGTACGGAGAGGTCAGCCACGAGATGATGTCCTGCATGGCGTCTGATCTCAGCAGAAGCCGCAGCGAGTCCTCCCTCCGGTGCGATTCTGGAAATGTCTCATCTCACAGCTTACCAGTACGGAGAGGTCAGCCACGAGATGATGTCCTGCATGGCGTCTGATCTCAGCAGAAGCCGCAGCGAGTCCTCCCTCCGGTGCGATTCTGGAAATGTCTCATCTCACAGCTTACCAGTACGGAGAGGTCAGCCACGAGATGATGTCCTGCATGGCGTCTGATCTCAGCAGAAGCCGCAGCGAGTCCTCCCTCCGGTGCGATTCTGGAAATGTCTCATCTCACAGCTTACCAGTACGGAGAGGTCAGCCACGAGATGATGTCCTGCATGGCGTCTGATCTCAGCAGAAGCCGCAGCGAGTCCTCCCTCCGGTGCGATTCTGGAAATGTCTCATCTCACAGCTTACCAGTACGGAGAGGTCAGCCACGAGATGATGTCCTGCATGGCGTCTGATCTCAGCAGAAGCCGCAGCGAGTCCTCCCTCCGGTGCGATTCTGGAAATGTCTCATCTCACAGCTTACCAGTACGGAGAGGTCAGCCACGAGATGATGTCCTGCATGGCGTCTGATCTCAGCAGAAGCCGCAGCGAGTCCTCCCTCCGGTGCGATTCTGGAAATGTCTCATCTCACAGCTTACCAGTACGGAGAGGTCAGCCACGAGATGATGTCCTGCATGGCGTCTGATCTCAGCAGAAGCCGCAGCGAGTCCTCCCTCCGGTGCGATTCTGGAAATGTCTCATCTCACAGCTTACCAGTACGGAGAGGTCAGCCACGAGATGATGTCCTGCATGGCGTCTGATCTCAGCAGAAGCCGCAGCGAGTCCTCCCTCCGGTGCGATTCTGGAAATGTCTCATCTCACAGCTTACCAGTACGGAGAGGTCAGCCACGAGATGATGTCCTGCATGGCGTCTGATCTCAGCAGAAGCCGCAGCGAGTCCTCCCTCCGGTGCGATTCTGGAAATGTCTCATCTCACAGCTTACCAGTACGGAGAGGTCAGCCACGAGATGATGTCCTGCATGGCGTCTGATCTCAGCAGAAGCCGCAGCGAGTCCTCCCTCCGGTGCGATTCTGGAAATGTCTCATCTCACAGCTTACCAGTACGGAGAGGTCAGCCACGAGATGATGTCCTGCATGGCGTCTGATCTCAGCAGAAGCCGCAGCGAGTCCTCCCTCCGGTGCGATTCTGGAAATGTCTCATCTCACAGCTTACCAGTACGGAGAGGTCAGCCACGAGATGATGTCCTGCATGGCGTCTGATCTCAGCAGAAGCCGCAGCGAGTCCTCCCTCCGGTGCGATTCTGGAAATGTCTCATCTCACAGCTTACCAGTACGGAGAGGTCAGCCACGAGATGATGTCCTGCATGGCGTCTGATCTCAGCAGAAGCCGCAGCGAGTCCTCCCTCCGGTGCGATTCTGGAAATGTCTCATCTCACAGCTTACCAGTACGGAGAGGTCAGCCACGAGATGATGTCCTGCATGGCGTCTGATCTCAGCAGAAGCCGCAGCGAGTCCTCCCTCCGGTGCGATTCTGGAAATGTCTCATCTCACAGCTTACCAGTACGGAGAGGTCAGCCACGAGATGATGTCCTGCATGGCGTCTGATCTCAGCAGAAGCCGCAGCGAGTCCTCCCTCCGGTGCGATTCTGGAAATGTCTCATCTCACAGCTTACCAGTACGGAGAGGTCAGCCACGAGATGATGTCCTGCATGGCGTCTGATCTCAGCAGAAGCCGCAGCGAGTCCTCCCTCCGGTGCGATTCTGGAAATGTCTCATCTCACAGCTTACCAGTACGGAGAGGTCAGCCACGAGATGATGTCCTGCATGGCGTCTGATCTCAGCAGAAGCCGCAGCGAGTCCTCCCTCCGGTGCGATTCTGGAAATGTCTCATCTCACAGCTTACCAGTACGGAGAGGTCAGCCACGAGATGATGTCCTGCATGGCGTCTGATCTCAGCAGAAGCCGCAGCGAGTCCTCCCTCCGGTGCGATTCTGGAAATGTCTCATCTCACAGCTTACCAGTACGGAGAGGTCAGCCACGAGATGATGTCCTGCATGGCGTCTGATCTCAGCAGAAGCCGCAGCGAGTCCTCCCTCCGGTGCGATTCTGGAAATGTCTCATCTCACAGCTTACCAGTACGGAGAGGTCAGCCACGAGATGATGTCCTGCATGGCGTCTGATCTCAGCAGAAGCCGCAGCGAGTCCTCCCTCCGGTGCGATTCTGGAAATGTCTCATCTCACAGCTTACCAGTACGGAGAGGTCAGCCACGAGATGATGTCCTGCATGGCGTCTGATCTCAGCAGAAGCCGCAGCGAGTCCTCCCTCCGGTGCGATTCTGGAAATGTCTCATCTCACAGCTTACCAGTACGGAGAGGTCAGCCACGAGATGATGTCCTGCATGGCGTCTGATCTCAGCAGAAGCCGCAGCGAGTCCTCCCTCCGGTGCGATTCTGGAAATGTCTCATCTCACAGCTTACCAGTACGGAGAGGTCAGCCACGAGATGATGTCCTGCATGGCGTCTGATCTCAGCAGAAGCCGCAGCGAGTCCTCCCTCCGGTGCGATTCTGGAAATGTCTCATCTCACAGCTTACCAGTACGGAGAGGTCAGCCACGAGATGATGTCCTGCATGGCGTCTGATCTCAGCAGAAGCCGCAGCGAGTCCTCCCTCCGGTGCGATTCTGGAAATGTCTCATCTCACAGCTTACCAGTACGGAGAGGTCAGCCACGAGATGATGTCCTGCATGGCGTCTGATCTCAGCAGAAGCCGCAGCGAGTCCTCCCTCCGGTGCGATTCTGGAAATGTCTCATCTCACAGCTTACCAGTACGGAGAGGTCAGCCACGAGATGATGTCCTGCATGGCGTCTGATCTCAGCAGAAGCCGCAGCGAGTCCTCCCTCCGGTGCGATTCTGGAAATGTCTCATCTCACAGCTTACCAGTACGGAGAGGTCAGCCACGAGATGATGTCCTGCATGGCGTCTGATCTCAGCAGAAGCCGCAGCGAGTCCTCCCTCCGGTGCGATTCTGGAAATGTCTCATCTCACAGCTTACCAGTACGGAGAGGTCAGCCACGAGATGATGTCCTGCATGGCGTCTGATCTCAGCAGAAGCCGCAGCGAGTCCTCCCTCCGGTGCGATTCTGGAAATGTCTCATCTCACAGCTTACCAGTACGGAGAGGTCAGCCACGAGATGATGTCCTGCATGGCGTCTGATCTCAGCAGAAGCCGCAGCGAGTCCTCCCTCCGGTGCGATTCTGGAAATGTCTCATCTCACAGCTTACCAGTACGGAGAGGTCAGCCACGAGATGATGTCCTGCATGGCGTCTGATCTCAGCAGAAGCCGCAGCGAGTCCTCCCTCCGGTGCGATTCTGGAAATGTCTCATCTCACAGCTTACCAGTACGGAGAGGTCAGCCACGAGATGATGTCCTGCATGGCGTCTGATCTCAGCAGAAGCCGCAGCGAGTCCTCCCTCCGGTGCGATTCTGGAAATGTCTCATCTCACAGCTTACCAGTACGGAGAGGTCAGCCACGAGATGATGTCCTGCATGGCGTCTGATCTCAGCAGAAGCCGCAGCGAGTCCTCCCTCCGGTGCGATTCTGGAAATGTCTCATCTCACAGCTTACCAGTACGGAGAGGTCAGCCACGAGATGATGTCCTGCATGGCGTCTGATCTCAGCAGAAGCCGCAGCGAGTCCTCCCTCCGGTGCGATTCTGGAAATGTCTCATCTCACAGCTTACCAGTACGGAGAGGTCAGCCACGAGATGATGTCCTGCATGGCGTCTGATCTCAGCAGAAGCCGCAGCGAGTCCTCCCTCCGGTGCGATTCTGGAAATGTCTCATCTCACAGCTTACCAGTACGGAGAGGTCAGCCACGAGATGATGTCCTGCATGGCGTCTGATCTCAGCAGAAGCCGCAGCGAGTCCTCCCTCCGGTGCGATTCTGGAAATGTCTCATCTCACAGCTTACCAGTACGGAGAGGTCAGCCACGAGATGATGTCCTGCATGGCGTCTGATCTCAGCAGAAGCCGCAGCGAGTCCTCCCTCCGGTGCGATTCTGGAAATGTCTCATCTCACAGCTTACCAGTACGGAGAGGTCAGCCACGAGATGATGTCCTGCATGGCGTCTGATCTCAGCAGAAGCCGCAGCGAGTCCTCCCTCCGGTGCGATTCTGGAAATGTCTCATCTCACAGCTTACCAGTACGGAGAGGTCAGCCACGAGATGATGTCCTGCATGGCGTCTGATCTCAGCAGAAGCCGCAGCGAGTCCTCCCTCCGGTGCGATTCTGGAAATGTCTCATCTCACAGCTTACCAGTACGGAGAGGTCAGCCACGAGATGATGTCCTGCATGGCGTCTGATCTCAGCAGAAGCCGCAGCGAGTCCTCCCTCCGGTGCGATTCTGGAAATGTCTCATCTCACAGCTTACCAGTACGGAGAGGTCAGCCACGAGATGATGTCCTGCATGGCGTCTGATCTCAGCAGAAGCCGCAGCGAGTCCTCCCTCCGGTGCGATTCTGGAAATGTCTCATCTCACAGCTTACCAGTACGGAGAGGTCAGCCACGAGATGATGTCCTGCATGGCGTCTGATCTCAGCAGAAGCCGCAGCGAGTCCTCCCTCCGGTGCGATTCTGGAAATGTCTCATCTCACAGCTTACCAGTACGGAGAGGTCAGCCACGAGATGATGTCCTGCATGGCGTCTGATCTCAGCAGAAGCCGCAGCGAGTCCTCCCTCCGGTGCGATTCTGGAAATGTCTCATCTCACAGCTTACCAGTACGGAGAGGTCAGCCACGAGATGATGTCCTGCATGGCGTCTGATCTCAGCAGAAGCCGCAGCGAGTCCTCCCTCCGGTGCGATTCTGGAAATGTCTCATCTCACAGCTTACCAGTACGGAGAGGTCAGCCACGAGATGATGTCCTGCATGGCGTCTGATCTCAGCAGAAGCCGCAGCGAGTCCTCCCTCCGGTGCGATTCTGGAAATGTCTCATCTCACAGCTTACCAGTACGGAGAGGTCAGCCACGAGATGATGTCCTGCATGGCGTCTGATCTCAGCAGAAGCCGCAGCGAGTCCTCCCTCCGGTGCGATTCTGGAAATGTCTCATCTCACAGCTTACCAGTACGGAGAGGTCAGCCACGAGATGATGTCCTGCATGGCGTCTGATCTCAGCAGAAGCCGCAGCGAGTCCTCCCTCCGGTGCGATTCTGGAAATGTCTCATCTCACAGCTTACCAGTACGGAGAGGTCAGCCACGAGATGATGTCCTGCATGGCGTCTGATCTCAGCAGAAGCCGCAGCGAGTCCTCCCTCCGGTGCGATTCTGGAAATGTCTCATCTCACAGCTTACCAGTACGGAGAGGTCAGCCACGAGATGATGTCCTGCATGGCGTCTGATCTCAGCAGAAGCCGCAGCGAGTCCTCCCTCCGGTGCGATTCTGGAAATGTCTCATCTCACAGCTTACCAGTACGGAGAGGTCAGCCACGAGATGATGTCCTGCATGGCGTCTGATCTCAGCAGAAGCCGCAGCGAGTCCTCCCTCCGGTGCGATTCTGGAAATGTCTCATCTCACAGCTTACCAGTACGGAGAGGTCAGCCACGAGATGATGTCCTGCATGGCGTCTGATCTCAGCAGAAGCCGCAGCGAGTCCTCCCTCCGGTGCGATTCTGGAAATGTCTCATCTCACAGCTTACCAGTACGGAGAGGTCAGCCACGAGATGATGTCCTGCATGGCGTCTGATCTCAGCAGAAGCCGCAGCGAGTCCTCCCTCCGGTGCGATTCTGGAAATGTCTCATCTCACAGCTTACCAGTACGGAGAGGTCAGCCACGAGATGATGTCCTGCATGGCGTCTGATCTCAGCAGAAGCCGCAGCGAGTCCTCCCTCCGGTGCGATTCTGGAAATGTCTCATCTCACAGCTTACCAGTACGGAGAGGTCAGCCACGAGATGATGTCCTGCATGGCGTCTGATCTCAGCAGAAGCCGCAGCGAGTCCTCCCTCCGGTGCGATTCTGGAAATGTCTCATCTCACAGCTTACCAGTACGGAGAGGTCAGCCACGAGATGATGTCCTGCATGGCGTCTGATCTCAGCAGAAGCCGCAGCGAGTCCTCCCTCCGGTGCGATTCTGGAAATGTCTCATCTCACAGCTTACCAGTACGGAGAGGTCAGCCACGAGATGATGTCCTGCATGGCGTCTGATCTCAGCAGAAGCCGCAGCGAGTCCTCCCTCCGGTGCGATTCTGGAAATGTCTCATCTCACAGCTTACCAGTACGGAGAGGTCAGCCACGAGATGATGTCCTGCATGGCGTCTGATCTCAGCAGAAGCCGCAGCGAGTCCTCCCTCCGGTGCGATTCTGGAAATGTCTCATCTCACAGCTTACCAGTACGGAGAGGTCAGCCACGAGATGATGTCCTGCATGGCGTCTGATCTCAGCAGAAGCCGCAGCGAGTCCTCCCTCCGGTGCGATTCTGGAAATGTCTCATCTCACAGCTTACCAGTACGGAGAGGTCAGCCACGAGATGATGTCCTGCATGGCGTCTGATCTCAGCAGAAGCCGCAGCGAGTCCTCCCTCCGGTGCGATTCTGGAAATGTCTCATCTCACAGCTTACCAGTACGGAGAGGTCAGCCACGAGATGATGTCCTGCATGGCGTCTGATCTCAGCAGAAGCCGCAGCGAGTCCTCCCTCCGGTGCGATTCTGGAAATGTCTCATCTCACAGCTTACCAGTACGGAGAGGTCAGCCACGAGATGATGTCCTGCATGGCGTCTGATCTCAGCAGAAGCCGCAGCGAGTCCTCCCTCCGGTGCGATTCTGGAAATGTCTCATCTCACAGCTTACCAGTACGGAGAGGTCAGCCACGAGATGATGTCCTGCATGGCGTCTGATCTCAGCAGAAGCCGCAGCGAGTCCTCCCTCCGGTGCGATTCTGGAAATGTCTCATCTCACAGCTTACCAGTACGGAGAGGTCAGCCACGAGATGATGTCCTGCATGGCGTCTGATCTCAGCAGAAGCCGCAGCGAGTCCTCCCTCCGGTGCGATTCTGGAAATGTCTCATCTCACAGCTTACCAGTACGGAGAGGTCAGCCACGAGATGATGTCCTGCATGGCGTCTGATCTCAGCAGAAGCCGCAGCGAGTCCTCCCTCCGGTGCGATTCTGGAAATGTCTCATCTCACAGCTTACCAGTACGGAGAGGTCAGCCACGAGATGATGTCCTGCACGGCATCGGATCTCAGCAGCAGCCGCAGCGAGTCCTCCCTCCGGTGTGCCTCCACGCGCACCAGAATGGCCAGGTGGCGCTGAAACGTGAGAGTCAGCTCCGCCACGCTCAGCCGCGCCTCTAAATACTCGGTCTCACCTTCCCCTCCTCCCCTGTTCCCCGCTCCTCCCCTTGCTCCTCCTCCCCCTGCTCCTCCTGCTGCTGCTCCTGCTGCTGCTCCTGCTTCTCCTTCTGCTGTTCCTGCTTCTCCTCTTGCTGTCGCAGCAGCAGTTTCTGGTTCCGTTATTCTTTCAGTGCTAGCTGCGGCTCCTGCTGCTTCTCCTGGTGTGCCCTCTGGCGGTGGCGCTGAGCCTACAGGTAACAACGGTGGAGTGCTGTTCGGTGGTGTGCTCTGTAGTGCTGTGCTGTGCGGTGGTGTTCTGTGCAGTGCTGCATCACTCAGCGCACCTGGAGTATGCGGGCTAGAGCCTGGAGACATGGATGCGGCTGGTAGGGCAGCGGACGCAGGCAGAGGGCTAGACGGGGAGGGCTGCTGTGGTGATGAGTCAGCCGCGTGCGGTGATGAGTCAGCAGCAGGAGAAGTGGTGGTGGCTGTTGCTGCCCCACCCTCTCCTGCCCTCTCAACAGCTGCACTGGCAGCACCAGCACCACCAGCAGCAGCAGCAGAACCAGAACCAGAATCGCTAGCACCAGCAGCACCAGCACTAGCACCAGCAGCAGCAACACCAGCAGAATCACCAGCACCACTACTGCCAGGATCACCAACAGCAGCAGCAGAAGTATCACCACCACCACCATCACCATTACCACCCACACCAGCAACACCAGGATCAGCACCAGCAGCAGCAGCAGTGGCACCAGACTCACCACCCCCTACATCAGAACTAGCAGCAGCAGCAGCAGCAGCAGCGGTCCAGGTAACATGGTCCTCTAGCCTGGGCGGCCACTCAGCACGAGACACCACCTCAGCCTCCACCACCCCCCCTCCAAAGCTACTGCTCCCATCATTCCACCGCTCCCGCCTCGACGCACTCCGAGAGAGTGACTTGGACAGCGACCGGGAGAGCGACCCTGGTAACCCCGCCGCTGCCAGCTCCCCTTCGATCTCAGATAAGATCTCCCGCCGCGACGAGCTTCGCGACATGGACTGCCGCACCACCGGCAAAACACCGGAGAATTCACCTGAGAGCGCGCCGGAGAGGTCGCGGCGCGAGCCGCTACGGGACAAGGAGGGGGAGTCTGCAGGAGCAGCGCGGCGCGAGGCACTTCTGGAGAAGGTCAGAGGTGAGTCGGGTACGATTTCCCTGCGGGATAGTGCAGGCCGGGCTACGGGCGTTCCTGGTACTCCTGCTGCTAGCACCGCTCCCAACCCACCCCCACCTGCTGCTGGTGCTGCTGCTGCACCGGCTGCCACTGCTGCTGCTGCTCCAGCAAACAACGGCCCTGGTGGTGGCCCTAGGGTAGCAGAAGGAGCGAGCCGGGGTGAGTCAGGGACGATTTCGCGCCGAGAGCTGCTTCTAGAGAGGCCGTATGCGCCAATGGAAGCGGGTGTGCGCGGCGAGTTGGGGACGATCTCGCGGCGAGAGCTGCTTCTGGGGAGGCCGTACGCGCCTATGGCTGAGGCCCACGCTGTTGCCTCCGCTGCTGCAGGTGGTGGTGCGTCCTGTGAGCTGGACCCGCTCCTCACAATTGACCCACCGCTAGCTCCCCCTGCTGCCCCTCCTGCCGCTTCCGCTATGCCTGTTGTTCCCACCCCTGCCGCTCCTGCTGCCACTCCTGCTGCCCCTGCTGCTGCTCCAGGCAGTTCGTGGCGCGAGCTACTGCGCGACATGGAAAGAAGATCACTGGCACCACCAACGCCCTCTCGCTTGGATAGACTGCGAACGAGAACGCTGATGTTGCTGCGACGCCCACTCGTAGACCCCACGCCTCCTCGCTCCATCGCTGCTGCCACTCCTGCCAGACCAGGCATACCACCACCACCCACAGCCACTCCCAGCAACTGCTGCTGCTGGCTTGCTTGCTCCTGCTGACTCAACTGCTGCGGCTGCTGCTGCTGTTGCTGCTGCTGGGAAACCTGAGAACTCAGCACACGGGTGTCGCCTTTCCCTGCGGTCATGCGGGCAACAGTGACATCCCCCACAGCAGCACCGAGAAGAGCCTGGGAGAGAACAGCGTAGAGCTGGGACTTGGCCAGGTGGTGAGTCCACTCCGTGCTGCCCATTCCATGGGTTTTGCAGAGTTGGAAGCGGTGGTGAACGGTTAGGAGGAGGTGCGCTGGGTGCTGCTGCTGGGGCGATGTGCTGGTTGGTGGATTGGCTGGTTGGGAACTAGTATCAGCAGCAGTGGCAGGAGCAACGGTAGCGGCAGTGGTTGCAGCAGCGGTAGTGCCAGCGGTGGCAGCAGCAGTGGTTGCTGCAGCAGCAGTGGTTGCAGTAGCAGCAGCAGCAGCAGCTTTGTTGCAGTGGAGTAGGAAGGTGTAAAGCACATGTGGTCTGAACCACGCTGCAACATCACCCATATCCATCCCTCCCCACCCATCCCCACACACTCCCTCACCCGCCCCTTCACCCGTCCCTTCGCCTCCCCCTCCCCCTCCTCCTCCCCCTCCGCCTCCCACACTCCCCCTCCCGCTCCTGCCCTTCCCTCTCCTCTCCAATCTCCGTAGCACCCTTCCATTACACCACGCGATAAACCCATTCACCATCTCATACAGCAACACCAGCGTGGCCGGAACGAGCAGCAGCACGAGCGCGCACACAAACAGCGCAGTCGCTGCCGCCGGCACAACCACATAGCTCTTTCCCGTGAGAGCAACAGTGAAGAGAAGCTCGGAAAGAGCGAGGAGGGAGGAGAGGAGGTCGAGGGAGAGCGAGGAGTGCGGGGAGGCAGCGAAGTGAAGGCCGATGTGGATGGCTTGCAGGGGGAGAGTGACGGAGAGCTGTGTCTCGGGGGACGTGCACGCGAAGACTGAGATGCTTGCAATGAAGAGCCGGCGTGCATAGCAGGACAGGTGCCACCTGCAGTTGAGGGTGAATGGGAGGGAAGGGAGGAAGGAGAATCTAGGCTTGAGGCATGTCAGACTTAAAGACTGGGAGGTGCAGGTGAAGTGCAGGCCGATGTGGTCTTTGAGGCGCCTCAAAACCACCTCAAAGCGGCGAAGTGCAGGCCGATGTGGATGGCCTGCAGGGGGAGGGTGACGGAGAGCTGTGTCTCGGGGGACGTGCACGCGAAGACTGCCAGGGAGGTGATGAACAGGCGGCGGGCATAGCATGTGAGGTGCCACCTGGTGGGGTGGGGAGGAGAGAGGGGGAGGAGACATTGATGAGGCTTGAGGTATCTCAGATGGTGAACACTGCGAGGCTGGTTGTGAACAGGCGCCGCGCGTAGCATGTGAGGTGCCACCTGGTGGGGTGGGGAGGAGAGAGGGGGAGGAGACATTGATGAGGCTTGAGGCATCTCAGATGGTGAACACTGCGAGGCTGGTTGTGAACAGGCGCCGCGCGTAGCATGTGAGGTGCCAACTGGTGGGGTGGGGAGGAGAGAGGGGGAGGAGACATTGATGAGGCTTGAGGCATCTCAGATGGTGAACACTGCGAGGCTGGTTGTGAACAGGCGCCGCGCGTAGCATGTGAGGTGCCACCTGGTGGGGTGGGGAGGAGAGAGGGGGAGGAGACATTGATGAGGCTTGAGGCATCTCAGATGGTGAACACTGCGAGGCTGGTTGTGAACAGGCGCCGCGCGTAGCATGTGAGGTGCCACCTGGTGGGGTGGGGAGGAGGCGTGCGGTGGAGGAGACAGAGGGAGGGAGAGGCTTCAGATCCAGCGACTTTCACATCCAGGGAAAAAAATACTGCAAGCTCTTCTGGAGAATCGAAGCAAAGTTGGTTGGCAGCCTACCTTTGAGAGCCTACCTGTGGCAGCCTACATTTGAGAGCCTACCTGTGGCAGCCTACATTTGAGAGCCTACCTTTGGCAGCCTACCTTTGGCAGCCTACCTTTGAGACGTCTCAAAAGGCAGCCTACCAGTAATAACGGCCTACCAGTAGTAATGATCGTTGTATCGGTTGACTATCCACCCCCACCGCCTCTTGTGCGCATGTGCATCCCACCGCCCCCTTCAAGGCACGCGTGAGTGAGTAACCACCTTGGGCTTTGAGACTTTTGAGGCGCCTCAACAAGCGCAGGTCAAGTGACACAGAGCAGCATGAGTGCAGGGCGACTTTTGAGTCGACTCAAAAGTCACGAGTGCAGGGCGAGCATGAGTGCAGGGCGAGCATGAGTGCAGGGCGAGCATGAGTGAGTCACTTACCAGTAATAGTGATCGTCATATCGGTTGACCATCCATCCCCACTGCCTCTTGTACGCATGCACATCCCACCGCCCCCTCCTCCCCTCCTCTCCCTTCCGCCTCCCTCTCCTCTCATCCTCTCGCCTCCCCTCCTCGCCCCTCCCCTCCCCTCTCCCCACCTCTCCTCCTCGCTCCCTCCCCGCTCCCCCTCTCCCCCACCACAGCACCACAGCATGGCCCACAGGCAGACCCACCCCATATAGCACCAGCACCACTACAGACAAAGCGAACATGGTGTTGTGGGCGGTGGAGAACCAGACGATAGTTGGGTTGGCTGCAAGTGTTTGTATCCCGTAGAAGTACCCGTGGAGGGCTTGCAGGCAGCGGTACATGACTGGGGCGTAGCACAGGTCTAACCAGTTGGTTACCCCGTGAATTAGAGTGTAGTTGAAGGGATCGGGGTGGGTATGGGAGGGAGGGTGGTTGGGGGAAGCAGCAATTTCTGTTCCTGTATTGCTGGTGGTAGCATTAGCAGTAGCAGCAGCATCTGTAACTGTGGCAGCAGCTGCATCGGTAGCAGCAGCATCAGCAGCAGGAGCAGGAGCAGCAGCAGCAGCAGCAGCAGCAGCAGCAGAAGCAGGAGGAGTGGAATTGTTGGTGGTGACTGCAGCTGCTGAGGAGGATTGCACAAGGTACAAATATACCTTGCGCAGGGCAAAGAGTGTGGCGTAAACGAGGAGGCCTATAAGGGGTACGAGCATGGTGACTGCCCATTCCTGCTCGTATCCGAATGGAGTGGAGCATGCCGGTGCTATGATGTCCTGATGGGTGCCATGGGGTTAAAAGGGGTTGCGATGGGAAATGGGGGGTGGGGTGGAAGGAAGAGAAGGGAAGGTGGGTGATGAGGGGTACGAGCATGGTGACTGCCCATTCCTGCTCGTAGCCAAAAGGTGTGGAGCATGCCGGTACGATAATATCCTGATGGGTGCATGGGGTGTGGGCCATGGGGAATGGGAGGTTGGGAGATGGGGGAATGAAGAGCAGGGCGAGATTGCGAAGAGGAAGAGTTAGAAGAGTTGTATGAAGGGGTTGAGCCAGGTGGGAAGTGGTAACGTTATAGGTGCAATGAGTGCGAGGAAAGGTTGTTGACTTGACTAAGAGAGTATTTCTAGCCCTGTACCTAACCCACTCACAGGGATGAAGAGAAGAGTGTTGAAAGGGTTGATGGAGTGTGAGAGATGGTGGTTGCTGACTTGACTTGACTTGACTTGACTTGACTTGACTAAGAGAATATTTCCAACTAAGTACCTTACCCACTCACAGGGATGAAGAGAGAGAGCTGGAAGACTTGAATGAAGGGGTTGAGCCAGGTGGGGAGCGGTACGCTGTACGACGCAATGAGTGCAAGCAGCTGCAGGTCGGTCAGAAAGGTGGCTGCTGCGTGGAAGGCGGAGGAGAGTAGCGCCATGGCCGCCCATGCCAGAATGATGAGTGTGAGGAAGAGCGGGAAGAGCTGCGGGGAGGGATGGGGTAAGGGGCGGAGGGGAGAGTGGGGGTTGAGACAGGAAGAGGGGAGTGAGGAAGATGGCTGCTGCGTGGAAGGCGGAGGAGAGTAGCGCCATAACCGCCCATGCGAGGAGCACGAGTGTGAGGAAGAGCGGGAAGAGCTGCGGGGAAGGGGGAGAGGGAGAGTGGGATAAGGTTAAGGGTGTGAGGAAGGCGGAGGAGAGTAGTGCCATGGCCGCCCATGCCAGGAGAACGAGTGTGAGGAAGAGTTGGAAGAGCTGCCAGGAGGGGGGGGCGGGGTGGGGGAGGAAAGTGGGGGTGGTTACAAAGTGTCAAGTGAGGAAGATGGCTGCTGCGTGGAAGGAGGAGCAGAGTAGCGCCATGGCTGCCCAGGGTAGGAGGAACAGCATGAGGAAGGCACCCATCCACCCACCCACCCACCCACCCCCTAATCGGCCCATCATAAGGCACTCACCTTGGTGATAGTGGCAGTGCAGGAATGGCACTCCTTGAGCAGAGCATAGAAACCCGAAGCACACTCAGAGCACAGCCGCACTTGAGCATACCCCTCCCTCCCCGCACTGCTGGCACGCCAAGCCACCCCCTAATCGGCCCATCACAAGGTACTCACATTGGTGAGAGTGGCGGTGCAGGCGTGACACTCCCTAAGCAGAGCGTAGAAACTCGAAGCACACTCAGAGCACAGCCGCACTTGAGCGTACCCCTCCCCGCACTGCCCGTACTCCCCCACATCCCCCCCAACCGCTCCACACCGCCCCTGCTCCCCCTCCCCCTGCCCATTCCCCTCCCCCCCCCCCTCCGCCTTGCTGCACACCACTGCCGCCACACCTCCTCCTTGGCCCGAGCCCAAATCCAAACTCGGGTAAAGAGAAGTGTTTGTTTCATTTTCGAGGGTAGAGACCTGAAACCCGGGGCACCCGTAGAGCACATCACACGAATACACCACCACCTCCCCGTTCTCCACACTCCCCGGATCCAGCCAATAACCCGCTGCCACGTCAGCAACGCCGTCCGCGCAGGTCATAGCGGGGAGGTTGGTTCTGTCGGCGGTGGTGTTGGAGCAGGGGAGGCAGTCGCTGGGGGAGGTGGCACCTGGGCGGAAGGAGAAGTGAAGGTGCTTCACTCATAGTTAGAAGAGCAGCAGTGTGTGAAGAAACGCTTAAGCAGCAAATTCGACTGAAGAAAACACAGTAAAAAACAGGTAAAAAAAGGTATATCTCAAATCAAATAACTCCTTGCCTAAAGCAGGGGAGGCAGTCACTGGGGGAGGTGGCACCTGGGCGGAAGGAGAAGGTGCCATCTGGACAGTGCTGCGCTCCCCTGCCTGGCCCGCAGTAACTGCCTATGGGACAGATGGTGCATCGCATTAGACCCGCTGTTGTAAAGGGCGGTGCTCCCATCGTGGTGTTGCTGCTGCTGCTGCTGCTGCTGCTGCTGTTGCCGCTGCTGCTGCTGCTGCTGCTGTTGCTGTTGTTCGTGCCGTTTGCTGCTGTTTCGTAATACTGCCCGGCCGGGCAGAAAACAATTTCCAGCGTGCGCTGAAACGGCGGGAATGCGTTCAGCGGGCTGCTGACAGCCACAGCCAATGACAGCACGCCAGCTGTCCCATCAGGAGCATCGGCACCGGAAGCGGGAGTTGCAGCAGCAGCAGGCATGGGATCACCACCGGGATCAGCAAAAGTAGCAGCGATGGGGTTACCACCAGTTGAAGTATCCATAGGGTTACCAGCAGGAGGAGTGGCAGGGGCAGCAGCAGGAGTGAGGGAGGGAGGGACTTGGACGATGGTTATGGGCGGCACTGTGACTGTGCCACCCACTGCTGTTGCTCGGAGCTCGCCTGATATGTATGGGTTTGGTACCACCTCCACCAACACTGAGTCATCCTGTCGGGTGGAGCAGGGGCAGCAGTTGGGGTTAGGAAGGGGTGGACATGGACACTTTTGAGTCGACTCAAAAGCAGCAGGAGTGAGGGAGGGGGGGACTTGAACGATGGTGATGGGCGGCACAGTGACTGTGCCGCCCACTGCTGTTGCTCGGAGCTCCCCAGAAATGTATGGGCTTGGCACCACCTCCACCAACACTGAGTCATCCTGATGTGTGTAGAGGGGTGAGAGCACGCCAAGCAGAACCGTGGAAGATTTAGGTTTGATGTGTGGCTTGGCTTGGTCCATAGCTCCCCAAAAATGTATGGGCTGGGCACCACCTCCACCAACACCGAGTCATCCTGATGTGATGGGAAAGAGATGGAGGGGAAAGATGGGAAAGAGAGAGAGAGGTGTGTGTGAAGGGAGCAGCACTGTGACAGTGCCGCCCACTGCTGTTGCTCGCAGCTCGCCAGATATGAATGGGCTTGGTACCACCTCCACCAACACTGAGTCATCCTGATGTGATGGGAAAGAGATGGAGGGGAAAGATGGGAAAGAGAGAGAGAGGTGTGTGTGAAGGGAGCAGCACTGTGACAGTGCCGCCCACTGCTGTTGCTCGCAGCTCGCCAGATATGAATGGGCTTGGTACCACCTCCACCAACACTGAGTCATCCTGATGTGATGGGTGGGAGATGGAGGGGAAAGATGGGAAAGAGAGAGAGAGGTGTGTGTGAAGGGAGCGGCACTGTGACTGTGCCGCCCACTGCTGTTGCTCGCAGCTCGCCAGATATGAATGGGTTTGGTACCACCTCCACCAACACCGAGTCATCCTGTCGGGTGGAACAGAGGCAGCAGTAGGGGTGAGGGAGGGAGGGAGTTGGACGATGGTGATGGGCGAGTTTTGAGACGACTCAAAACACGGGTGGAGCAGCACAGCACAGCACAGCACTGCACAGCACAGCACAGCACAGCACCGCACCGCACAGCACAGCACAGCACCGCACCGCACCGCACAGCACAGCTACGCACCGCACTGCACTGCACCGAACCGCACCGCACCGCACTGCACTGCATTGCACCGCATAGCACACCACCGCAGACTCACAGAAGAAGCCACGAGGCCGGCAGCATCAAGCAGAGTGACGTGCAGCCCTGCGACGGGGTTGGCCATGTCCCCCCTCACCCTGTAGTGTGCCTCTCCCCCTGCGTCCCGCTCCCCACTGCCCTCCCACCTGGTGGGGATACACAGAGAGAGCACAGCAAATACATGAGAGGGGTGGAAAGAGTTGGAGATGGGTGGAGCATGATGGAGGAGAGGGGCCCTGAGACGGGGTTGGCCATGTCCCCCCTCACGCTGTAGCTCGCCTGCCCGCCTGCGTCCCGCTCCCCACTGCCCTCCCACCTGATGGGGGAACGGAGCACACAACAAAGCACACAGGAGAGGGTGGAGAGGGGTGGAGAGGGGTGGAGAGGGGTGGCAAAGGGTGGTCGAGCCATTTCCACTCGTGCTGGTGCTACTAGTGCTGGCCGCTGCGTTGCCCTGGAAGGCCAGAGCCTATGGTCTACGGACTGTCATCCTCTGCTGCTGCCACTTACTCACCATAAGGTGAAGGAAGTTAGAGGAGATCCCAAGGTACCTCTCTGGCCGGTGCAAATGTGCTGCAACTCATCCAATCACCCACCCACTCACCACATGGTGAAGGAAGTTGGCGGAGATCCCAAGGTGTCTCTCGGGTCGGTGCGGCAGCGGCGGCATGGAGAGCGCATGGACGGCTGAAAGGTGGCGTCAAAGAAGGCAGAGCCCCCGAGGGGCATGCTCGTTCCAGTCCCATTCGAGCCACCGGTCCCACTAGACCCACTAGAGCCGCTGGTCCCACTAGACCCACTAGACCCACTTGATCCTGTTGATCCACTGCCCCCACTCGTGCTAACCGCTGTGTTGCCTTGGAAAGACAGTCGGGACACCACCAAAGGCAGCAGTCCTCCACCCCCTGCTGCTGCTGCTGCTGCTGCTGCTGCTGCTGCTGCTGCTGCTGTTGCCACACCAGCAGCCCCTGCAGCATCAGTAGCAACAGCAGCATCAGCAGAAGCAGCAGCAGCAGCAGTGCTGTTGTTAGTGCTGTTGTTGCTGCCACCTGCGCTCCCATCCACCGTCCCTTCCCCCGGAGGCAGAAACTCACTCACAGCCACCGATCCAGCCCCCACTTCCCCCTCCTCCCCCCGCCTGCTCCCCCCCGGTTAATATACACCCCCGCGCCCTCTCCCCCTCCCACGTTCCTCCGGAACCCACACCCAGTGAGGGTGCCGTGAGCCTGCTCTAGGATGGCAATGCCTGCTCCCGAGCCTCCGGCTTTGTTGTTGGTGAAAGCGGCGCCTGTGATGGTGATGGTGGCGTTGCCTCCTGCGAAGACGCCTGCGCCCTGCTCTTCTGCGCGGTTCCTTATAAGCCGTGGCCGGCGAGCTTGTAACGAGGATGACCCTGCGCCCGCTCCTTCCCCTGCTGCTCTTTTCACTCCTCCTGCGGCTCCTACCCCTGCTGCTCCCCCTACTGCGCCCCCTGCTGCTGCAGCTCCCAACAACGCATCCGACAGCGTTAGACTGCTGTCAGCATCGGCAAAAACCGCCCCACCTCTCCTTGCCCAATTCCTCTCCATGACCACCCCTCCCACCAGCACCACCACCGCCACATCCGACACAAGAACCGCCCCTCCGTCCCTCGACCCTCCCGCCCGGTTCCCCCTAAACCCCGTGTCTTGAAACCTCGCTTTGGTCTGACCCATCAGCACCACTCCGTGCTGCTCATTCTGCTCAAACCCCGTCTCTCCAGTCACTGAAACCGCTACCTCTCCTTCCGCCAGCAACCCTCCGCCCAGCAAGGCCCGGTTGCCAACAAAACGCGAGTCCGAAACTGTGAGGTTCGACTTATGGATGGCATACACTCCCCCGCCTTGCACTTTGGCTGTGTTTCCGGTGAGATTCGAACCGGAGATCTCAACCTGCGCGTTCATTTCCGCCCACAGTGCCCCTCCGTCTAAAGCCGAGTTGTTTGAGAGGAGAGACGCCGAGAGGGAGAGGACCGTTTGGCCCGTCATGCGCAGCGCTCCGCCCTCGTTTCCGCCGTCATTACACGTGACGTTAGACGACGTGACTGTAGCGGAGGAGAAATCGCCCAGGGAGATGCAGCCTCCCCCGGACGGCGCCTGGTTCCAGGCGCACTCGCTGCGGTGCAATCTCAGCCGTCCAAAGTCCTCGATCAGAACCGCGCCTCCGCTGCCTGAGCGGCAGTGCAGGAGGGAGCAGTTGACTGCGTTGACTGATGCCTGGGAGGAGAGGGAGATTGCGCCGCCGCCCAGATCGGCCCGGTTGGAAAGGAAGTGCGAGTGGGATACAGAGACAGGGTAGAGCGTGCCATTCGCTGCTGATGATGATGAAGAGCCTTCCACTGAAGGGGGGAAGGAGGGGAGAGGGGAGAGGGGAGATGGGGGAGCGGGAGAAAATGGAGGTGAATGGCAGTAAAGAGGGCAGAGAACTGGGCAGCTATGTGTGTGAGCAGCTATGTTTGTGGGCAGCTATGTTTGTGGGCAGCTATGTGCGTGAGCAGAGCAGCTATGTGTGTGAGCAGTTATATGTGTGAGCAGCTATGTGTGTGAGCAGATATGACACGCGGGTGCGCTCAATCAAGAACGAGGCATCCAAGAATGTGACGAACAAGGAGGTGCAGTGGCTCAAGAGCAGGATAGAGCACTTGAAGAATTTTGCAGAGGAGAGGGCGGGAGGAGGAGCTGGAAGAGGTGGCTGAGACGAGGACTGTGGTGAAAAGAACTGAGAGGAGCGCGGTGAAGGGCGGTGGTAAGAAGCCATCTACTTCACCGACTCCTCTCAACCCCCTTCACTGCACTCCTCTCACCGTTACAGTCCTCGTTACAGTCCTCGTCTCAGCCACCTCTTCCAGCTCCTCCTACTTCCACCTTTTCATCTGCATGATTATTCAAGTGCTCTATCCTGCTCTTGAGCCTCTGCACCTCCGTATTCGCCACATTCTTGGATAACTCGTTCTTGATTGAGCGCATTCGCGTGGCATAGCTACACACACACAAAGAGGAAAAAATGGCAAAGACATGAGCATGCGCGCTTACCTTACCTTCATTCCGGATCTCTTACCTGATATCGCTCCGCCCTTGACCAGGGCGGAGTTGTTAACAAAAGTGGAGTTGTCTATAGTGAGTATATCGCCAGCGAAAAAAATGGCGCCACCTTTGGAGAGCAGAGCGGAGTTGTTGAGAAAGAGCGAGTCGGCCACGAAAATTGAGCCAGTGGTGCCCTGCCAATGGATTGGGACGCGCAGAGAGCAGAGAGCAGAGGGCAAAGGGTAGAGGGCAGAGGGCAAAGGGTGGGGGGCAGAGGGCAGAGCAAAGTTGTTAGGAAAGAGCGAGTCGGTCACGAGGACCGAGCCAGTGGTGCCCTACCAAAGGGAGTGAGAAGATGAAAGGGAGACAGAGAGAAAGAGAGAATGAGAGGACAGTAATAAGAGAGGGAGGGGCCACCGTCCCTGTTAAGAGAAAGCAATGGCTCCTCTCTTGGAAAGCAGAGTGGAGTTTTTGAGAAAGAGCGAGTGTGTCACTAGCACTGAGCCTACGGTGCCCTGCCGATGGAATGAGATGATGTAGAGAAAAAGGAATCGAGGTGTGGTGTTGTGTTGAGAAGGGAGATGAAACTGTGTGAGTGATGCATGTCCTCCCCTCCCCCTCCCCCTCCCCCTCCCCCTCCCTCTTCCTCCCATTCCCCTCCCCTACCCCTTCGCTTGCAACTCTAATCCCCTTCCTCACTCTAATCCCCTTCCTCACTCTAATCCCCCTCAAACCCCCTAGCCCCACCTATTGCACATAAAGCGCCCCACCCTCCGCTGAGAGGGCAGTGTTGTTCAGAAAGGCGGTGCGGGTGATGTTGGTCAGGACCTCACCTCCAGTGGCCATGGCACTTCCCCTACCATCCCCACAAATAGTACTACCCCCCAACCACCCCCCTCTCCCCACCTCTTGCACATAGATCGCCCCGCCCTCTGCGGAAAGAGCGGTGTTGTTGATAAGGGTGGTGCGGGTGATGCTGGTTAATCCCACGCCCCCAGTTGCCATGGCCCCTCCTCCCTTCGTCCCAACTACAACCAACCCCATACATACCACCCTTTTCTCACCCACCGCTTGCACCATGATCGCCCCGCCCTCCGCGGAAAGAGCGGTGTTGTTGATGAAGGTGGTGCGGGTGATGCTGGTTAATCCCACGCCGCCAGTTGCAATGGCCCCTCCACTGTGCAAAACTGTGTTGTCACGAAACTCACAGTCCTCTATGGTCCCTTCCCGCATGAACATTGCTGAGGGATGGGAGGAGCGAGAGGGGAGTGTGGGCGGGAGAATGGGGGAAAGGGGAGGGGGGGCGGGGAGTGGGTCTGTTCTTAAACGTCTCATCCCAACATCTCTCCCCCACGCCCCCAGTTGCCATGGCCCCTCCGCTGTGCAACACTGTGTTGTCACGAAAATCACAGTCCTCTATGGTCCCTTCCCGCATGAAGAGCACTGGGGGGTGGGATTGGGAAGGGGGGTGGAGGAGGATTGAGCGTGTTTCCTATGACGCGCCTACCCTATAAGGAAAAAACTGGGAGGACTTGGTTGGAGGCGCCTCGAAGCGTGGTCAACCTAGCTTGCAGCCACAGCCTACCAATGCCGGCGATGAGGAAAGACGCCGAGTTGCGGAGAAACCGCGTGCGCCGAATGATTTTTGAGACGTCTCAAAAACAACCTCATTTCACGTGCGCCGAATGATCCTCTCGCTCTCAGAGCTGCTTTTGAGTCGACTCAAAAGAAAATCGCCACCTCGCTCCCAAAGCTCAAAGCCCCGCACCAAGTCGTGTCAAGCAAACACGTGCTTTAGCAAACCCTACAAGCGTGGAGCCCCGAACCAGCCTACCTGCACCGGCGAGGCGGAAAGAAGCATTGTTGCGCAGAAACCTCGTCCGCCGAAGCACCGCGTGGCTCTCAAAGCTCGCCGCACCGCCAAACCGCGCAGTATTCCCCTCAAACACACAGTCCTCCACCTCCATAAGAACCGGCTCCTTTATCATCCCCCACGCGTGCAGCAGCGCCCCTCCCTGACTCGTCGCCCCGTCCGTCGTGTGAACTCCTCTATTCCCGACGAAAGAGCAGTTGGAGATGAGACTCGGGCAGTCTATGAGGTAAACGGCGCCTCCGAACGCCATCATAGGAGATTCGGCGGTGTTGTTGAAAAACGAGGAGTTCAGAACGGTGACGTTGCTGTCCTGGCCTTCGATCGCCGCTCCTCCGCCTCCATTCGGGGCTGTCGCGTGGTTACCGCGAAACTCGCAGGTGGTAACCGTGAGGTTACCAACTCCTAGAGCCATGATCCCTGCGCCGCCCATGGAGCTAGACCCGTTGAGGAAGGAGGAGAGGGAGACGGAGAGGGAGGCAGTGTCGTTGGCATGAATGGCGGCGCCGCGCATGTAGTGGGTGTAGAGGTCGATGAGCGGGTTGGTGGCGACGCAGGCGAGGAAGGAGCAGCGGGAAACGGCGAGAGCGGGGGAGGAGGTGTCTGCCATACAGCCCCCGATGGTGGCCTGATGGGGCAGGGGAGGAGGGGGGAGAGATTGGAGGAAGGAACAGTAAGAGAGGGTAAGGGTGGGGGAGGAGGTGTCGGCCCACTTATACTCACCCACCCATTCCCATCCACCCATCCCCAACCATCCCCGCCCACCCATCCCCGCCCACCATCCCCACCCATCCCCACGCACCCATCCCCACCCACCCCCGCCCACCCCCACCCACCTTATTCTCAGAGAAGCTGACGCCATCGATGCTTCCGGAGCACCCTTTAGTTGCCAGGCCCCCTCCATTCGAATCAGCGGCGCAGCGCGAGAATCCCCCTCCCTGCACCTCCACCCTACTGGCCTCGCAGTAAACACCTCCCCCAATACCAGCCTTCGCCGTACACTCTTCAAACCAGCACTCTGTCACACTCGCTATAGTCACGTTCTGTAACGCCACTCCCCCGCCGCCTCCTGAGAGGGACGAGACGGATGAGCCGCTGACGTGGACGCGCGAGAGAGTGACACGTGGCGCGTTCAGGGCCGCGATCGCGCCGCCATAGCTGCCAGCAGAGCAGCCGGTGAAGGACGCGTTGCTGACGTGGACGGCCTGGTTCTCGACCAACAGGCAGCCGCCACGTGGCGCGCCGGCCCGGCCGTTCTGCACGGCGATCCCTGCAAGGACCAATCGCGCACTGCCACATGGCACCACGGCAGTGGCCGGATCACAAACAGCCAAGAGACATGCCCCCCCTCCACAGTCGATAATTGGTCCGGCGGCGGGGACAGCAGTGGGAGCGAGACGGAGAGGAGGAGGAGAAGGAGGAGGAGCAGGGTTGGGAGAAGGGGAGGGGAGAGCAGCGAGGAGGGAGACGGATCGGGCACCGAGGGAGAGACCAGCAGTGGGAAGGCGGTGAGAGGCTGGGGAGAGAAGCAGGGACCCGCCTGCTGGGGGCAACCTGGGGTGGGGGCGAGGATGGGCATGTGTGAGAAAGAATGTGGAGGCGATATGAAGAGTGTGGGGAGCGCGAGCATGGGTGAGGTTCGAGATGTCTTAGAGGGAATGTGAGTGAGTGTGAGCAAGGAGTGTGACTCGTGACTGAGTGAGTGGGTTGCCATGGCAGTAAGTGGGAGTGGTGTGGATGCACAACAAACGGTACAAGGCGAGGTGAGCGGAATAAGCAGGGGTGCAGAGGGGGGATTCGAGAGACGAAGGAATGGAGAGCGGTTGAGGGCAAGGAGGGTGGGTTGCAGGGATGTAGGGCGGGTTGTTTTATCCAATGCGAGTTGTTACACTCACATTGATAGGCCCAGCTCCAATGTGCCTGCAAGAACACATGCACGATGGCATGACATGGCATGGCGTGGCATGGCATGGCATGGCATGGCATGGGATGGCATGGCATGGCATGGCATGGCATGGCATGCAATCAGACATGCACACAGACACAGCATGGAACACAAGGGCAGCGCATGAGCAGAGAGGTGAGGCGATTGAGGACGTTCGTCAGCGGAAAGCTGCACAGGCGAAATCAGAAGGATAGCAAGCTGCAAGGGATCCAACCAGAAGGTTAGTACTACAAGCTGCAAGGGCTCAACTGGTAGAGGCACGGAACGTACCACAGGGAGTGGCGGGGTCGCCGCAGCAGCCTGGTGCTGCTGACCCATGCCCCCCCGCACGCACATGCGTGGTCGCAAAGCTCAGGCTTACACAGGGAAGGAACTGGTGGAGGCACGGAACGTACCACAGGGAGTGGCGGCATCGCCGCAGCAGCCTGGTGCTGCTGACCCATGGCCGCCCGCGCGCACATGCACCTGCTCCAGCTGTGGGCAGCCTGAACGGGAGCGGGAACGTGAGAGGCGGGAAGGGGAAAGGTGGGGGGAAGTGGGGGGTGGTGGCTGGGTGAAATCGCCGCAGCAGCCTGGTGCTGCGGAACCCTGCCCGCGCGCCCGCACATGCACCTGCTCCAGCTGTGGGCATCCTGAACAGGAGCGGGTGATGGGGGGAGAGGGGAGGGAGGGAAGCATAGGCGTGGCCCAGGCCAATCCACAGACCCATGCCCGCCCGCACGCACATGCACCTGCTCCAGGAATGCGCAGGCTGAACGGGAGCGAGTGAAAGGCAGGAGGGGAGTGGAAGAGGTGGGGGTTTAGTAAAGGCGCCTAAAAACTCGAAATGTCGTTCCCTTTTCTTCACTCCAATCCATGCCCCCATCCAGCTGGGGAGGTGATTCAGGTGGGGAGGTGATTCAGCTGGGGAGGTGATTCAGGTGGAGAGATGATTCAGGTAAAGGGATGATTAGGTGGGAGGGTGATTTCAAGTGAGGGGGTGTTGTGGTTGAAGAAATCCCCTTTTTATTCCCCTAAAACGCCCCACATTTCCCCATCCCCCCACCACCGCACTGCATTCTCCTGTTACCTGACGCAGCAACGCACGGCGCGATCGGCGCTGTGCAGAGCAGAGCGATCAGCAGCGCAGCAAACAGCCGTCTGGCCGATGGCGAGTTTTGAGACGCCTTAGAAATCGCTGGAGAGCCACGATGCGGCTGGACCCAACGCCGCGCCGCATGTCGCCCGCAACCGCCACTGCCGCCGCCGCCGCCGCCGCCGCCAATCATGATCCGTCTCCGTTTAGAGGGTCTTTAGGGAGCTGCTTGTTTCCGAAACTCCGTTGAAGCGCGCCGAGCCAGCAAAGCTGGGGGTTGCAGCGTTTGAAACCACGTTACATTATTCGCCGGCGCCCGCAAAGTAAGGTCGTTTTCCCCCCTCTTCCCCTCACTGCGTGGACGCACGGAAGCGTCTCCCCCCGGCGGACCGGGCGCGCGGCGGAAACCCCTTCCGAGTCTGTTCCCCCGTTACTGCGCGCAACTTAGTACAGTGCTGCAGTTTCAGCTTAGAAGCCCGAGTCGGACGGCGGTACTACCACGTGGTGTGATATTAGAGAATTCTAAAAAATACCCTGCAACAGTATTACCACGTGGTGCGGTGATTGCAGCGATTTCGTGAATTCAAGCAGGAAACCGCCGCCTAGCCCGTGATTGACGGCGACGGGTCCTAAACAGCCTTTCGTTTTCTCGGGAATGCGGGGTCACGCAGCGCTCCAATGTCGATGCTTCTCGCGACATGGTTAGAAACCCGCGCGTCAAAACACGGCCATGCCGTGGTAGTGAGCAGAAAAGCATGTCCCGTAGCGACTTGCTTAGAATAAAGGAGAGTGATTCTGAGAGTGAAGCACCGTGCAGTGCGCCACCGAGCTAGGGTTCCAGAAACAGTAAACGTACAGTACAGCATTAATCAGCGCCAACCAACACAACGTGCGACAAAGTAATCAGCATGGGGCCCATGCCATGGGACAAGTTGTGCCAACAGTGCGCGGAGGCATGGGCTTTGATTTGCTCGTCACGTCGCCAGCTTTTCGCGCAGTGCACCGCCGAGCGGAGCAGAAGAACCAACCACCACCGCAATTGCGAAGCGCCGAGGCTGCGGTGTCGTCGTGGCTCGTTTTGTTACAGTGCTACAGCGAAAAATGCTGCCCGCACGAACTCCGCCTGGAATCGCAGAATTCGGCTCGTCGTGAGTTGTTGTGGTCACAGAAGAGCCAACGCACCAGGCGCCGCGACAAAAGGAGCCAGTTGAATTGGTCCCTCCCATACACCACACTCCGGTAAGTACAGTATTGACGCGCCAAAAGAAATCCGTGAGCACTTCATGAGGCCACAGAAAACAAATGCATCATCTTGGACCTTCACAAAATCACAACTCCATACAGATAAGAGAAAAACACTTGTAACTAGGTAACGATTAAGGCTCTTTGCCATCCTCGCAATTCAACGCGTCGTCGTCCTCAAACTCATCTGCTGAATCGTCTTGGACCCATGCACCTTCGTCATCAGGAGAAGGCGTCAAGTCCAACGCGTTCTTCAAATTACTAGAAGCACATGCAGCTGACGCCATGATATTTTCTTCATATTCCTGAGCACAGGGCAAGGACACCAAAGAACGAAATAAGGTGTAAATCTTGAACCCCCAACCATCACTTTCCCCCTTCTTACAGTTTGATAAGAATGCAAGAGCAGATGTAGAGCGCAAAAGCTGACGCCTCACCCGAATCTGTGTGCGTTGCTCCGCTAAAAGCTGAGCCGCCTCCAGCACCGAAATCACCCGAGCACACCTCGCAGGCACCTCAGCAGCCCCGGCAGCCTCGGAAGTCCCAGCAGCCCCCCCAGCAGCCCGCCCAGCAGGCCCCCCAGCAGCCCGCCCAGCAGCCCCCCCAGCAGCCCGCCCAGCAGCCCCAGCAGCCACATCTACCATATCCTGAGAAGATTCTAGCTGAGCACAATCCGCAGCAACCCTGCCACCACCATTATCCCCGCCACCACCCCCACCATCTCCGTCACCATCACCATCCCCAATCTTCAACACCCTGCCCAGCCGGGCAGCTGCACGTTCAGCCTCCCACATCAGGTCCCTCCTGACCTTCTCCCGGGCTGCCCGAACACCTTCCGGCGAAATCTTTTTGTCTGCGCCCACACGCTCCAGCCTGCCATTGTGAAGCCGGTACATCCGCCCGTCCGACCCCACTCGAGGGGCACTAGAACCTGCAGGGAGTGACACCCTCGTGCCTGCACTCCCTGCACTCCCTGCACTCCCTCCATTCCCTTCACTCCCAGCACCTCCCCCAATGCCTACACCTCTCACACTCCCTGAAACCCCGCCTGCTTCCAGCACACCTGCAGCTTCCAGCGCGGGGTCGTCGATGGTGGTTTCCACCGCACGGTGCAGCGACCAGAGACGGCGCATGGCGGCAGAGGAGCAGGACGGCTGGAAGGACGACGTGCGCGTGCGCACCGATGCACCTGCTCCAGATACACCTGATACTGACACAGCTGGGACAGAGGCTGGCTTGAGGGAGGGTTTGAGGAATGAGCCTGTGCTGTCCCCTTCGCTGTCTGCACCTGTGTCTCTGTACTTGTAAATCTCCTTCCTCCACTGCTCGCCTTGCTCCGTGCCTGCCCGCATGTCATACTGTGCACATCCTTTGTCCTCTGCTTCCTCTGCCACCCCTTCTCCTGCACAGCCTGCTGCCGATGCAGCAGCACCGGCACCAGCGGCGTCCATAGAAGCAGAGGCTGCAGCAGTAAGGGATGTTGCAGCAACTGCAGCAACAGCAACTGTTGACACCAGCCCGCTGCTATCTCCCACCCCTTCTATAACCGCTGCCGTTCTGCCTTCCCCTACAGCCCCATCTTCCCCTCCCCCTCCGCCTTCCCCTCGAATTGTCCCATCTCCCCCTGCCACTCTGCCTTCCCCTCTCAACGTCCCACCCTCTCGTCTAGACGAAAGACTCGTTGTGGAATCTGCTCCATCCTCCACCATCCTCCCCATCAGTGCCTCTACTCCATTCCCACCCATGCTGTCGCCACCATACGAAGCAGCAGTAGCAGCAATACCAGGAGCAGCAGCAACAGCAGCGTCACCTTTCACGCTCCCTCCCCCGCTCTCTCTCCGCCCCGAAACCCTAAACGCGACACTCGCGCTGTCCGCTTCCTGTTCGTCCGCATCCCCCGCCGCCTGCTGCGCCGCGTGCGCCGCTAGCAGCGACTCGACCCGCTGCAGCTGCGCGTGCAGCTTGCGCACCTGCGCGGACAGCTTCGCGCCGCCGTCGGGGAGCGCGAGCCGACCCGCGGTTACCCTCGACAGCAAATACTGCGCGATCAGGGGCGTATCGGGGAGGCAAGATCGGGGGAACCAGACGGAGGAATTTCGAGATTGAAAGAGCCACCTCCCAATCGACTTCCGCATGAGTGACATGCAACATACGCGATACGATCGCAACCGATGTGACGAGACCAGCCAGATCGAGGCCTCTGGTGAGCGCTTAGCTTACCTCCTGTCCTTTAAGTTTCCGCAACAGGCGGCGCCTTTCCTCCTCGAGCCTGTCGCTGCTGTCATCCCATCCCGCGGATCGCAGAATCCCCGTGGTTGGTAGCGACGTCGCAGATCGGTGCGACTGCAGCTGCGACGAAGACAGAAAACTCGGCATCGCGACGAGCAGGGCGTACCGCTGGATCAGCGATGCTAGGTGCGAATTTATACGACGTTTCCGCGACGCTGTGCGATGCGACTACACGGACGAGATGCGCGACGACAGCGTGACAACACTATCGGGATGTCACCAGGGAAACTAACGACGTGGGTGTAGGCGAAAATGAAAGTGCGTGTCGGCGGAGGTGAACTCGAGATGGGTGCGAGCGGGTGAGTTTATGACAGGAACACTTCGTTTATGCATCCGGTTCTCATCAGTTTGCGAGAGGTGGATCTGCTTCCACAGTCGGTTCGGCAGGAGATGCCACCCCTTGCCTTGTGCACCGCTGATCCGCCTATGCTGCTCTTCCCCACACAACACCGTCGCCTGGCGGTTGAGAGCCTCCAATCTCTTCGAGGCATGGCCCACAACGATGCCACCCTGGCCCGTTTGACATCCCTTCAGGGCCCGGGGGCTGGGGCGTGGGTTTCTGCCGTTCCTTCGCACGAGGAGGCTACCTTCACCGCAGCCGAGTGGAGCATCTGTGCGTCTATGCGCCTAGACCTCCCTATTCAGCAGTTGATAGTGGCCGGCGTGTGCGCGTGTGGGTTTGAGTTTGCTGATCCCTCTGACCCGCATCATGCCCTTCGCTGCAAGTATCAGTATGCACCTTCTCGGGTTCACGATGCGGTTAAATTTGTGGTGGCGAAGATAGCTAAGGGTGCGGGTGGGATTGTGACCATGGAAGACGACACGTTGCTCCCAGGGAAGAGGGTTGATGTGGCGGTTCGGAAGCTGAAGGAGGGGGAGGAGCACGCGCTGGAGGTTAGTGTGGTAGATCCTATCTCGCTATCCGCGCAGCACCATGGACAGATTGGTCGCAAGGTGGGTTTTGCCGCGAGAGAGAGAGAAAAGCGGAAGACGGCGGACTACAAATCGCTTCTACAGCGGCATGGGGGAGTGCAGTTCACACCACTCATTGCTGAGACATGGGGATGCTTGGGGGGCAGTTTTGGACGGTGGCTTAAGAATCAGGGTGACGCGCAGATCGAGATAGCAAAGACGAAAGGGGCGGCGCGAGCTACGGGAAAGGGTTTCTCGGCTTATTTGCTCGGATCGCTCAAAGCGGCTGTGGGTGTGGCTTTGCAACGGGCTCAGGCGCGTGTGATCTTGTTACGCGCGGCGTCGATGATGAGAGGCCCAGAGGCTGTTTGGGTGGAGCGGGAGGATGTTGAGGAGGAGATGGGATGGGATGCTCCGTGGGCGGATGCACCATACTTGGTAGACATGCGGGTTTAGGGAGTGGGTTTAGGGGGGGAGGTTTGGTTCGATGGGAGTGCAGTTGGGGTGCTTTGATGGGAGGGCTTGATGGTGTTTTAAATGTGTGTGCTATTGGGGTTTTCTTGGGGTTGTGTGTGCTGCTTTTTCTTCCTTCTTCCCTGTTTTTCTTCCTCCTATCATTTTTCCCCTATTCCCCTCCTTCTTTCTTCCTCTCTCCTTTTTTCTACTCACGTTATTCCTCCTTTTCTCCTCTCTTCCCGTTTCCACTCCTTTTCCTTGCGTAATTATGCTACATTGTAATATTTTAAAATAAAAATGCTGTTTTGTGTTTCTGTTTATAAGATGAAAGTGCAAGATCTGATAGTAAAGCATTCTTATATCTATAAATTCAAATTTAACGTACCCTAAGACCCTCAAACATAATTCATCATTTAAATTTATTTCAGCTGTCCAGTGTATAACGCGATATTGTCCAGACGTCAGTATCGAGCACATTTTGTCCCTGCGGTTCGTGGTCTCGTCGAACTTCGTACGAAGAAAAACATCTCTGGACTCTGGTCAGATATGTAGGGAAGGGAGGGAGGTTTGTTGGGTGTGGAGGAGGGCTGGCCCGTGCGTTTGTCTGTGTGCCCAAAATTGCAGAGACGATGCGCAGGTAATGCAGCATGCGCTCCGCCTCTGTTGGTAACTCAACCTGCGAGAGAGTCGGTTGCTGTAATTTCACCTGAAGCAGTATAATTTCGCCAAGTCCAAGACCCCCAACTCGCCCACCAGGGGCAAAGCTGGCTCTCTGCGGCGCGCCTGTGTGTGCCGGATGCAGGGGTTTCCGACGGTTTGTTACACTGCGTATCACCATTTCCACCTGAGACCATGTTCCGATACGGGCAACAAAATGTTTGTGCATGTTGCAGCCAATCGATACCTCACACAGAGGCCAACATCTCACTTCAAAACCAAGACCAAACCACCTGAAATTTACCAGCAGATCTTGAATCAAAACCTAGCAGGGTTTGCAGCATACGCCAGGAGTTTCCGCTCCCGCAACTGGTAGAAGTTTGAGGAGCAGGGTAAAAGCAGATTGTAGCAGAGAAGTCCACGGGCTTCAGAGGAGAGCAGAGAACCAAGTTACTCCTCCACTCTAGTCTAGCTCGTTAGCATCGCTGCCGTCATGGCGCGTTTGAGCGTCACGTTCCTCGCGCTGCTGCTCCTTGCCGTAATCATCTGCGCAGAGGCGGGCAAGGCGAGCACGCTGAGCAAAAAGGGCTCCAAGGACAAAAAGGGCGGCGTGAAAGGAGGCGTGAAAGGAGGCGTGAAAGGAGGCGCGCAGGCAGGAGGCGAGGTCAAAGCAGGCGTCAAGGCTGGAGGCGAGATCAAAGTAGGCGTGAAGACGGGAGGCCAGGTCAAAGGAGGCGTGAAGAAGGGCGGTTCCAAGAAGGGCGGTTCCAAGAATGGCGGATCGAAGAAGCCAGTGACTTCATCATCCAGGCAGGTTGGTGCTTCTTCCGCTAAGGGCGCCGACCTGACGAGCAACACGGATTCATACAACACCTTCGACGCCGGCGAGGTTCGGGTCAAGGGCGTGTCGTGGGAAGCGAAGAAGTGCCCGAACGACTTGGCTAAGAAGGACTGGGGCGGGTGCACTGCCATTAACTGCTCCAAGGGCGGATGGCCCGGCAAGTTCAAGGAGTCCATCATTACGACGCAGAAGGGGAAGCACTGGGCGACCATCCTGCCCAACGGCGGCTTTTCCAAGAAGAAGGCTACCCCCGAGTCGTGCTGCAACCAGTGCGCCGCGAGCCACGACTGCACCTATTGGCAGTTCATCCCCGGTAGCGGCAACCAGTAAGCATCCCGGTCTTACCTTCGGCTATTTTTTCTTATATTTTCTTTTCCGTCCGCATTGCCTTCTTGATTCCTGCTAGAGTTTTTGTTCTCGTGCTCATACCTGTGTAACCAGTAAACATTCCGGTACTTTCTGTTTCATGACATGGCTTTCTTATAGTTGTTTTCCTCCGCATTGGCTACTTGACTCGTGCTGGAGCTTTTGATGTCCTGCTCGCATCCCTCTCTCTCCTTTCGTGTTCCTTGTGTATTTTTTTATCGCAGAATGGGTTCGTGCGATCTGATGGCCGGCGAGATGAAGTTCGAATGCGGCGACCTGGCAGCAATCTACGAGGGCAAGGACAAGCCGGTGTATCTGCAGGTGCGCGCCGGCGGCCGGTGCAACGACAATCCCGAGGTTATCGACGACCCGCACTTTACCGGCGCGCACGGCACGCACTTCGACTTCAACGGCCGCCCCGACAAGGCGTTTTGCCTGCTGACGGATAAGAACGTGCACGTGAACATGCTGCTGAGGGGGTACTATGACGACCGTACCGAGAGCGCGGCTCTTGTTGTCGACGGGAAGGCCGTTCACACGTGGATCAAGTAAGCAGCGCGTTCGCTACAGTTGCATTTTTCTGTAGTGTTTTTTTATGTCTTTTGTTCTGCCAAGTGGTTCAGCATCCAGTTTCTAAGCTTCGTTTTCTCGTGTGACATTTCAGGGAGCTCGGTATTGTGTGGTTTGCTAACGGTGCCGACCACCGTCTCCGTTTGGTTGCCCGCAACGGCAAGGAGCAGGAGCGCAACGCTGGTTACATGAAGGCCATCGAGGTTGACGGTACCGTGATCCAACGGCTGGCGCTCGGCGAGGAGTTCCACGGCGACGGTGGCCTCACGATCGCCCTCCGTGCGTACGAGAAGCAGGGCCCGTACGACGTGGATTACTACACCGTTTCAATCGACGGTATCATCTCGTTCGACATCCGCCTGCGTGTGGCTCACCCGAAACTCCAGACCCCCAGCGACGCCGAGGTGCACATCAACGTGGCCGTTACATCTTTTGAATACACGGAGAATGTTCACGGCGTGCTGGGTCAGACCTACAGGGAGGACCATATCGACCGTGCGATTGATTTCCAGCAGCTCGTTTCCTCGCTTCACCGCCCCGTGTCTGCTGACGGGGAGCTCGGCGCGGGATTCCTGGATGGAACCCCCCGTGCTTACGAGGCTGCCTCTGTTCTCGGTGTCGACTGCGCCATGACCGCGTACCACCGTGCCATGCAGCTGAGCGCCGTTTCCAACTAAGCTTTTCGCGAGGCTTGTTGTCCTCGGTATTGGGTTTCCTTTTGTCTTCATATCGTTATTCTTCCCCATGCCATAACTGAGGCTGAGTGCCCATTGTAATTGTATTTGGCTGCTCGTATGTCTGTAGGATAATACGGATAAAGCATGTGCTGTATGCTAAATTGCAAATGCATGTGATTTTTTCATTGATACGCTAAAGGTGCTAATTCACGAGGGTACTGATAACTCGATCGCTCAGCCTCGTGTGTTCGATGCATGCTTGACTGAAGTTCGAGGGTAACCACTTTGTACCGTGAATAAAAGTATTGGAAACGTATCTAACCGTCTAAAACCTTTCTGCAAATTCGAATCAGTCACCACGCCCCCAGCTCCGGCGTGCAGCCTCGAGACAGACTAGCCAGTGCAATATCTCCTCGTTGGGATCTGATATCGCGTACACCGCGTCCACCTTGACCTGCATCCATCAACCCGTGCACACACACACAAATCAATCCCCCGCAGAACGCCACAACGCAAAACACACAAGATGAAAGGTGTGCTGTTACTGCTCGCATCCGCATTTCCAGCATAATTTCAACATACATTCGCGGCTTCCGCCGCCATTCTCACCCGACACTTACTTGCCTCCGTCCATTGAACAACGTCACTCTCCCCCGCACGCCCACCAGCGCGCCCACATGGACACACGTGGCTGCCTGCAGCATCGCCACGTGGCGCTCCACGTAATCGCGACTGTTGAGCCACAGCACACATGGCACTGCGCGCACAGGCCGCGTGGCACAGACGGTGGACAGTTGCGGCGCGGCGGCTGGTAACGCGCCCGTAAGTGGCGCTGGGGGTGTCACAGTAGCCGAAGGGGCGGAGACACGGGCGGAGGCGGTGGGCGGGGGGGCGGACGACGGGGCGGGAGAAGGGGCGGGGCGAGCGCCGGTGGCGGCGGTCATGCTGCCGTCATCTAAGGCGAATCGGACGAACTTATAGGGGAGCTTATCCACGTCGACTATGACGCCGACTAAGTACACGTGGCGCAACCGCGTTGGCCACTCCACGCCGTGCTGCTGCTGCTCTGCCGGCGGGAGAAATGCGGAGCCGAGCACTCGCCGGTAGACGGGAACATTCGCGTCCCGCGATTGCATCGCGACGCGAAGGCTATCCTTCTCGTCTTCTTTTACTTCCCCGTCGGATACTCATAACGACATCGCACGACGAAACACAAGTGTTTCCAGTGACTGCCGCCCGAGGGAGGAACAGACGGGAGAAGTCGTCGAGTTGCAAACGAGTAGTTGGACCAGATCGGGAGGCGTATCGGTATGTATCGGTAGAAATCGGTGCAATTGCATCTCAAAATATTTGCAAATCGCCCACAGATTGAGTACACCAACTGCATTGAATTATCAAAGCGTCCAAAAAATAAGCCAAGCCAAATGTACAAGCCTAGATATCCTAAGCCACAGAATACGAAATCCAGCTCCAATTGCACACGCCACCAGATCAGACGAGATAATTAAATGCAAGAGGCACAGGTTCTAGTTGAATGCTTCTGCCTCCTTCCGAGAGCGGAGACCTTTGCCTCCTGAACAAGTTGCTGCCATACCTGAAACCCGATTGCTGCGTGATGACATCAGCTCCGTCTCACGTCATGGCCCTAATTTCCGATCATAATCCTTACCGTAATCAAAAGTTCCAGGCTTCGCTTCATCCCCGAACATCTCCTTTGGGTTGCTTCTCCTTGTCCTTTCTGTGCTGCAGCCATCCCACCAAGGACGGCAGAGACGACAACTCAAACTGCTCCTATGCTGCCCCCACCCTCACCGCCTACCTGGTGTCACCCCCTCGCATCCCCCTTGGGGTGCTTCTCCTTGTCCTTTCTGTGCTGCAGCCATCCCACCAAGGACGGCAGAGACGACAACTCAAACTGCTCCTCTGCCGCTGCTGCTACCGCCTGCCTTGTGCTGCCTGCTCCTGCCGTATTGTGGGACTTAGCAAACTCGTGAGACTGCTGATGCTCCATGAACTGGTGAGACTCGTGGGAATCCAAAGACTGGTGAGAATGGTGCAGCTTGTGGTGGGGTGCCTCAGACGTTCGCTGGCTCAAATTTAATTCACTTGGCGTGGGTTCAACCCTCCCTGTGGTGGCGAGTGGCTTGGAAGGTGCACTGGAGTGCGGCGGACCAGCGTTTGCAGCACTGGAAGAAGCTGAAGTAGCTGCTGCTGCTTTGCTTGCAGGAGCAGTGGTGTTGGTCCCACCAGGGATGTCAGCAGGAGCAGCGGCAGAGGCAGTCGGCTTTGCAGAATCTGCAGCAGGCTTTGCAGCCGGTTTTGCAGTAGCAGCAGTAGAGTGGGCGTTTGCTGTGTCTCCATTCGCTTCCCCTCCTGTTTCACCTCCCTCACCGCCTCTCCTGTGGCCCCACGGCAGGAAATCCACGAGGTTGAATACCACCGAGGGAATGTGAGCCGCTGCACCGCCCACGTGCGACGCCGCCGCCCCGACTGTGCCGCCCACGTGAGACACTGTAGATCCGACTGTGGACGTTACTGTGGAGGCGGCGGCGCCGACCGCGCCGGCAGCGGAGGAGAAGAGAGGGCTTACAACGCGGATGGGGATCACCGTGGCGTCCTTGAGGGAGTCTGGGGGGAGGGAGGAAGAAGCAACAGAAGCAGCATTTGATGCATGCACCAGACCAGTACGGTCACTACATGGGCAGAGCGCATGGTTACTTGGTTACCAGCGGTTACCAGCACTTACCAGCAGTGTGCTGCAGCTTAGCCCTGCCGCTGCTGGTGCTGGCGGTTCTGGCCATTACCTGGGCCACAGCGCATGGTAACCTGGTTACCAGCGGTTACCAGCGCTCACCAGCAGTGTGCTGCTCCTTGGCCTTCGTGTTGCTGGTGCTGGCGGCAAGACGGGAGGTCCGTGCAGGGCTGCGCACTCCCTGAGAGATCTCATGGCTGGTCGGGTGGGCAGACGGGTGGGGAGAGATGAAACGATGGAGAGCGAGAGAGATGAGGAGATGAAAGATGGTGGTATGGGATGGGAGAGGTAGAGAGGCGGCACAGGGAGGGAGACAAAAAGAGGCGAGGAGCTGTATTGGTCTCCAAAACATAACAGAGTACGTCAAAGTCCAATCTAAGAACTCACGTAAGTCCCACCCGAGAAATCACCTGAGTCCCACCTGAAACGCATGTGAGGTCGCTGGCCTCCACCTGAGATAGCCTGGCAACCGCTCCACCCACTACTACCTGAGTCGGCAGATGAAATCACCCGAGACTGAAACCACCTGAAAAAAACACCTGAGGAATCGCATGAGGTCGCTGATCTCCATCCCTCACAGCCTCACTGGTATGTTGTTGAAACCACCTGAAGAATCACCTGAGGTCGCTGAGCTCCATGGTGAGGTCGCTGATCTCCATGCCTGACATCCGCACTGGTACATTGTTGAAACCACCTGAGGATTCACCTGAGGTCGCTGAGCTCCATGGTGAGGTCGCTGATCTCCATCCCTGACAGCCTCACTGGTACGTTGTTGAAACCACCTGAGGATTCACCTGAGGTCGCTGAGCTCCATGGTGAGGTCGCTGATCTCCATGCCTGACAGCCTCACTGCTGCCATCGTCCCTGGCAGCTCCTCCCTCGCCGTCGCTGCCAGCCGCTCCACTGCCTGTGCCGCCTTCCGCACCGCCTGGGGACGCGGGCAAGGTGAATGGGAGCGAGTGAGAGCGAGTGAGAGCGAGTGAGAGGGCCAGCAGGCACTAGTAGGCTCGAGCCAAAGGCAACTTCTCCCTCACCGTTGCTGCCAGCCGCTCCACTGCCTGTGCTGCCCTGCGCACAGCCTGTAGGTGGGGTGGGGGAGGTGGTGGATGGGCGTGTGCAGGGCACTAGCCAGCAAGCACAAACAAGGGTCCCTGGAAGCTCCTCCCTCGCTGTGGCTGCCAACCGCTCCACTGCCTGCGCTGCCCTCCGCACCGCCTGAGGGAGATGAGAGGAGGGAAGGGGAGGACGAAGGGATGGCAAAGAGGGTGTGCGTGTGGCGTGCGTGGTGGGTCGCTGCCAGCCGCTCCACTGCCTGCGCTGCCCTTAGCACGGCCTGGAGAGTGAGACGAGAAGAGGGTGCGTGTTTTGAGTCGACTCAAAACACCACCGCACAGACTGGCGTGTGAGACGAGAGGTGGGAGCAGGGGGGCGGGGTGCGGAGATACGTTGGATGGGCTAGCCAGATATGGTGCATTGACTCTGGGCGGCAGGCCCTAGTGGCTAGCCCATTCACCATATCTGTCCTAATGCCTTACAGACACTCGCTGGCCAGGAGGCGGGCATGGGACCGACCTGTGTGTGGTGGGACGTACCAGGAGCGCGGGAATCGCGGCGAAGATTATGCCGGAGAGCGCTGCGGAGATCTGCAAACGAAGCAAATCGGACCGTTAAAGTCAGCAGGAGCGGAAAAAAACCAATCCCTAGGGTCAAAAAGAGGGTGTGATACAAAAGGGCCGTGAGTGCAGGGGGTGAGGAAATGGCGCGAGACAGGAGACTAAAATGACATGCTCTTACGGCGGTATAGGAAGAGGCAGAGGCATATAAATACATACTCGTTTCAAAATGACTCGTTTCATACATACTCGCGCATAAATCCACGAACAAGCGGGTTTGCGTACCGAGCATGCGACGAAGCCGAGGGTCAGAACAGGGACGTCTCGCGGCGACACGTGGAGGAGACCCGGTGGTTGTGGAGCCGACGACACCGATGCGACCATGTGCGACGCGTCCATGCGACTGCCGCATGTCGCACACCGCATTCGGTCTGCGAGTCCGGAAGCGCCGCCTTTATCGCCCTCCGCGACACGCGTCGTCGCTGTGTGCCGTCGTTCAGCGTCGCTTGCGATCGCTTTCGCGTCGCTTGGTTGCGCGTCGTTTGCGCGTCCCGAAATCCATCGCGGGATCAGCGGCGACGCAGACGCGGTATTTGTGCCCGACTCCTCGCCACGCACGTGTGCTGCTTCTATTGGTTTAAACCGTTTCCCTCGGGTAAGCTCAGTTGAATGCGCTAGGGGAGTTGAGCCGAGGCGAGGCGAAGCGCGGGAGAGAGAAAAGGGCCATTTTTGAGGCGGGTCGAAAGCGGGTGGGAAAGCGGCCCTGATGGTTAATCTGCTTCTTGGTTCGACTCGCGTTGGGAGTATCAGCGAGGCGTGCTGTGGTGCACGCTTCGTCAGTCCGCAATGGCATGCTCCGTTACTGACTGAATCCGCTATACGCGTTATGGCGCCGGACGACATCGTACTACAGGCAGCACCGGTTTTTGATAAAAATACGAGTGATAAATTAGCGGTTTCTTGAGCGCGACACACGCGCCTTCTTTCGCGTCGAGCAAGAACTATTCCGAATCTTTCGGAAGTCGGATCCTAGCTACAGCTACGACGTGGAAGGAGGATGCACTGGACGCAGTCTGACTAGAATGGAATCAGACGAGGTGTGAAAGCTCGGTACGTTGAAGAACGATTGAAATTTTGCCGAGGCTCAAGTTTGCTCAAGCAGCAGGCAACTCCAGTTTGCTCAAGTTTGCCGAGACTATGTTTGTCAGGCGCTCACACAGTTCAGAGAGATGCTGAGCGATAAGGCGGTGGTGTAGCAGCAGAGGGGAAATGCTGATACGCGAGGATTTCAGCAAGGTTAAATACGGCGAAAATTGGTTTCAAGAGGTAAAGAGCTTCAAAAGAGGTGTGACTACGGGGTGCAGCGAGTGGATGAACCTTGAACAGCGGCACTGGGACAAAAATTGATGACAACGAATCTGAACCGTGCAGGATAGGTCAAGAAGCGGGCGCCGCGTCACGGTGACCAGTCGCGCGATATCTTGACACATAACGATGGTGTCAGATCAGAGTCAGCGTGACGCAAGACACACTGTGGGATTGGCTGATGCCACATCACAGCCTTCTGGATCGCTCGCCGTGCTTCAACGCAAGTACTCGTTAGAGATATAACGCAGATTACACGGACAGCGTAGACTCGTATCAGTGAAAATATCACTCGTTCCTACTCTATGGAGTGACATATACTACACCCCATAGCTAAAGTTACAGAATAATTGCTACAACCATCGAAATTCATTCACATAAACCCTAAGGCTCCATCATGTCTCCAGTCTTATCCCGCGCAGCAGCAGCCCATGTGCGGTTACTCCAGGCTCGTGTCAGATTATGCCCTCCATGCCTGTGCTTATGATCCACAGGCCGTGCCTCGTCAGGCATCGCCGGCACACCGTCAGCATTTGCCCCGGGTTGTGATGTGGCAGCAGCGGATTGGCTGACGCGCATGAAGGTGGGCTGGGAGGTGGAGGAGAGGAGGCGTGCCCACATGCGATCAGTGAGGGCCACTGACTTGGGGGCCGTCACTTGCTGTGGGCGTTGGGGAGTGAGAGTGTGGGGAGAGGACGTGGGTAGAGGGAGTGGAGGAGGGGATTGGGAGCGGGAGTGACGGGACGGAATTAGGAGAGGGAGTGAGAAGGAGTCAGGCTATGGGGCTGTAGGCATGAGCGGCAGCGACTTGGGGGTGGTCACTTATTGTGAGAATGGGGTTTCCAGAGAGGGAGGTAAGGGGTGTGACCGTGTGGGTTGTATGCAATGGCGTAGGATTGAGGGTGAGATGGATGCGAGATTGGGGGGTGGGGTATAACAGAGATGGGAGCAAGTGAGAAGAAGTAGGGTCACAGGGCTGTAGGCATGGACCTCTGCTTTGAATCCAGCAACGTACATTGACGGGGATGTAGCACTGCGTGCCGTTGACTGGCCCCACCACGAAGCCCGAGTAACCCGCCATGGCGCCGTGGATGGCCCCGTGTGCCAGCAGCGTGCAGTAGATGTTGTCTCCAGCATTCGCTGGGATTGCTCTGATCATGTACGTGGGGTCTGGAAGGGGAGGGCAGTGGAAAGAGAGTGATAACGAGAGCGCAGCACATGCAGTTGAGGCGCCGTGGATAGCCCCGTGTGCCAGCAGCGTGCAGTAGATGTTGTCCCCCGCGTTGGCTGGGATGGCCCGAATCATGTATGTGGGGTCTGGTGGGTGGGAGGAGGAAGGGGGAAAGAGAGTGAAAATGACAGCGCAATGCCTTACAGGCGTCGTGAATGGCCCCGTGTGCCAGCAGCGTGCAGTATATGTTGTGCCCTGCATAGCCGGGATGGCTCGGATCATGTATGTGGGGTCTGGGGGATGGAGGGGAGAAAGAGGGTGAAGAAAGACAGAGTTGAGCAATGCACTACAGGCGCCGAGAATGGCCCCGTGCGGCAGCAGCGTGCAGTAGATGTTATCTCCTGCATTGGCTGGTATGGCCCGGATCATGCATGTGGGGTCTGGGTGGGGAAGGGGTTGTGGGGAGGAGAAAGGTAGCGCAAATAACAGCCAAATTAGAAGCTCAGCAAGGCACTAGAAGTACATGTAATGATTGCTCTCGTTTGTTTATTTAATGTATATAACATGCTATATATAAATAATATATATATACAAGGGGAACACTCACCGATGTATTTGAGGCTGATCTCGCTCTTCTTGTCCGCGTTGAAGTGCTCCTGATGGTCGCACAGTGCATGGGGAACGGTGCATGGGTAAGGGCGCATGGGGGCAAGCAGTGCATGAGAAGGGAATGAGGCGACTTTTGAGTCGATTTGTGGAGAGTGTCAAGCAGCGCACGAAAGGAGAGGGGTAAGGTGGTACCCACCTTCATCCACCCACCTTGATACGCTCTGAGAGCCACAGCCCCACGTCCAGCAGCAGCGCGTTCCCTGACTTGTCCGTGCCCGCGCCACCCCATAGGCTCTAATACACCAGGCTCTGCCCCGCGCCCTCATGAATTCGTAAAAACGCGCACACCACAACCACTCTCACCTTGATGCGTTCCGACAGCCACAGCCCCACGTCCAGCAGCAAAGCGTTCCCCGACTTGTCCGTGCCCGCCCCACCCGGCAAGCTCTGAGCCACCAGGCTCTGCCCCGCGCCCTCAGCCACAACGATTACGCAGTGGTCGTTCTCGTAGAGCTTCCTCTCCATGAACTCAAACAGCCCGCCCTCGCCCTCCAGATGAAAAGGGACTTCCGGGATGAGGCAGCAGTCCTGGGGGTGAAGTGGGTGGGTGAGGGCAAAAGGGCAACAATAACGCAGTGGTCGTTCTCGTAGAGCTTCCTCTCCATGAACTCAAACAGGCCTCCCTCGCCCTCCAGATGGAAAGGGACTTTCGGGATAAGACAGCAGTCCTGGGAGGTGGGTGAAGGGGTGGGGGAGGTGGGATGAAGAGGAGAGGAAAAGGGTGAAGGGGTGGGGGAGATGGGGGTTTCCAGCACCACTACAGCCACAACCATCACCAGCAGCCAGGGTATAAGGGCAGCTTCCTCTCCGCGACCTCAAACAGCCCGCCCTCGCCCTCCAGATGGAAGGGCATCTCTGGAATGAGACAGCAGTCCTGGTGGTACAGTGGGTGGGCGAGGGCAAAAGGGCGACGATGGCGCAGTGGTTGTTCTCGTAGAGCTTGCACTCCAGTCCCCAAGCAGGGACATACAGGCCTTTTACGCCCTGCAGTCCCCAAGGCAGGGACTACAGCTCCAGTCCCCAAAGCAGGGACTACAGCTCCAGTCCCCAAAGCAGGGACTACAGCTCCAGTCCCCAAAGCAGGGACTACAGCTCCAGTCCCTCATCAGCCCTTCCCCCATTCCCCCCCATCCCCACCCCTTCCTTCTTACCACGTCACGGCTCGCAAGAGTGGCATGCATGGCGATTTGAGTCGACTCAAAAGCACACCCAACCCCTCCCGCCCTCATCATCCCTCCCCCTGTTCCCCCTTCTTACCACATCACGGCTCGCAAGAGTGGCATGCATGGCGATTTGACCTGATGTAAGGGAGAGCGGAGCGGGGTAGGATGGGGTGGGGCGAGGTGGATGGGGTGGGGTGGGAGTGAGAGTGTGAGTGAGAGTGGGAGTGTGAGTGGGAGTGGGAGTGGGAGTAAGAATGGGAGTGAGAATGAAGGTGGGAATGGGAATGGGAGTGCGGGTGGGAGTAGAAATGGGAGTGGGCGTGGGAACGGGAGACCGGGATGAGGGTGTGATGACAGAGAGAGAACAAAGCAGGTGATGCGAGCCAAATGCAGGATGGCAGTATCGCTGAGGTGACACCTTGCAGCAACATCCCTTCAAATCAACCTCAGCTCAATTCAGCAGCACCGTCAATTGACCCCTCCACTGACCGCAGTATCGCCCCATGAGCTTCACTAGCCCCACGCCCCGGTGAGTGCTCGTGACCTCCACCCTCGCAGCGCTGATGGCCCGCTGAGCCTCCTCCACAGCCGAGTCGAACCCAAACGACCGGTCAATCACTGCAATGTCGTTGTCTATCGTCTTGGGGATTCCCGCTACTGCCACCTTGAGTCCCCTCCTCCTGGTTTCCTGTGAAGGGCAAGGAGGCGAACAAGGAGGGTAAGGGAACGCTGAGGGAGCACTGATGGCCCTCTGAGCCTCCTCCACAGCGGAGTCAAACCCCCTGACCGGTCGATCACTGCAATGTCGATGTCTATTGTTTTAGGGATCCCGCAACTGACGCCTTCAATCCGCGCCGTCTGGTCTCCTGTCGGGCGCTAGGAGAAGTCTTCTGAGAAGTCACATACTCCAAATATGCTCAAGGCAATGAGGCTATTTTTGAGGCGCCTCAAAAAATAGACTCCTGTAGTGCGCCCAGGAGAGGTCTTCTGAGATTTCTCCACATACGTTCCAACTAAATATGCTACAGGCAAAGAGGACTGATGAGGAGACGACAAGACCTGTATGTTACCGCGTCCCAAGTCACCCCGCACTTGGTTCTGAAGCCACCCATGACCGACCCCACCCCCACCCACCCCACCCAACCCCCCACCCACCCCACCCCACCCCACCCCACCCCACCCCACCCCACCCACATGGTCCATGAGCCGAACCCTTCCCACTGCACTGCACCGCATGCCACCCATCATTCCCACAACACGCACCTCATAGATGATCTCTGCGCCTCGCTGCGTGCCGTCCCCTCCTATGATGTAAAGCTGGCATGGAAGGGAAGAGGGCATTGTGGAGATTGAGTGGGAAGGGGAAAAGCACACAAATGAAAAAGGCGCTGTTTAGAAGATGTCCGCACCGCTAGCCTTCACATCATGTACCAGTAAACTAACCTGTAACTTCTCCTGGAGCGTCACCTGAGAGTTCCTCTGCCTGCCATCACCTGGTCGATTCCTCACCTGCTTGCCACCTCACCTGGTTGATGCCTCACCGCACCGCACCACACCCCACCTGGTTGATGCCTCACCGCACCGCACCACACCCCACCTGGTTGATGCCTCACCGCACCACACCCCACCTGGTTAATGCCTCACCGCACCGCACCGCACCCCACCTGGTTGATGCCTCACCGCACTGCACCCCACCTGGTTGATGCCGCGGTCTTCAATGGAGTTGACGATCTTGGTGGAGTCGTGCCCGCCTCTGAAAGGCCGTTTGAGACGCCTCACCTGATTGACAGACACCTCACCACACACGCAACACCACACAGCACCGCACCGCACCCCACCTGGTTGATGCCGCGGTCTTCAATGGAGTTGACTATCTTGGTGGAGTCATGCCCGCCTCGGGAAGTACCCAGGAAGGTGCCTCCGCGCTTGTGGATGTCGTTCACCTTCCACGGGTCCAGCTGCAGCAGGTTGCGGCTGTAGAAGCCCCGGTACCCGCCCTGGCGAAAGGAGGGAATAAAGGTAGGTGAGGGAACCAGTTGGAGTCGACTCGGCACTCTCAACAAGCGACCATACTTCCACGGGTCCAGCTGCAGCAGGTTGCGGCTGTAGAACCCGCGGTAACCACCCTGGTAGGAAAGAAGAAGGTGTGAAGTGAGGGGAGGAGGGGAAAACAGAGGGTTTTAGTGGCCTTCCTGCCTCCACCACGGGTCCAGCTGCAGCAGGTTGCGGCTGTAGAAGCCCCGGTACCCGCCCTGGTGAGGGAAAGAAAATGAGGGGAAGAAATGGGGGGAGGTTGGAGTGAAATGCGCTTCATGCCTTGGGTCCACCTTGCCTTGGTGCTTTCATGAATCCAGCTGCAGCAGGTTGTGACTGTAGAACTTGCACCGCAGTACCCGCCCTGGTGCCAGAAGGAGGGGGAGAGGAGAGGGGGGGCAGGGCGGAACAAAGAGTCCCATTTCCTGGCATGAATGAACCCTGGGTGCTGTAACCCATTTCGACCCCTACCCTCCTTCCCCCTCCCTTCCCCACTCTTACGCACATCAATGCCGGAGATACTACGCACTCCGTAGCGGAACCACAGCGCCCACACGAGCTCGCACCAACAGTGTAACTCTCATCCACATGTATTTGCACCCCATCCCACCATTACGCACATCAATGCCGGAGATGCTTCGCACGCCGTAGCGGAACCAGAGCGCCCACACGAGCTCGCGAATGACCGTGTTGAGCCCGGGGCACAGGCCTCCGCATGTGACAATGGCCGCTCGCACGTCCTGAGGCTGGAAGGCCACCTGTTGTGAGGGGCCAAGAGGAGAGATTGAAAGGGAACGGGGGGTTGGGGGGCAGGGGAAGCGGGCAAGGGAGGGAGGGAGGGATGATGGTGTCGAGGCCTGGGCAGGGTCTCCGCACGTCACGGTAAGCGCCCAGAAAAGCTCACGGCACGGATAACTGTGTTGAGCCCAGTGCAGAGCCCGTCACACGGTACAACGGCTGCTCTGCTGTGCTGAAATGGTCAGCTGGAATGGGAGGGGGGTAGAGGGAGAAAGAGATGGAGAGTGCAAAGGGAGGGAGGGATGACCGTGTTAAGGTCGCGGCAGAGACCACCGCACGTCACAATTCTTCCCCCCATCCACCCTTTCCCCCTCTTTCCCACCCCTCACCCAACGCCCCCTCCCCCCTCCCTCCCCTCCCCTCCCGTCCCCACTCTCCCCCTCGCTCACCTTCTCGCGTGGTCCGGAACGACGGAAGACTCGAATGTCGTCCACACTGCCCGTCTTGATGAGCGCCTGGTCGGAGGGTGGGAGGGGTGTGCGGGAAGGCGTGGGGAGCCATGGGAGAGTGGTGGGGGAGTTGAGCGCCTGGGGAAGACACGGGGCAGTTGTAGGGTGGGGGAGGTGTGGGGAAGATGTGCGGTCGTTGTGGGGGGGAGAAATGGGGAGGGGGCAATGGGGTTCGTAAGAGCGTCTGAACACTCGAATGCCGTCCACACTGCCCGTCTTGATGAGCGCCTGGGGGAGAGACGGAGCAGTTGTAGGGTGGGGAGGTGGTGAGCGAGTTGCGGGAGGGGGGGCCTCTTGAGAGACTGTGGGAAGATGGTATTTCGTCCACAGTGCCAGCAGTGGAAAGACGCAGGGCGAAGGCAAGCGGGACAGGAGACGGGAAACAGGAGATGGGAGACGACGACGGGAGATGTGCGACGGGATGCGGGAGACAGGAGAGAGGGGAGGGGATGCGGAGACAGGAGAGGGGGGAGGGGATGCGGAGACAGGAGAGGGGGGAGGGGATGCGGAGACAGGAGAGGGGGGACGGGAGACGAGAGACAGGAGAGGGGGGACGGGATACGGGAGACAGGAGAGGGGGGACGGGAGACGAGAGACAGGAGAGGGGGGACGGGAGACGAGAGACAGGAGAGGGGGGACGGGAGACGAGAGACAGGAGAGGGGGGACGGGAGACGAGAGACAGGAGAGGGGGGACGGGAGACGAGAGACAGAAGAGGGGGGACGGGAGACGAGAGACAGGAGAGGGGGGACGGGAGACGAGAGACAGGAGAGGGGGGACGGGAGACGAGAGACAGGAGAGGGGGGACGGGAGACGAGAGACAGGAGAGGGGGGACGGGAGACGAGAGACAGGAGAGGGGGGACGGGAGACGAGAGACAGGAGAGGGGGGACGGGAGACGAGAGACAGGAGAGGGGGGACGGGAGACGAGAGACAGGAGAGGGGGGACGGGAGACGAGAGACAGGAGAAGGGGGACGGGAGAAGGGCGACGGGCGACGGGACGAGCAGGCAGGCGGAGCAAACATGAAGCGAGCAGGAAGAAAGGAGAGAAACGGAGAGAAAGGATGCACGGGGGAATGGGAGAGAAATGGGGAGAGACGTGAAGGGGGTAATGGAGGGGTAGCAGCGCACCTTCTGGCAGACAACGTCCTCACTGTCCACGAAGTAGTTCCTGGTGGTGGTGATGGGTGCAGATGGGCGTGGAGAGGTGCAGATGGGCGAGGAGCGGTGCAGATGGGCGAGCATCGGCGATGAATGGAGAGAGACGGGAGGAGAGGAGGGGAATGATGAGGTGTGGAGGGAAGAGAGGGAGAGAGGAGAATGGAGGGTAATATGAGGAGTGAAGAGGAGTGATTATGGCAAACAGCGGAGCCCAGTCACAGCACAGCTCACTTCAACAATGAAAGCCACAATGGGATCTGTGCTTATGCACTCTTACAGAACAGAAGCATGGAATGGTATGGAAGGGTATGGGATCGTAATACTTACTCAGGTCGATTAGGGCTTCGAAGTAGCGGATTATTGTACATCTGAACGAGAGATGACACGGACCAAGAGACAGACACAGAACGAGAAAGAGAGACAAAGATAAGAGACGGATGGTAAGTAAGCCCACGCAGTGGTCCATTTCGAGGACCAGTCTGCTCTGAACAGCGAAAGAAAAAAAAAAGGACAAAATATACAAAACAGAAACACCGGCATTGCAAGAATGCGCACCTGAAGGCCAGGAATCCATTCGGAAATGTGTGGAACGTCGTCGAGAATCACGGCGGACCGGATCCCCATTTCTCTATCTTGCTGCCGGCCTCGCCTCGCAAAGCGACTGGAATCGAAGCCGGCTATACCGCGTCCGTTTAGACGGCGCGACGACCGTAGATTCGCCGCTCCTTGGCTCCATCCTCCCGCGCGGCTCCACGCGATCTGATTTGCTATACGATGACTCGAGTTGGAATCCCGGGTCGGGTTTCTTGAGGAGCTAGTATGGAGGGCATGATAGTGTAAGGTACTGTGACCAAGCGCTGAAGCGCTGCAAGAAGCCATGGCTGGGTGTAAAGTTGCAAAGATAAGGAGAAAAATAAAAAGCGCTTTTTACAGTGACAATCACAGTGAGCCCTAATGCAGTGATGATAACGTGCAATATACTTCCGCGATTAGCTGGAGCCTAAAGTTCCAGCCAAGCACGTCCTATCGGTCAAGCGATTCGTCACAATGTGTCTGGCAGTCACAACGAATGGCCACTAGAACTGTGCCAGTCACAAAGACTCGATGGTATATTCCCAAGGTATCAGGGTCACTGATACAGTACTGTCTAACGGGTTTGGCGCTGCCAAAAGCTGACTGCCGTACCCGTTCAGGGTCATTTGACTCGCTGCTATTCGTTGGAACATTGCTGGTATTCCCAAGGTTTCAGGAGGGAGATTTGACAAGAGGCAAGCTCCTGCAGGAGACCATGCCCCGTGCAGCTTCGCGCACACTCTTTCCGTGGCAATAACGCCTCACGCATTACTGATTATAAAATGACAGTGTAACCAAGACGATATGGCTGGAGCGAATATCATTGTGCATAACATAAATTGGGGCCAATTTTGGCCACTGCAGTGTTTGAAGTGACATACAGTACAATAAACATGCTGTATGCTAAAAAACTACGGTAAGAGATCGAGTGGCATTTGAAGCTCAGAAACTTCCATGGTCGGGCACAATTCAAGCAAAAAGGGTACAGCAGCTTATCAAGCAGCCACCTGGGCAGCAGCAGAGGCTGGGAGGGATGCAACAGCAGCAGAAACTTCCTTGGCACTGATACCGGCAAGACTGCCGGTTGCAGATGCGACGACTGTGCACTTGCGGTCAGCAGCATTGGGAACGAACCGAGCAGCCTTGTCCGACGAGCCAAAGAGCGCCACACTGGAGAAATGAAAACGCCAGACAAGACAAAAGTGAGGGATAAATATCACTCAAAGATGTTCAGAATCTCTTAACTTGGTTTCTTCCCAAAAACAAGCTTGCTGCTACAGAAAGAATGGCATGCTTACAAATTTCTTAAGTACTGACCTTGGCTTTCTGAGAGCGGTGGCGAGTTGCACAGCAGCAGTGTTGGTTGTGACGACAGCAGCTGCATCGTCAATGGCAGCAGCAAGCTGGAGTCGCGGGGGAAACCAAGGAGGATGGAAGAGGGTCACGGTTGAGGACAGCAGGTGAGGTGAAGGGAAAAGTCTACGCCTTGACACTTAAGTTTAAACTGTCATTAACTCTTGTTGGGCGAGAATCAGGTAATGAGAAACCCATACTCCAGCTGTTGCTTCCGTAGTCCATTCATTGCTATTCCATGGCATACTTGCAAGCTCAACCTACATGTTTTGATTCTCCATACACCATGAATGCCATGCCTCATACACACCATGCCCCGATGTGCGTGGCACCCATCCTTTTGCTCTGTGCTTGCCAACTCGTTACCAGCTGCGAGTGCCACTGCCATACCTGGCCCGGAGTGGTGATTTTGACGATCTTGGCTGAGGGCACAGCGCTCTGCACCTTGCCTTGATCCGCATCGTTGGGCACCACCACCAGCAGGTCGCCACTGGTGTGGGGAGAGTAAAGGAGAGTGAAGGAGTGGGTGAGGGAGAGGGGAAGGGGTAAGGAAGTGGAGGGAGAGAATGAGTGACTCAGCTCGGCAGAGCGCTCTGCACCTTGCCTTGATCCGCATCGTTGGGGCACCACCAGCAGCAGGTCGCCACTGGGTGGGGGAGAAGGTGCGGAGTGGGTAGGGGAGAGGGGAAGGAATGAGAGGGGCCAGGGTGAGAGGGAGAGGGGTGAGAGGGGAAGGGATGAGCAAGTGTGGACGGAAAGAGACCTGTGCGTGACGCTTCAGCTAGCAGCGCGAGGGAAAGCGCGCTGTCAGGATGGAAGCGGTGGACGAGGACTCCACGAAGTGCACCAGCGTGTACGCACCCAGCGACACTCCTCCCTCCCTCCCTCCCTCCCTCCCTCCCTCCCTCCCTGTGATCAGCGTACACAACCTCCCCATTGCCTGCCTTCAGCCATCAATCTCAATCTAATTACGCACCTCACGCTCTTGGCGATTTCCGCAAGGAGTGCCAGAGACAAAGCGCTGTCGGTGTCTCCGCGTGAGCGCATGGAAGCAGCAGACGAGGACTCCACCCCGTGCACGAGCGTGTACGCGCCCGGCGCCACGCCCGCCGCGGCCGTCTTCTCGCGCGTCACCTTGCGCACCTTGCGCGGCAGGTTCACCTGCAGCGGCGGCAGGTAGAGCGCTGGGCCTCCCCGCACCGGCTCCAAGAGGAGATCGACCAAATCCTTGTACCTGGGGGGAGAGAACGGATGGGAGGGAGGGGGGGATAGAGGGAGAAGAAGGGGGTAGAGTGAGAGGAGATTCCTTGAAGGGAGTGCATGGTAGTTGGCGGCTGGAAGGAACTCCGTCCCCTTGCCATTTCCATTCTCATTTCCATCCCCTTCCCTCGCAGCGTCCCCATCCCCATCTCCCTGGCCTGTGCCTAACTATCTCTTACACGAATGGCAAGCATTTCCCTGACTTTCCCTGACATGCAATTCGACGCCTGCCTATATGGGTCTTTCGATTTCATCCTAAAAATCTCCTCTCATTGTGCCTCGCCGTATCGAATGTACCCGCCGAGCCCCTCTCAAACGCGCATCCGCGCCTTTGTGCGCATGCGTCTCCGATTTCCCTTCCCTTCTCCCCGCGGTCTCTCATCTCCCGCGTGCACTGCCCCCACTGGCATGCTACATTCCGCAGACTCCCCTTCGCCGCAAGCGCGCGGCGGACACCTCCGTGCGCACGGCGCACCGTGCAGACCCAAACATGCCTCCGCTACCGCCGCCCGCTGCCGTCGCCGCTACCGCTGCCCGTGAAACAACCCATGAATCCAGTCCTTAAAAACCATCACAACAACATGCCCATGCCGCATTCCCAAACGCGCCAATCCACCCCTTTCCCTTTCGCAAAACACATCAGCGAACTCACATGTGAGCGCCGTCCTCCGCGAGGTTCTCCTCCGTGCGCACGGATGCTACCTCGTCACCTGTCTCCGCGCATATACTCCTGCCGCACTGTTTGCCACACCGGCGCACTCACATGTGGGCGCCGTCCTCCGCGAGGTTCTCCTTCTCCGTGCGCACGGCGGTCGAGAGGAACACGCCCGCGCCCGCGCCGCTGGCGTTGGGGTTCACGTACGACACGCGCTGACGCGCGTCGGAGAGGAAGAGGAACATCGCGTGACCAAGACCGGCCAGTCTCGTTGACAGCACCAGGTCGTACGCCTCGTTCTGAACGCGGGAAAGAAACAAGGAAAGGGGGGATGCGGGAGATGGAAAATGGGGGACACGGGTGACGTGTGAGAGGGGCGCGAGGGCAAGCGTCGGAATGGAGAGGAACACCGCTTGGCCCAGCCGACCAGTGGTATCGACACTGGACAGCACCAGCCATACGCCTCTCGCCTTGAGAGCGCAGACCAAGCGGGTTAATATCAGGACGAGAAGAGGAGACGAGTGGGGGACGGGAGAGGCAATGCAGTCGCGTCAGGCTGGTATTCAGTGCTGCATCGTTCAGCCTCGCTGCGACGCGATCGGCACGCGGAGACCAGGTGGGAGAGGAGGGCGCGGGTAGGCAGAAAGGGTATATGGAGCGGGGAGTCGGAGAGTGGAGGACGGAGAGATGGGGATGGGGAACGGGAATGAAACAATGTGGTCGATAAACGACAGCTCCCAGCAAGGACGTTGTCGACACGGACAGGAGAAGACAATGCTCGCAGCTGCAGCAGCTGCTGAAATCAAAGAATCGTGCGAGGCAAGCGGTGAGAATGGAAACGCTTGATTGAGTCGCAATAAACACGCAATGCAGCAAGCGGCAGAACACGAACCACTATTGATGCATATCGCCATTTGGTTTCGTTTCAATCAGCATTATTAAAAAATTCCCGAAAAGATGGTCTCACCTTGAGCTTGCCGAGGAACTCGGTGTATTCGGCGGGAGTCACGAACGGATCTTCAGGGTCGTACACCCACGCGCGTCGTACGTTCTTGTTGATCTCGTATGTCTGCTTGCCACGTGGCGGAGCCGCCACGTCGATCTTCACGCCAGGGTACTTCTCCTTCAGCAACGAAATCACCGGGAAAAACAAAAGGTTCTCGTACACGCCGCCGGCGACGAGGATCGCACAGCTTCGCACATCGTCGCGAATGTACAACCCGAGCGACGCAATCTCCGGGTTGTGGCCAGGCGGGAACTTAAGCCAGCCTTCGTTGGAGGAGGTGTCGGTGGGGGGACGAGGGTCGACGGCGTCTTGCTTGCCTGACGACAGCAGATCTCCGTACTCCAAATCTGGATCCTCGCCGTAATCGAACGGATCGTCGAACATTCTCTTGCGAGAGTGCGCGACGACGTTGCGACGCGCGGACGACGTCGCTCGGCTGCTCTTGCTGGTTAGGCTAGCCCTTGCGGTGACAGGACCGGTCTGTACCCTGCACGAGATTTTAACCGTTCCTTCGCAGCCTGCCTGAATGGGAGCGGCTGGACTGGTCGAGGAAAGGACGGGGGACCCGAGCAGCTCTGATTGCAACGGTCCATGGCTTCCCTGCTTAGCCACCGCATTTCCCGCGAGGGAAAGGTTGGCCAATGGACGCGTCAACGCAGCCATTTCTACGAGCAGCTAGAATGTAGCTTCTAATCTGCGGCTGCTGCTGTTGATTTTATCCAAGCAAGGGTCAGTGCTGGCTGGAACAGAAGCAGCCCTGACAGGGCAATCAAGCCTGAACAAAGATACGTCACTTGGTCTAACGAAGAAATAGGTTCCTGATACCCTGCTAGCTAGGGGGGAAAGGAAAGGAGATCCCTGTGATTGCTTTCTGGTCAGAAGAATGGATGGACGGATGGGTCTTGCTCGTGCTGCTCAAATCTAGATGGGGGGGGGAACCCTAGAGATTATCTCGTAAACGGGCAGAAGCCTTGAGGTTTTCGTTAGTTCGTCAACGCTGTTCTGCCGCTCGCGAAAATCATATCTGCCGCTTTGCGAAAATTGGGGTAGCTTTTAGGACGGTCAAACATCCTGGCGAAACGGCAGTGGTCGCTGAAGTGCTGACGTGGGTAACTCGACGTCAGACTCAGCTGTGTTTTTCGAAAGATCGCACGGGAGAGGCCCACAACTGGTGGGAACTGGGAAGTGGGAGCAGGTGATGGATGAGAGTCGGATTTGGCGAAGGGAAACCAGCTCATCTGGTAAATTTCGCGTGGAATGAATGTGGGCGAAATTGCAGCCAGGGCGGTGGATGAATCCACGTGGCAAACTCATCTTTAGGATTTGTGGCTTTGACGGCCTACACCCAACCCCGATGATGCATACTCGATATGGAGAAGATTGAAGGGGAATTTACGAAACATTAGACTGCACAGCACTCGCGATACGTCACTTGAGTGACCAATGATAAAACATGGTGCATCCAACCACTCACCCATTGAGCTTTTGCAGCACCATACGATATTTCACTCAAGAAAACATTCAGAATATTACAACACCCATGTATATCCACTCGCATGACACACATATATCAGGATTCCAGCTATGCCAGCCAAGCCCTAAGCTGGAAGCCACCTCTTTTTTCCCTAATTTTGCTGATAGGCTTGACAAACAAACATGTACACCTCTCACTAAATGCTGTTGGGCTGAGATAGCCCCTTAGGATCTTTTCAGGGGAGAACTCTGGGTAGGACAATTGTAATAGCGGAAGCTTTTAGTGAAGTAATTGTGAACCACCTTGCGCTAGTATGTGAGGGCAAAGTAGATTAATTATAACAGGAAAGTACAAGAATATATAGTGGTGTAAGGAATGTCAAAGGATACGGTTATAACTACTTTTACTGTTGCTGTTGCGGTTCGATACAGTACGACTCGGGCAACTGTTCTGTAACGAGTCAGTTGTATGTCCTTAACTGTCGCGCTGTACTTGTCGGGTCAAAGGTCAGCGACCTTTGACCTTCGCGTAACCTCCAGCAACCTCTTCAACCCCCGAGGGTTGACTCGCGGGTGCTTCGGTGTAGTTTGCCTCGCTTCTGATGCGGTGTTTTCGACACGACTGAAGCGCTTAGGTCTTATTGTTTCCAACACTCCCCTTCGCTTCTGGAGTGTCGCTGCTGGTGACGTGGCCCTGTCCAGTCAGCAGCATGCAATACTCGAACTTTTGCTTTCCGAGTTTCTTGGTCAAGTAGTCAGCTGCCATCTCGGATGTGGGGCAGTATGACAGCTCGAGTCTCCCCTTCTCGATCTCGTCCTTCACGAAGAAGTAACGTAGGGCAATATGTTTCGTCCTGTTCGCGAAGCCGTTCTTGTTGGCGATGCGAATTGCTGACTGGTTGTCGCAGAACACGGTGTGTGACTCGGCTGTCAGCTGCTGCAAGTTGGGTAACTCGGCTAACTTCGCTTCTTCCAGTAGCTCGCGAAGATAGAGTCCTTCTTTGGTGGCTGAGCAGAGTGCGATATATTCTGCTTCAGCCGAAGATAGCGCGATTAACTCCTGCTTGCTTGACTGCCAGGAGATAGGACCGATAGGCTCGAGGCGGTAGACGTAGCCGGTGCGTGAGCGTCTGTTGTCAGTGTCGCCGGCGTGATCGGCATCGACGTAGCCGATTAGCTTGGTTGGTGTAGCTGCGTTCTTGTGATAAGTTAAGCCGATCATTGCGGTGCTGATAAAGTAGTGCAGAGCGCGGTCAAGTTCCGCCAGGTGTTCTGCTTCAGGCTTCTTGAGATAAGTGGCGAGCTGGCTTGCGGAGTAGGATAGGTCGGGTCGGCAAGTGACGGCTGCGAAGAGAAGGCAACCTAGCTTCCTCTGATAGTTGCGTATGCCGGCGGATTTAAGTGGGGTAGATTCCTTATCGGCTCCTGTCGTGTAGCGGTATGGTGTTGAAATCGCGGCTGGCGTAATTCCGAATCGTTTGGCGATGGCGTCGGCGTACTTTTCGGCGCTGAGGTAGATCGCGTCGTTATCTTCTCGAATGTTAAGTCCGAGATACTGTGTGACGGTAGATGAGACAGTGAGGGTGAGGTCCCTCTGCAGCTCCCCTTCGAACCAGGTGGTGATGCTGTCGGTAGAGCCGATGTAGAGAAGATCGTCCACGTAGACAATTAGCAAGATGTAGTCGCTGTTCTTCGTGAGGCGGTACATGCCCTGATCGTGCGGGAGTTGTTTGAAGCCGATGCGGATGAGACGAGTATGCAGGTACTGCTGCCACAGTCGCGGTGCCTGCTTGATCCCGTAAAGCGATTTTAGTAGCTGGCAGACGTGCGTGGAATTTGTATTAGAGCCGTGCGGTAGTTCCACGAAAATCTCTGCATCGACCGGTGCGTAGAGAAAAGCGTTTGCGACGTCGATTTGGCGCAGTTTCTTTTTCTTCATAGCGGCGATGGCGAGAAGAATTCGAAGTGAAGTGTGGCGGCTGACCGGAGCGAAGGTTTCGGTGAAGTCTCGTCCATGTTCCTGGTCAAAGCCGCGAACGACCCATCGTGCTTTAAACTTGTCGATGGTGCCGTCGGCCTTCGTCTTCACACGGAAGACCCATTTCCCGGTAAGAATGGTCTTGTTTCGCGCTACACCGATGGGAACGACTTTCCAGGTGTTGCGTTCCTCTAATGCCTTCAGCTCCTTGTCCATGGCTTCGCGCCATTTTTCCTTATGCTCCCCCCCCAGAGCCTGTTGAACTGTCGCAGGCTCCTTAGGAATGTTGACGCCGTGGACCGCGGTGACGAGACCAAGGATTTGGAGTCCGCTCTGTGTGTAGCGGGGGAGTGTGGTGTCCTCGGGATAGACTGCTTCGTCTCCAGTTTCTGGATCGGGTGCGAAGTTGGGCCCTATGCGTTCTGCTTCGTTGGTGTTGACTTCAGCAGGTGTAACGTAACCGTTGTCGGCGAAGTGGTAGTAAGTTTCGGCGTTGACGCTTTCGCGAGGGTTTTCTTCGTCCATCGGTACGTCCACTGAGCAGTAGGGAAGAGGTCCGGCTTCTTCCGAGGCTCCTTCCACATTCTGCTCGTCCCAGTCAGCTTCGTCTTCTGTCGAAGCGAAGGCTCGATCGCCACGGAAGCCGCCTGTGGGGTCTCGATTTTCGTCCAGGTTGGCAAGGTACGTTGGCAGTGTGAGTCGTTCGTAGAAAATCACGTCACGTGCTGCTACTGTTTCTTTGCTGTTGATATCGAAGATCTTCCATGCGTTGTAATGTTTTTCGATGCCCAGGTGTAGTCCCCACTGTGCGCGTTGGGAGAATCGGCCGGCTCGTGCAGATGGGGGTCGGTACTGTACCATGCAGCCGAAGACTCGTAACATTTTTGTGCTGCCCAGTTTTCCTGTCCACAGCAGATGCGGTGATGTGTTGTTCGGGAGTGACGACGAAGAAAGCAAGTTGTGCAGCATTACGGCGTGGTCCATTGCTTCGGGCCACTGGTGGTTGGGTAGCCGCATGCCACGTAACAGTTTGCGCATGGTGTTCTGCAGAGTCCTGTTCATCCTTTCTGCTACACCCTGCTGTTGATGGGCGTAGGGAAGGGAGATGAGTCTCTTGATTCCCTTCTCCGCCAGGTACTGCTTGAATCGCTGTGACGAGTATTCTCCTCCTCCGTCTGATTGGAAGCTTTTGAGTTTAGCTCCCGATTCCCGTTCTGCTGCTGGAAGCCATGCCACGAAAGCCTCGAAAGCCATGTCGCGACTTGGTAAGTTTAGGTGCCAGACGTAGCGTGTAGCGGCGTCGATGAAGGTGATGGTGTAGTTATACGCGTTTTGTCCGGGTTCGCGGTTGTACAAGATGTCGCTGTATACTTTCTCGAGTGGTGCATATGCAGGTGCGCTTGGGTTGTGATGCGAAACGAAGGGCTGATGCGGTAAGTCAGCTTCGGGGCAGGTGAAGCATGTTCCTCGAGCTCGCTGAAGTTCTCTGCCGTCTGTTAAAAGCAGAGAGTCCTTGTCGAGTACTCCTGCTCGAATTGTGTTGTTTAACACAGTGTTGCTTGGATGTCCCATTCTTGCGTGCCAGATTTCTTCGTTGGCGCGATGACCGGGTGAGCGCTGATACATGTCGGAGTTGGAGTAGAGACCGGTGGTGAAGTTGGGACTGTGATGAAATTCTCGTGGTGCTGGCTGAAGCTGTTGTGCAGGTGTTGGTGGTGCATCGTCGTTGAAGAGCGCCGTCGTTGAAGGACCGGCGACTGGTGTCGTCGTTGTCGCTGTTGCTGTTGTTGTCTCTGCTGCTGCCGACGTTGTCTCTGCTGCTGCCGACGTTGTCTCTGCTGCTGCCGACGTTGTCTCTGCTGCTGCCGACGTTGTCTCTGCTGCTGCCGATTGTTGAATCGCTGCTAATGCTCTTGTTCTCTCTGTTTCAGGAATGGTATGTGAATACCAGAAGCCGCCTGGACTGAAGTCGGGGTCAAGATCCGGAGGGTGTGTCCAGTTGGTAAAGTTGACTATGGCGTCACTGTCAGCGGTGCCGAGATCAGGAACGAAGTCCAAGACGAAGACGTTGTTTTTAAGGATTGCCTTCCCGATGTAAAGACCTCCTCTCCCGTGGTACAGCTTGAATTCTTGGGTAGTGCTGTCTGCTTCGAGGTGGATGCCTTTCGCCATCAACTGACTCACACTGAGAAGGTTGTATCCGAGGCCTTCTGCGATTAAAACTTTGGACATTTGCAGAATGACGTTTGTCTCCCGTGACTGAAGTTGTACAATTCCTTGTCGTCGTGTGTACAGGTTTTGATTATTGGCGACGGTGATGACGACCTCTCGTTGAAGCTGATACTCTCTCTGTACGAAGCGTCCCGAAGAACACATGTGTTGTCCGCAGCAACTGTCCAAGAACCACGTGTCTTTTCCGGATGGCTCGTTTTGGGCGATGGCAGCGTATGTCGGATTTGGTTGAAGTGCTTCGCGACGAGGTGTGGTGTTGTCGAGTTGTTCTTCCGGTGAGTAATGAGGTGGTGAATCCATGACGCAAGAGTCACTTAGTCTTGCCATGCAGCTAACGATGTTTCTTGCTCCTTGCGCAGGTTGTCCCGTTGAGGTTGTTGAAGCTTGGATCTGGGTCGTTGGATTTGCTTGCGTTGACGCAATTTGACTGCTTGAAGGTCGAAGGTGTCGTTGCGGGGTCGTTGACTGTTGACGATTCGGGCAGTGCGTGCGCGGGTGCCCTGAAGTCTTGCAGATGTGACAGAAGGGAGGTACTGGCTTCGGCTGTTGTTGTCTGTAGTTGTTGCGTCGTCGTTGGGTGTGAAATGCGAACTCTGACGTTGTCGTCTTCTTCCTGTGTCGTTCTTCTTGCAGATCCATGTCCTGCTGTTCGGCGTGGATTTCGGCGCAGAGTGCTGCCTCAGAAATTCGTCCGTGGGCTCGGAGGATGGCCTTTGTTGCGCGCCACTGAGGGCCGAGGCCACCGATGATGACCGTCACGAAGGCGTCCTCAGAGATTGATCCTCCACATCGAAGAAGCTTGTCGCGCAGTTCGCGACATCGACTGATATATGCCATTCCTTTCTCTCCTGGTTTCATCTCAACTGTTGTCAGCTGCGCCATTAACCTGCTCTGGTTTACACTGTCTGTTGCTTGATACAGGCTCTTCAGATGGTTGTACGCGAGCTCCGCCGAGTTGCCGAAGGCCCGGTAGGACCGAATGTTCTGCTGTTGGGTTGGTGTTAAGTTCCTCAGTAGGATCGTATACGCCATCATCGATTGATATGTGTACTGCTGCTTCTCATACTGTGTGCCGTTTGCTGGATATTGCAGGGACCCGTCGAAGAAGCCAAGTATCTGCGCGCCCTCCATCATCAACTCGAACTCAAAGGACCAGGTGAAGAAGTCCTTTCCGTCGAATGGTCTTGACGTCTGAAGCTTCAAAACGTGTGCGAATTGCGACTGTACTTGTAACGCGTCCAGTGATTTGTCTTGTGCAGGCGAAGACTGCGGCATGAAGCTGATTGACCCGCGTTCGTACGGGGCGAAGGTGGGTTGCTGCTGTTGATTTCCGCGCGCGTATGACGACCCATCAAGGCTCATGGGTGTCACTCCGTTGTTGCTGTTGTGTGTCTGTGCAGGTCCCGACTGCTGGTGCTGCTCGTAGAAGGACATGAAGGAGAAAAACTTCTCCATCATGCTCTGGTCAAAGCCCGTGGGGCGATTTGTGAGAGTCTCGGTGGACGTTCCCCTAGGTCTTGTTGCTGTGCCTTCCTCTGTCTGCAGGCCAGAGGCAGGAGGTGGTGTAGGAGTAGTCCCCGGGGAGCCATTAGAAGAGCTCCTCTCCTTGTTTGTTGCCATGTCTTGTAATGTCTTTGAATTGAAAAGGTAGAATTTCCCCTGACCGCTCTCATACCATGTTGGGCTGAGATAGCCCCTTAGGATCTTTTCAGGGGAGAACTCTGGGTAGGACAATTGTAATAGCGGAAGCTTTTAGTGAAGTAATTGTGAACCACCTTGCGCTAGTATGTGAGGGCAAAGTAGATTAATGTCAGAATCCCAGTCACTAACCACTGGGATAAAAGGGCTTGTTTATATAGCGGGTGAGTGCGCCCATAACCCCCCAGGCCGACGTGCCTGTAACCCTTCCCTAGGATCATCGGGGATCCCCAGTGGACCTCTGACACCCCCCCGCACTGGGATGCCCGAAGTGCACACACCGGGAATCGAACCCGAGACCTTCGTTCTGATACCATGTCAGAATCTCAGTCACTAACCACTGGGATAAAAGGGCTTGTTTATATAGCGGGTGAGTGCGCCCATAACCCCCCAGGCCGACGTGCCTGTAACCCTTCCCTAGGATCATCGGGGATCCCCAGTGGACCTCTGACAATTAATTATAACAGGAAAGTACAAGAATATATAGTGGTGTAAGGAATGTCAAAGGATACGGTTATAACTACTTTTACTGTTGCTGTTGCGGTTCGATACAGTACGACTCGGGCAACTGTTCTGTAACGAGTCAGTTGTATGTCCTTAACTGTCGCGCTGTACTTGTCGGGTCAAAGGTCAGCGACCTTTGACCTTCGCGTAACCTCCAGCAACCTCTTCAACCCCCGAGGGTTGACTCGCGGGTGCTTCGGTGTAGTTTGCCTCGCTTCTGATGCGGTGTTTTCGACACGACTGAAGCGCTTAGGTCTTATTGTTTCCAACAAATGCACACCAATCAATGTACTCTCACCTAGCAAAATGCTCATCCCCATTCTCTGCAGCCCGCTTTTGAGCCTATCAGGCCTTGATTTTTCACTCGACAACTTCTAGATTTCAAACACCACCTAAAACTACCCCGAATTACACACCTAGCTCCTGAGACCTGCTCCCCCTTCCCCCAGCCAATGCAATCTGCCATACCTATCAACAGCCTATTGATGCCGAAACGAGCTTGTACTCCCAGCTCTCCCTTGCAACACTTGCACCGCTCCATCCATGTTTTCCCAGCCACCGCTCCTGCAGAATCTTCCCAGAATTAGGCACGATTGAACCCCGGGCATCAAGGTGACTAGGAAGCCCCCAACGACCTGAACTGCCGAGTGCATCCAGCACCTAATTCTGGACTTGGGCCCCTAAGATCACATAACAAGCACTCCGCACAGTGCTCCTGTGACGGACACTCGCTGGGGAACTGGACTGGGCACGGATAGGGAGACGCCATTGATGGATGGGCTCCTGCAATGCACTCACATCACCACGTTATCCACGTGCACTCCTGCTGTTATCCTACAATGCTTAGGCACTTCTGCTGCTGCATTCAGCCGTTTACTGTGACGCTGCTCCAGTCTTGGATCACGGCGAGCATACCATGTGCCCCCGCCCCGCCTCCCCCCCCCAACTACATCCCTCCTCCACCCCTCCTTCCCACTTCCGTCCCTAGCGCACGTCTTGGATCTGTAGCCGTTGCACTGCCGCCAGTCTTGGAACATGGAGCGCACTGCATTCCCCCGTTCCCTCCACCCTTATTCTCTCCACCCTCCTCCACCTCTACCACATCTCTAGCACAGTCCTTAGCCGTTAACCTAGCTAGCGCCAGTCTTGAATCATGGAGTACACAGCACGCCCCCTACCCCCTTTCCCACCCCTCCACCCCTAGTGCACTCCTTAGCCGTTGCGCTGGCGCCAGTCTTGGATCATGGAGCGCACAGCAACCCCCTCCGCCCGCCTTCTCCCTCTCCCCTTTCCCATGACCATCTCTACTCCACCTGCAGCACGGCCCTTACCCATTGCGCTGGCGCCAGTCTTGGATCATGGAGCGCACGGCATGGTTGGGTACGAGGTCCTTGCTTGGCATCTCAGCCTTCCCCCTTTCGTTCCCCCCTCCTCCACCTCTACTGCGCCTCTAGTGCACTCCTTACCCGTTGCGCTGGCGCCAGTCTTGGATCATGGAGCGCACGGCATGGTTGGGCACGAGGTCCTTGCTTGGCAGCTTCTGATTGGTCATTGGAGACATGTCGCTCGTCTCCAGCCATGATTTGATTGCCTCCTGCTCGTACGTGTGGCCGTCTGCTGCCAGTACAGGGTTCACCATCATCTCCTGTTGAGGGGGGGCGGGGGAGGGGGGGGAGGGGGGGGAGAGCAGTGTTCAAATGGGGAGAGAGCAAGTTACAATGAGATGTAGAGCGGGTGGCATGTCACTCGTCTCCAGCCACGATTTGATTGCCTCCTTCTCGTGCGTGTGCCCGTCTGCTGCCAGCACCGGGTTCACCATCATCTCCTGTGGGACGTAATGGTTGCATGGGGAAAAACATGATTAATGTCACAGCGTGCCATAAACCATGTGTGGGAATTGAAGTGTCAGTGCGTGGGAAAGATGAAAGCGAGGAAATAAGAGGAGGCGGCTCATCATCCCAGAACAAACAAGCAAATTACAAAGAACTTTTTCCTTCCCACCCACGCCGCCAACCAATCCCCACCCACCTGAGTGATGGGGCAGAACAGCACGCTCGGAGCCTCCCCCATCGGCCGCCGGCTCGGGGCCTTCCGAGCCTCCTCCTCAGCCTTGGCAGCGCGCGCCCTGGCTCGGTCCAGCACCGGCATGACCTGCTTCTCCAAATCCGGGCGCTTCTTCCTCCTCATTTCCGAACACTTCACTGCAATCCTTGCCACCTCCATCACCATATCTAACGGCCAGTCCCCTGCTTTTTCATCTAGAAACTCCTTCAATTCATTCTCGTCCCCGTCGTCTACCGCCTCTTCTAACCCCTCATACACGTTGGGTTTCCGCCCTGTGAGCAGATCCAGCAGTACGATCCCCAGAGCGTAGACATCGGATTTCGGGCCGAATTCCCCCGTTCGCTGAAACTCCGGGTCGACATACGCGAAGGTACCCACAGGAACCGACTCTCTCATGTACGTCTGATCCATGGATAGCCCCGGCATGAGCTTCGCAAGTCCGACGTCCCCTAGCTTTGCCACGAAATTCTTATCCAAGAGGATGTTTCCGGGCTTTAAGTCGCGGTGCACGATGGGCACGGGGCGCGTGTGGAGGATGAGGAGCGCGGAGGCGATTTCGGCGGCGACGCGCATGCGGATGTACCAGGGGAGAGGGGGCGTGTTGTTGGCGCAGAGCAGGCGGTCCTCTAGAGAGCCGTTGGCCATGAACTCGTAGACGAGGCAGTACTTGCTGGGGCAGCAGCCTAGGAGCATGACGACATGGGGGTGCTGTATCTGACTCAGCACCTCCACCTGGTGGTGGGGAGGAGAGGGGGAGTGTGGCGGGGTGAGGGGAGACATTGTTCAGCCACACAGACCTACCCCCTGTATTCCCTTGACGAGACTTCAGTAAAAACCCTGCCACAACCACATGAACCCACCTGGTGCTGCCGCTTACACACAGCCGAACAGACGCACCCACCTCCTGCTGGAACTCGTTGGCGTCCGCGTTCCTGAGCAGCACCTTGACAGCCACGGGTGTGTGACGCAGCGTTCATCTCTCCTCTATGTGCTCACGGGCATGACAGGAGCTCTCATCCAGCCACACAGACGCACCCACCTCCTGCTGGAACTCGTTGGCTGCCTGCATGGCGTCTGCGTTTTTTAACACCTTCACTGCCACGGGCGTGTGGTGCAGCGTGCCTGAAAACACCGTGCCGAACCCACCAACCCCCCCGTGATAAACCCGCCCTCGCATTCCCACCCAACCACCCCCTTTCTCCTTTCTTTTCATATGTTCACAGACAGGCCAGAGGCCCACCCACCTCCTGCTGGAATTCGTTTGCTGCCTGCATGGCGTCCGCGTTCTTGAGCACCTTCACCGCCACGGGCGTGTGGTGCAGCGTGCCTGAAAACACCGTGCCAAACCCGCCCTCGCCCAGCTTGCGATCCGGTTTGAAGTTCTCTGTTGCCATCTGGGGGAGGTCGAATGGGGGGATGCGAGGGGGGGGGGAAGGGGGAGTTTTAGGGCTTTAATGCCCTGAGAGGGAGTCATCTCCCCCAGCTTGCGCTCCGGCTTGAAGTTCTCCGTTGCCATCTGGGGAAGAGGTGGGGTGGGAGAAGGGGGGTGGGAGAGAGGGGGAAGGAAAGGGGAGGACTCAGAGGACTCAGTTCGTTCAGCTTGCGCTCCGGCATGAAGTTCGCCCGCCATATGAGAGAGAGTGGAGGGGGGGGGCGGGGGCAGGTTGAGACTTGGAGCACGGTTTGTGCACGGTTTGTCCTCGTAGCCGTATAGTTCATGTCGTTCGCCACCATGCACGCGCTGCCCTTCTGACGCTACAAGCCCGCTGAACACAACCCCACTGAACACAACCCCACTGAACACAACCCCACTGAACACAACCCTGGGCCCTGGCGGAACCACCCCAGCCACCACACTACACCCACAGTCACACCCCACTCACCCACCCAGCACAATGTCCTCGTAGCTGTATTCCCTGTAGTTCGCCACCATGCACCCGAACACACCACACAATACCACACTACACCCACACCCACATCCACACCCACACCCACACGCACCCCCCTCTCCCCCTTCGCCTTCAGCTCCACCTCCGCCCACTTCTGTTACCATGCACCGCAACACACCACACCAAAACCACTATGCACCCACCACAATGTCCTCGTAGCTATATTCCCTGTAGTTCGCCGCCATGCGCGCGCTCCCCCTCTCCCCCTTCGCCTTCAGCTCCACCGCCGCCCGCTGCTGTTACCATGCACCGCAACACACCACACCATACCACTATGCACCCACCACAATGTCCTCGTAGCTGTATTCCCTGTAATTCGCCGCCATGCGCGCGCTCCCCCGCTCCCCCTTCGCCTTCAGCTCCACCGCCGCCCGCTTCTGCGCCTCCATCTCCAGCGCCGCCCGGGTCATCGCCGCCTGTTTCATCGCCACTTCCGTCTTTTGCGCCTCCAATCCCGCCTGCTTCCGCGCCTCCTCCGCCGCAGCTAGCGCTCTAGTCGCCTCCTGGGAGGCCATTTCGATGCGCACAGCGGTTTCAAGCTCCCGGCGCTTGTTCTGGGCCTCCACCTCGCGCAGGGAGCGGTCGGCCTCGGAGAGGGCGCGCTGGGCGCGCTGCTCCGCCTCCAGACGCGCCTGCTCCGCCTCTGCTGCCCGCTGCCGCATCAGCTCCAGCTCCCTCCGCAGGTCGATCTGGTGGGGTTGGTGTGCGGGGGGCGGGAGCGGGGTGGGGGGAGCGGAGGGGACAAGGGAGGGGCGGGATAGGGGGAGGGAGAGAAGAACGTGAAGCAGGGAAATTGTGGGGTTAGTGCGTGGGGGGAGCGGGCGGGGTGGGTGGGGAGGGGAGGAGAGGAGGCACGAGGGTAAGGGAGAAGGGAGGGGAGAGGGGACGGAAGTGGATGGAGGGTAAGTAGAACGAGAGCAAGGATGGGCGCAGGGATGGATGCAACGAGCGTCAGCCACTTCTTAATGCTTATCACCACTCCCAACATCACCATTACCCGCACCATCATTCCGCATCCCCTTTCCCCAGTCACCATTCCCCCCATCAACCTTCCCCGCGGAAAAGAAATGCGTCTGACCTCATTGGCGCTCTGCCCGCCACTGCCGCCAGTCGCAGGCCCGTCCGGAATGGGCGCGGGGACAGGCGCGGGGTACATCAGCCGCGCCTGCATCTCCCCAGACCCTGCGCCCGCCCCTCCCCCCCCCGCGCCCGCGGGCGACCCCGTTCCGCTCCCCCCGTCCCCCCCGAGCTGCAGCCCCGCGAGCGCCGCGCGCGCCTTGGCCATGCGCGCCTGCAGGTCCGCCATGAAGTCCTGCTGCTGCTGGTACGTGGCGGCCTGGTTCGACTGCTTCCACGCGTCAAACTCCGCCATGTAATCCGCCTGCAGCCGCTGCCCCTCCTGGCTGCTCGCCGCTGCCTGCGACCACGCCAGCGCGGACAGAGCCGCTGCCTGCTGGATGTCATTCGGTCCCCCCGGGCTCTTCTGCGCGGCTCCCCCGGAGCCTCCGCCTCCGCCCCCGCCCCCGCCCCCGCCCCCGCCCCCGCCGCTCCCCCACTGCCCGTCCGCGCCGCCGTCCATGGAGAAACGGGTGTTGGTCGGGGCAAGCCCGCCGCTTCCCCCCCCGCTGCCAGGCGCAGGGTTGCCGTACACGGGCTGGAGAGTGCCTGATCCCGACGGGCTAGACTCACTGCTGCCGTACCCTCTCCTGCCCCCTGGCGCTGCTCCGCGCATGCCCGCCTGCCCTTGCATGCCCATGCCTCCCCCATGCCCCCCGCCCATGTCCCCGTAGTAGCCCCCGCCTCCGCCCCCCCACCCGCCAGGCTGCTGGCCGCCAGAGCCGCGGATAGGGTACTGCTGCTGCTGTCCGTACTGCTGCTGCTGCGGGTACTGCCCATACTGCGCCTGCTGCTCCCCGCTCCCGCCGCCGCCGCCGTAGGGGGTGTAACCTCTGGGCGGATAGCCGTTGTCGTATTCCCCGCCTGAGAAAGGGCATCGCGAATGGGCTCATAACGCATTAGAATGAGCCCTGACGACTGAGAAAGCCATCGCAAATGGACTCTTATCACGTACACCGACATGCCCATGGCCCCCATGCCTCCCCATGCCTCCCCATGCCCGCGCTCATGTCCCCGCCCGCAACCTCACTCACCCTGCTCGCTGAACGCGCCGCTGTAGGTGGGTTCAAGCGTCCCTGATCCCGCGCCCCCAGGGGGCCCCGGGCGCGGCATCATGGGGCCGGAGCCTGAGGGACTGCCGGTGGAGGAGGAGACGGGCGACCCCTCCGACTCCTTGTACAGAATCACCTTGTCGCGCTGAATCACGTACACCGATATGCCCGGCGGCTTGTACCGCACGCAGTACGCGCCCGTGCTCGACGACTTGCCGCGCCTGGGGGGATTGTGGTTCGTTCATGAGAGAGGTGAGGATTCTCAAAAAACACCTCGGAAGTCTGAGTAAACGCCTGCAACGAACTGGGCTTGTAGCGCGCGCAGTACGCGCCCGTGCTGGACGACTTGCCGCGCCTGGGGGGATTGTGGTTCGTTCATGAGAGAAGTGAGGCGCGCGGAGACGAGGGACGGGAGTACGTGTCGCGGATGCATGTGAAACGGAGGGGCGTGGGAAGAGGATGCTTGGTGTAAGAATGGTGGTCCGTAGAAAGGTTGGTCGCTGAGTCGTTGGTGCTTATGTGTGTGGCCGCTAAATTGGTCGCTATGTGGTGATCGTTGAGTGATTGAACTCCGTCTGGGTACTTACATGCTGAACATGCCTCTTGCGTTGGTTCCGATAACGAGCGACGTCGCTTTAAGCTTCTTCGATTCCTCCACAATGCCCTTTTCCCGCGAATTATTACGACCGACCTTCAGCTCCAGCTTGATCTGGCGCGGGCAGCAAGGCAAAGAGGTACATGGGCAATGTTTCCAACGACAGTGTATATCGAGAAATTCATAAGCGGCAGCATCATGGGCTGCGCTGTGCGACTCACCTTGGGATCGACGACCTTCTTGAGCGACAGCATCATGGGCTGCACGATGGTGCGCACGTAGTGCACGAACATGGTGTTGTTGACCTCGCTCTGGTACATCTCCGCGCCTGCACCGTGCAACGACGGCAGTAGATAACAATAAAGAAGAGGAGCAGCAATCGATAATGGGGACATTAACAGCCATCATCGAACATCACTGGACATCAATCGGACGTCACCAGCCATTCCCGGTGTTTGATTGAATAGGTTCAGAAGAAAACAACTAGAAAACGAGGCGAGACGAAACCGAGTGAGAGGAGACGCCCGGAAGAAAGAGAAGGCCTTGACAGCGCAGAGTTTAAGGTTCGGGTTTTGTTACGCACCTGCTCCACCGCGAGCCCCACTTCCATACGTTCCCATGCCTGTCAGGACAATGAGGAAAATTAAAGCAATCAGGACGAGCAGACAATCACGGCAATCATCGTGCCAGCATTGTTGTTTAAGAAAATATGTTATACTGCACGAAGTTGCACCGTCCATTCGTCTGATGGAATTTGACAAATCGCTTTGGCAACGCCTGAAAGAGTGTTGCTTTAGCAATGAAAGCACGTGTCCAGGAGCAGGGAAAACACCGCCGAACACGACACAGAATAAGAGCACCACTCACTCGGGCTAGGAATCTTAGTGACCACGTGAAGCAGAATGAGGATGTCATCGGGGCTGCGTAGCTTATTCGTGATGGCCCACTTAATCGCGTCCTTACACGAGGGGTCTTTGCTCACACCTACGACTACTCTCTCGCCGCTAAACTCGAACCCATCCCCCGGAGCCATCGCAAGATAAAGCACACGGGCAGAACTACGGTTCTACGTGGAACGACTAGGAGCTCTGCATCTAGAGTTGGATATAGATAAGTAATTTAACGATGCTTACGCCAAAAGGCACACTCAAAGGTTAATGATTAAATAATTTAACTAATTTAAGCTATGACGAGAGGCAAAGGCACAATATCTCGCAATAGACAGCAAAAGGACGAATGCTGAAGTCCGCGAGGGAAGCTACTGTCAGCGTACTAAAGCAGAAACGCTAGCCTGGTGGTGATAAAAAAGCATCAATGGATCATTATCAGTGAATGAGAGATAAGCGAGAATTGGACGATACTATCAAGGTAAAGAGCTGCCGACGGAAGGCGTTGTGCTGAGAAGGATCAGGGTGCCTGGTGGTGGGATGCGGTGAGATGGGATGGGTCCACTCCGCGGAGGGAACATTGGGGTTGGCTTCTGCTTTTTTCCGCGACCAGCACTTATTGGTGCTGGATGGCACTTTATCGGGGGATCTCCACCACCCTACCAAGCCACAGGATGCTCGCGTCGTGGATCATCAGTTTCGTTCCGGATGAGGGTGCAGCCATGTGATTCGTGGAATTGGATGTTTGACCAGTCAGGGTACCTGAAGGACAGGTTGTAACGAAAATATCTTATTCTAGAGAGGTGGTCGGTAAGCACACGCCTTTTCAAACTGCCCTGCAAAAAATCATGGCCACGTGTTCTATCCGAAGTGGCTGCACAACAGAGAACTGTTGCTTCGTTGACACAAGCGCCAATTACCAGCAGAAGCGATGCGATACATTTTATGGTCTCTGCTGTGCATTTATACGATTGAATGTATTTCTCTGTAGTGAAGATCCTAAAAAGTATTTATGCTAATACCGAAGTCCCGATGCCCCAGTGCTGACTCTGATATGATCTGCGAGAATTCACATTGTCCGTTGGATCACGATCATCTCTGGCATGTCAGATCAGAAATTTCATGCCCTTATGCAATCTTCCCCCCAAATTGCTCCGGCCGCAGCCAACCCGATGGAGCAGCAGCCCAGCCTTCAACTGCGCTCCGCAAAACCCTCGAATTTGCGCACATTCAATGGTGTGTCACGGTGAGTGAAGCAGTGGGTGCAGCAGTGCGTGCAGCGTTCAGTGAACGGCGGGAGGCAGAGGGACAAGAGCAGGCGAGACATGGTTGCTGTGAGGAACAACCGCTGGTAGATGGGCCACCAGAGAAGCAGCAGTAGAACCACCGGCAGCAGGAGCAGCAGCGGCAGCAGCAGCAGCAGGAGCAGCAAGACCAGCTGAAGAAACAGGAGCAGAGTGACCGAGATGTGGCAGGGAAGGGTGGGGTGCGCCGTGACGTGTCGCCTCACGGAGAGGAGAGTCATGCGATGCCGTGTCATGAGACCCATGCGCATCTGCCATGGGGAGAGAGGAAGGAGGACAGGAGAGGCATAGGAAGAGATTGAGAGGGATGTGGCAGGAGAGGGTGGGGTGGGGTGCGCCATGACGTGCTGCCTCACGGAGGGGAGAGTCATGTGACGCCGTGTCATGAGACCCATGTGCATCTGCCATGGGGAGCGAAGAGAGGACAGGCATAGAGCGGGAGAAATTAGAGTCTTAAAACATTAGACAAATGAGTGCAATGATGAGAACTGAATTCCAAGCATGCATCATTCACCAGTTTTTTTCCTATGTTACTTCATATCCCTCCCTGTACACTCATTCGCAGTGCTCACCTCGTTTCCACAGTACAGCAGGCCGCGGGGCGTCGTTCTTAGCGAGGTACAGCCCACACGCGTTGCACAGGTGTTGCCCTCCGCCCGCCCTGTCCTTCCGCCAAAACGGTGTTGTGTGCGTGCCGCAGTTACTGCACTCTTTCTCCTCCCCCGGCTCCCCTTTCCCATGGCCCCCCCTTTCCGCGCCCTCCCCCGCTTCCCCCGCGCTCCCCCTGTCGTGATGCGCGCCGTGGGCCCCCCCAACCTCCGCGCCGTCTCCGCTTACTGTGTGCTCCGCGCACCCTCTCCGCCTGCGCCGTTTCCGCGCGTGGGTGTCTTCGTCCCCACCCTCCGCCTTTCCGTCACCCAGTCGTCTCTTATCCCCGATACACGCATGCCCTTCTAACGCCATAAGAGAGCTCGGCCTCATACTCGCCGCCACTTCCCCGTACCCGGGGAAAGGCCACCCAAACGGCGGAAACTGCGCGCATCCCGCTCCGCCAAGGCCAGCTCCGGAGATCATCCGCGCAGACATACTGGGCGCAATCGTCGGCGGAACGCCACACATGGGGAGGGGGGAAGGCCGCGCAGGGAGGTGCGCCAAGCCCAGACCTTGCGCGGCTTGCGGAAGCGGCGCGGAGAAGGGCGTGAGGTACGGGCTGCTGACGTGGCACGCTTCCGCCGAGGCGCAAGCGGGACCCGGATGCACGGGGGAGGAATCGGCGGAAGCGGACTCACGAGGGTCCTTCAGCTGCTTCCATGGGCGGAAACCGGAACTTCCGCCAACTGCTGCGGAGGGAAGCGCGGGCTTCCCCGCAAAAGGCTGCTGCTCTTTCGGAGCGTGTGCGCGGGGCGGGGAGCTCGGAGCCAGCGGCGCCAGCGGAGGCGGCGGCGGCGGTAACTGAGAGAAGCGCTGGTTCCACGAAGCGGCATCTGCGCCGGTGGATGCGCAGGGGATGGCGGGAGGCGGGCAGAAGTAGATGCATGGCTGCATGGCAGGCGCTGACACATGCTGAAGCCGTTGCTGCAGCTGCTGCTGCATTTGCTGCTGAATTGGCTGCTGTAGCGGCTGCTGCTGCGGCTGCTGCGGAGGCTGCTGCGACAGCAGCTGTTTCTGCGGCTGCAGCGGCACGAGGGGAGGCGGCAAGGGAACAAACGGCCCCCACCAGGTGCTTGCGGCCGGCACGGGCGGTAACGCCAGCATGCCACGGCTCCCAGCGGGTAGAAACGAAGGAATAAGAGTCGTAGCGGTCGCGGGAGCGGGAGCGGGTTGGATGCTAACCGGTTTCCTCTCCGGTACCGCCACCGGCGCCGGTTCTGCCGCCTCTTTTCTCTCCCGTGTCTTTAAAGCTTTAATTCGCGCTTCTGATTCCGGTTGCTCCTTACTGGGGCTTCGCGCCTGGCGACACGGCGCTGCGACAGCGGCCGACTCGGAAGGAGGATGAGGCGATACCGCAACAGTCTGAGCTTCGGCGATTTTCAGCGCCTGTCCGTCTTTAACCGCGTCTGAGTCGGGCGTGTGCCAAAGACTAAGCTTAATGGGGACGGCTGTGGCAGCCACGTCAGCGATTGGAGCGAGAGGAGCGGAGTGGTTGGAGTGGTTGGGCGACGCGGGAGTAGAGCGAGGGGAAGGAGGGTCCCGAACGGGCGTGGTTGGGAAAAATTGGAAAGCCGAGTGCACGCATTCGCATGGCTGCTGGCTGTTCGCGTTGCAAAGCGGAGCTAAGCACGAGGCGGCAGACTGAACGGGTGAGGCGTGAGAGGCTTGCGTGATTTCGCTTGCGGATGTCAGGATATTCTCTTGCTTTTTGCACGTCGCAGTAAGGTGATCCATTGTCGCGCGAGTACTTGATAGGAGAAGATAGACCGGATGGTAAAGAGCATAACGCACATTAAGGCGTCTAATCTAAACGGAGGCCCTGACTAGGCGTGCTCTACTTGAAGTGTGAAGGAAACAACGAAGTTGAAATGCTGGAAATATGAGACGTGGAATGCTGTTGTATCTTCTGCAGCGGAATGCTCTGCTGCAGTCTTCTCTCCTCTACTCCAGCCGTTGCTGTTGGGCGAGATGCAGTCGCGGTGCGGAGAAAGGGCGAAGCGCAGGGAGGTGACGGACGGGTGATGATGGATAGAATAAACTGGGTGGAGCAAGACGGTGGAACAGAAAGGAGTTTGAGAGGTTTCCGCTGGTCTATTTAGAGGTTCCAGTTCGGTTGATCTTCTGATTTTCACCACCTCTCTATCAAACATTTGTACCATCTCTCACCCCTCCCGAGCCCTTCTGGTTCCGAGCATCGAGTGACCCGAGTGACCTGATCAAGTGCCTTCCAGACCACCCACCGAACCATCCGTCCGTCATCCTTTTCTCCCAACTTCCAGGTTTTCGTTGCCTTGGGGTTGCTTTTCCCTGCCTTGGGATTGCTCGTTCCCCTTCCCGCAACTGGACGGGCGAATCGCGCGAGAGGTAGGCTAGTCCCCGAGAGATCGCGGTGCCAAGTGGATGGAGGGAAAAGGTTAGGGATGGAAAAGCGACCACTGTGGATCAGCATTGGACGGAAGACGATAACGGAAAATTGCCTTACCTGATGCGGACACCACATCTTGGGGATGTGCAGATGTCGACGTGGTGATCCCAACTTCCACCGAGTTCGGAAGAGGCACGTCAGCACGGTGAAGATTGCGAATGAGTTCATGGTGACGATCAAGTGAGCCAGCACAGATGCGGGAAAGTCGTCAGTGGTCCCATGATCTGTCTCAGATCGACGTGTTTCGCGAGAGACTGAGTCCTGCTGATCCACACGTCGCGGATCACCGACAAAGCTTCCAATCAGCTGGGACTGATGATCTGGAAAGTGGAGCTTTGTGTCATTTTTATCCACGTCACCATGATGTCAAGTAGAGTCACATACACGTCTTCCCAGACTCGTTGCCAACAACCTTCATCAACGACAACCACGAGTTCAAGTCCAGTCGAGAATCTAGTGGTGCACAGTCAGAATTCTGCGGCTGACGAATGGGAATCGATATATTTTGCTGAGCTCGTGGTCAGAGCTAGCTGTGAACACGTAACACTCGGTCCTTTTGTGCACGCCAGCCAGAAGCATATTTGATTTCCCAGCCACGTCGGTTCCTCGTCAGTCGCCTTGATCCTGTCCATTTGTTGGGGATAAGGGACCCTTGGGCAGTTGGCTGAAAGCTTGGCAAATGCATGTATCGGGCCTTCAAATTATCCACCTAGCGAGTCGGCCATTATGGGGTTAGGGCGGATAACTTCTTTGTACGCTCAAGGGAGGCATTACGATAACAGTAAAAGTAATAAGACCTGTGAGGTGGGCATACACGCAAGAACTCGGGTATTATTGTTAAATTGCTGAATAGGTTATAGCATAATCACAAGCAGCCAAGCAAGGATTTTGTAAGCCCAAATTTTGGTGCAGATAATTATTGTCTCTCTCACCTTCCTGTGTGTGTGAAAGTGTTGAAGAAATAATATGGCTAATGGACGCATGCAACTGATGGCGAAAATTGCTGATTGAGTTACAAAATCAACTAATAGATTCTAGAAGCTACATCAATTCCCCTCCCTGAATCTTCGGTCGGGTTTTGCCTTGTCGAGTTGCTGCGCTGGTTGTTGCTAGCAGGCACACCACCAGGGACAGGACGAGCAAGGCTACTGTACTGTACGTGCTCTTGCTTTTTGTTTGGTGAGTGGTTGGGAGGAGTTCCAACATGGAACAAGGCCCAAGCAATTCCGTTTTCTTGATTTGTTGAGCAAGACACGTCACAGGCCACTAGCGTAGGACAGGCGACAGCGCGTCATTGACGGTGATTTGCCGCCGCAGGCGTTAGGGTTACTGGAAGATGTATTGGAATAGCCGGCGTGTACCTAACTGGTTGTAGGTTAACTCTCATTGCAGTGGATTTGGCAGCAGCTTCTTAGGTAAATTAGCGCTTTCTTTTCCCATACTTTTTAGGGTTAGCAAGGATGGGGAAGAATCAGCAGTACAAGGCGGCTCAGCGAGCCAAGTCAATGAGCCGAGGAGGTGGCGGTGGTGGCGGAGAGGATGAGAGCAATGATGGAATGGTACTGATGTTTGCACCTGTTGTGCTGCAATTCTCTAGGTCTATTGATCAGTCTCATCGGTTTCTGTTTTTTTTTTTTTTTTTTTTTTTTTTTTTTTTTTTTTTTTTTTTTTTTATGTATTTCTTATGCTCTTTTAGATCTCCATTGTTGCGATATCATGGTGGAACGGATTACTAATTCAGCCACTGGCAGGTTGATGGATCCTTCCATTCTCCAGCATGGCATGCTGCACGCCTGGCAGCCTTGCAGACCACCAACACGCTTACCTGGGAGGAGTGGAAGGCCCAAAGAAAGGTATGTTGTAATCTCTTCGCATCGATAGACAAGTACCTGCTAACCAACGTTCCTGCTCGTCCATGCCAAAACCCCTTTCTTCTAGTGACCATTTTTTCTAAGTGTTGGGAGAGATTATGTAAGCTTAGCTCCCGTAAATGCTCTATCTTTTTAGTGCGCATCGTGATTGTTGGTGATTGTGCTCGTTTGGCTCGGCGCGCTGTGCGAGCAGGAGGAGGCGAGGAAGCAGCAGGAAATGGATGGTTTCGAGGAGCAGCGGATGAAGGAGTACCGGGCTCAGCTCGACAAAGAGCGAGAAGCTAGGCTAGCGCGAGGACGAAACCACGCGGATAAACGCGGGAAGCTAAAGAAGAGTGCGTCTGTGGTGTTACCAGTTTTCTTTTTCTTTTTTTCTTTCTTTTTTTTTTCCTGCAAAGATTTCATGTCAATCAGTCCATGTACTATTCGTTAATTGTTAATCCTTCTGTATATCCCACCTTGACCATTTCTCTGTTTTCGCAGGCAAGGACAAGGACAAGGATAAGAGCAAAAAGAAGGTAAGCAATTCATCCCTCACTCTGGTTTCCATTTCATGTCACCTTGAATGCAGTTTATGCGTCATCTTGAATGCAGTACATGCGTCACTCTTGTTTCCATTTCAAAGTCGTCACACCTTTTCGAGTCTCGATTGCTCCTCACATAATCTATTCCATGGCCATATCCTGACTTTGTGTTTGGCACTTCACAGAAAAAGAGCAAGCGCAAGAAGGGTGGCTCGGAAAGCGATTCAAGCAACTCGAGCAGCAGCGATGATGACAGCGACAGGAAGAAGAAGAAAAAGAAGAAATCCAAGAAAGATTCAGATGCTTTGAGCAGTGCGAGTGAGGAGGAGGAAGGTCCCGTTCGGCTCTCTTCCTTCCTTGAGAAGGGAGATGACGACCTTCCAGGGTCTGACGATGATGATGAGCCGCCGCCCGCTAAAGGCAAAGAAAAGGGCGGTGATTTATCAAGCATTTTAGCTGAAGCGAAAAGACGAGCGGAGATTGGGGCTCACATGGTTGCTGAAGTAAAGAAAGCTGAGATGATTCGGTCAGGCTTGCCCTAACTGTACCTCCAGCCCTTGTCTTAGCCTTTTGATTCCTGGTCACCCTCAATAGTAGGGTGAATAACGTATAAGTGAGATTTATTGCCGATTAGCGATCTTTATATTATTAGGTTATGGTTACAAGAGTTGCCATCATAATAGGAGCAAGTTGCTCCATCTAGCAGGAACGAGTCGACCAATCATCAATTGACCATTTATCCACCCGTCATAGCACACCTCACCACCTACCAGCTGACCAGTTAGCCTTGTGAAGCTAAACACCTCTACTCCGCAGGCCAAGGCGTGCACAAACGATGCTCGGCTACACTCGCTTATTCTGCTCACCCTTCCTGCCCATGCATTCATCACAGGCTGCATGTGCTTATTCACCCCATGCAACCGAGGATTATTCGCCCATCCATCCCCAATCATCATCTGGGAAAGCAGCTGCAGTCACCATCTGGGAAAGCAGCTGCAGTCACCATCTGGGGTTCTGCCCCAAAACGTCCAGCCAGGAGCTGAGGTCGACAAACGGCTCGGGGTCAAACTGAGACGCGTATGATATAATGCTGGGTGTACCCATCCCAACCTCCCCCAACCGCACCCCACCCCTGCAATCATCACCACTTGGGGTTTTGTCCCGAGACGTCCAGCCAGGAGCTGAGGTCAACAAACGGCTCAGGGTCGAATTGAGAAGCGTCAGATATGATCCCAGGATGCACCCACGAGGCCCGGCTTGCAGCATAGCCCGGCCCCGTGCTGCCCTTCTCTGCATAGTAGACGCAGCTGCCCTTGCTGTCGCCCCCCCACGTGCTCCACCCGTCCCGCTCCAACTCCTGTGCCATAGGGTGTAGATGGAATGGGGGTGAGGGAGAGATGGAACGAGGTAGCACTGAGTGGGATGAGAGTGCATAGTACACACAGCTGCCTTGCTATCGCCTCCCCAGTACAGGCACATAGCCCGTCGCAAGGCAGATGAATCTATTAAAGCCTCGTGACGCAAAGCCCGTGTCCCGCAGCCTTGTGGCCCAAAGGCTTGTCAGTGTTGACATGTCACGTGACTCACAGCAGGCATGTAGCTGTCGAGAAACACGGTGCGAGCACAGTCCTTCCAGGGCCACCCCAGGTAGACTTCTGAGACGCCCTTACATGCCACAGCCCCATTCCCACCCTCACCGCTCCCTCCCTCCCTGCCCTCTCCGTCACTGCTCTCAACCGGACCATTCCCTCACTCACAGCGGGCATATAACTGTCAACGAAGTCAGTGCGAGCACAGTCCTTCCAGGGCCGCCCCAGGTAGACCTCTGAAACCCCCTTGCGTACCATAGCCCCATCTCTCCCTCCCTTACCGTTCCTTCCCCCAAGTGTTGAGATGACTCACAGCAGGCATGTAGCTGTCAACAAACACAGTCCGAGCACAGTCCTTCCAGGGCCGCCCCAGGTAGACCTCCGAGACTCACTTACCTGTTTCTCAACATTTGTATAGACTGTGCAAATGCTGAGGTGACTTACTGCAGGCATGTAGCTGTCGATAAAGACGGTCCGAGCACAGTCCTTCCAGGGCCGCCCCAGGTAGACCTCTGAGATTCACTTACCTGTTTCTCAACATTTGTATAGCCTGTGCAAATGCTGAGGTGACTTACTGCAGGCATGTAGCTGTCGATAAAGACGGTGCGAGCACAGTCCTTCCAGGGCCGCCCCAGGTAGACCTCTGAGACGCCCGAGTCGACTGAGATCCTGGCGTTGCGAATGACAATGCCCGTTGGTGTGTTGCTCTCCCTGCCCGATGCCGTGATGGTTGCAAAGGAGCTGAAGGAGAGGGGGGGAGAGGGGAGAGAGGGAAGGGGAGGGGAGGGGAGGGGAGGGCGGAAGGGAGGGAACGGGGGGGTTGAGTGAGGGGAGAGGGCCGCCCCAGGTAGACCTGTGAGACGCCCGAGTCAACTGAGATCTTGGCGTTGCGGATGACGATGCCCGTTGGCGTGTTGCTCTCCCGCCCCGATGCCGTGATGGTTGCAAACGAGCTGCGAGGTGATGGGTGTGGCGGAGGGGGTAGTGGGAAAAGAGCGTAGTGGGAGTAGAGGGTGGGTGGCAATCAGTTGCGGACGACCATGCTGATGCTGATGCTGATGCTGATGCTGATGCTGATGCTGATGCTGATGCTGATGCGCTGATGCTGATGCTGATGCTGATGCTGATGCTGATGCTGATGCTGATGCTGATGCTGATGCTGATGCTGATGCGCTGATGCTGATGCTGATGCTGATGCTGATGCTGATGCTGATGCTGATGCTGATGCTGATGCTGATGCGCTGATGCTGATGCTGATGCTGATGCTGATGCTGATGCTGATGCTGATGCGCTGATGCTGATGCTGATGCTGATTCTGATGCTGATGCTGATGCGCTGATGCTGATGCTGATGCTGATGCACTGATGCTGATGCTGATGCTGATGCTGATGCTGATGCGCTGATGCTGATGCTGATGCTGATGCTGATGCTGATGCTGATGCGCTGATGCTGATGCTGATGCTGATGCGCTGATGCTGATGCGCTGATGCTGATGCTGATGCTGATGCTGATGCGCTGATGCTGATGCTGATGCTGATGCTGATGCGCTGATGCTGATGCTGATGCTGATGCTGATGCGCTGATGCGCTGATGCTGATGCTGATGCGCTGATGCTGATGCTGATGCTGATGCTGATGCGCTGATGCTGATGCTGATGCTGATGCTGATGCGCTGATGCTGATGCTGATGCTGATGCTGATGCTGATGCGCTGATGCTGATGCTGATGCTGATGCTGATGCTGATGCGCTGATGCTGATGCTGATGCGCTGATGCTGATGCTGATGCTGATGCTGATGCGCTGATGCTGATGCTGATGCTGATGCGCTGATGCTGATGCTGATGCTGATGCGCTGATGCTGATGCTGATGCTGATGCGCTGATGCTGATGCTGATGCGCTGATGCTGATGCTGATGCTGATGCGCTGATGCTGATGCGCTGATGCTGATGCTGATGCTGATGCTGATGCTGATGCGCTGATGCTGATGCTGATGCGCTGATGCTGATGCTGATGCTGATGCTGATGCGCTGATGCTGATGCTGATGCTGATGCTGATGCGCTGATGCTGATGCTGATGCTGATGCTGATGCTGATGCGCTGATGCTGATGCTGATGCTGATGCGCTTGCTTATGATGATGATGATAAACAGGGACCTCAGCCCCTTTTCTCACCTGCTCTTGTGCACCACGATGGTTGGGTTGTCAATCACCACAGCAGCATCTTCAAGACGCTGCAATAATCAACGATCCAGATCTGAGCGTTCCTCCCCTCCCCTCCCCCCCTCCTCCTCACCTGCTCTTGTGCACCACGATGATGGGGTTGTCTATCACCACTGCAACACCGTCAGTACAATGCAATTAGCAACAATGCAGACCTGAAATCCCCTCTCCCCTTCCTTGCCCACCTGCTCTTGTGCACCACGATAGTGGGGTTGTCAATCACCACAGCCGCATCGCCAAAGATGAAGTCGATTGTGCCGCCGATGTAGCAGCAGCTTCCATGCACCCCAACACAGTCAAGGCACCTCAACACATTCCATGCACACCCTCTTCCTCTCTCCCCCTCACCTGCTCTTATGAACAACGATGGTAGGGTTGTCTATCACCACAGCTGCATCACCAAAGATGAAATCAATGGTGCCGCCAATGTAGCAGTCCTTGTAGTACTGCCTTCCCGCGTCCACGTACAATGTATCCTGGTGGGCAGAAACAGGAGTGGAGGAAGGGGAGAACACAGGATAGTAACACATTCGCTGCATGAGTATTAAGGCAATGGTGCCACCGATGTAGCAGTCCTTGTAGTACTGCCTGCCTGCGTCCACGTATAGGGTGTGCTGAAGGGTGGAGAGCGGGGAGAGGTGGAAGGGACAGGGGAGGTGGGTTAGCATATCTGTGAGCATGAAGTCAACGGTGCCACCGATGTAGCAGTCCTTGTAATACTGCCTGCCTGCATCGACGTGTAGCGTGTCCTGGTGGGTGGGAACAGGGAGATAAGAGAAAGGAAGTGCAGGGAGTCAATGGTGCCGCTGATGTAGCAGTCGCCACTGGCAATCATGGCCACTGGCAATCATGGCCACCGGAGTGTTTGAGAAGCAAAGGAGTGAGTCCAAATGGGACGGGATTAGGGCCATGCTCACCTGGTTGGCCTCAAAGGCGCATTCAAAGAAAGCAGAGCGGTCCCCACTGGCCCTCATGGCCACCGCCTGGTGGTTTAAGACTCAACCCAAGGCAAGGGGAGGACGCAGCAGAGGGCTATGCCGGGCTCACCTGGTTGGCCTCGAATGCGCACTCAAAGAAGGCGGAACGATCCCCACTGGCCCGCAAGGCAACCGCCTGGTGGCTTGACAGTCGACTCAAAGGCGAGGGGAAGAAGAGGCGGAGCGGTCATGAGCGCCAACCTCACCTGGTTGGCCTCAAAGGCGCATTCAAAGAAGGCAGAGCGGTCCCCACTGGCCCGCATGGCCACTGCCTGGTGGTTCTGCGCCCCTGCTGTGTTCTCAAAGCGGATTCCCAAAGCACAGAAGCGCTCCTTGTTGGCACCTGGGAGCACAACCATGCACGATAACAAGACACACAATAACAGGGCACATGAGGATAAGGGGACAACGTAAGAGGTGGTTCTCCGGCCCGGCTGTGTTCTCAAAGCGGATCCCCAGCGCACAGAAGCGCTCCTTGTTGGCTCCTGGGAGAGCAGTCACGCGGTCACACACCACAGTGGGGCACATGGGAACAGAAAACATGCTACCTGGCGCTGCACGCGCTCTTATCAATAGTAGCAGAGTGGTAAGTGGTGCAGCCGCTGCACGCGCTCTTATCCCCCGTGATGATGGTCCTTTCGCAGCCCTCCCCCACCATGATGAGCCCCTTGTTGCACCTTGCCCCCCTTGCAGCGGCACCATACCTCCTTCCCCACACCACACAATGGCACCTGGCAGCGCTCCCACTCACGGATGGTGCGGAGCGGTAAGTGGTGGACCCACTGCCAGCACTCTTAGGACCGGTGATGATGGATCTGTCTGCGCCCTCCCCCACCATGATGAATGAGCCTCCTTGTTGCACCATGCTCTCACACTTGACGCATCATACATCCCTCCCTGCACCACCACACAATGGCACTTGGTTCTCACCAATGGTGGCAGAGCGGTACGTAGTTGACCCGCTGCCGGCGCTCTTATCCCCCGTGATGATGGTTCGATCCGCCCCCTCCCCCACCATGATGAGCCCCTTGTTGCGGAAGATGATGGACTCGTGGTATGTGCCCGCATGGATGAATATCACAAACCGGCCATCTTTAGGTGCTGCTGAGAGCGCGCCCTGTTATTGCGAGGGGAAAGGGGACGGGGTGAGGAGGACGGGGGGAATGGGGAAGGGGATGGCAGAAAAGGGAGGGGCAAGATGGGGTGGTTCTGTGGCTGCCCTCCCCCACCATGATCAGCCCCTTTTTGCGGAATATGATGGACTCGTGGTATGTCCCAGCACAATTGAATATCACAAACCGCCCCTCCTTGGGCGCTGCTGACAGGGTTTAGGGAAAGGGGGCGGTGGGGGAGAACAGAGAACGGGGAAAGGGAAGAGGGAATTTCAGATGGATGTCCGCCCCTCCTTGTGAAGCACAATTGAACTTCACAAACCGCCCCTCCTTGGGACCCGCTGACAGACAGTTCACCTCCCCAACCCCCCCTTTCTTCCACAATGTTGCATCTCTTCTCTGGCCCAACCACAGCATCCTCTCACACATCTAACCCTCTCCCCTCCTCTCACCTCCCCTCCTCAACTCCCCTCCTTTCAACTCTCCCCCTCACCTCCTCTCCTCTCATCTCTCCCGCTCACCTCTCCCCCTCCCCCCCTCTCACCTCAACAGTGTTGTATTTCTCTCCCGGACCAACCACAGCATCCGCCTTAAACGCCCCGCCGTTGCCACTCCCCCCTCCTCCCCCTGACCCTCCGCCACTCCCGCTCCCCAATCCCCCCGACCCTCCGCCACTCCCGCCGTCCCCCTTCCGCTTCCACTTGTGGTGCCCCACCCCCGCGGGGTGGTGCGCGCCCCTGCGCCCATTCCGCCACAAATGTGTGTGGTGCCCGCGCGTTACTCCCCCTCCGCCCTGCCCCTTCCCCTCCCCCCAGTGGTTAGGCTGCTTCACCTTATGCGCGGGGCCCGTGCCTGGCGCGTGGTGCAGGGTGTCGGGGGAGTGGTGCCCTGCGGTGGGGAGGTGTTCTGCGGTTTTTTTCCCCATGGTCGTCGCTAGGCGGAACGGCGCGCGCTGGGTTGAGTGGTGCGCGGGAATGTGGGGAGGACGGGCGGAACCGGGTGTAGGGGAAGGATAGCCGGAAGCGGGGGGAAGGCTCTTCCGCGGTTGCCCTTGCGCCTGCAGTCTTTGCGCCTGTAATCCTTGCGCCTGTAGCCCTTGCGCCTGTAGCCCTTGCGCCTGTAGCCCTTGCGCCTCTATCCATTCCGCCTGTACCCGTTGCGCCTCTAGCCATTTCGCCTGTAACCCCCTCCGCTGTAACGCGCCTCGTCCCCGCCACGTGTCACCCTTCCGTTTCCGCCATTGCCCCACCCCGAACCCTCGTCTCCTCGTCCCCTCTGCCGCCCCCCCCTCTCCGTCCTCCCCTTCCCCACCGTCGCTGCCCCACGTCTCTGCGGGAAGTCCTAACAGCTTGCGCCGTCTGTCCGCCCACTGCTCCGCGCGCGCGTGCTCTCCGCGCATGCGCGCCTGGAGCTCCTTCAGCTGTTCGTACAGCCCCGCCTCCAGCCACTCCGGGTGGTGGTAACCACCCGCTTCTTCGCCCACTTCGCCAGTCTCACCGTGGTAACCATCCGCGCTTTCTCCACGATCATCACTGTTACTGTGGTAACCACCCTCTAGCGAAGCCTGCCGGGTAACATCGTCAGTGGTGCGAAGGTGCCGGTTTCGCGAGCCTGTGAAATCCCGCTGTTGGTCATCGGAATCAGGTGCCGCAGCATCGTTGGGTGCCTCGGCATCGTCAGCAGCGTCAGCAGTGTCAGCAGCGTTAGCAAAGTCAGCAGAGACAGCGGCGTCAGCATTGTCTTCAGAGTCAGAAAAGTCAGCGGAGTCAGCACCGTCAGCGTAATAATCCAATCCATTGCCGTCTCTGTTGTTCAATGTGCCATCCTCGATAGCAGCGACTGTAGCAGCATTGGTTGCAGCGACTGTAGCACCGTCACCTAAGTCATTAGCATTAGTGCTTTCTAAACCGTCACCTATGTCAGTAGCGTCGTCATCCAAACCAGAGCCCTCGCTGGGACCAATATCAACATCAGAGTCGTCGCCATAACCGTCTGATTCACCGTCGTAACCATCGCCGTCATCGCTAACGTCGCCGCCATTGTCGCCAGCGTCGTCGTAATAGCCCGAGCCACTATCGTCGCTGTTGATAACACTTATCGAGGGGTCTGAATCGTAACTTGCGGTGGTAACACTGCTGCGACCACCACCGTTGACATCGCTTTTACTACCAGCACCTGGAGAATCTGAGTCGTAACTCGCGGTGGTAACACTGCTGCGACCACCACCACTGACGTCGATGCCTACACCGCCGTCGCCATTATCGTAATCATCCGGACCGTCGCTTGATGCGCTGTAATAGTCCGACCCGCTCCCATAACCGTCGCTAATGTCGCCGTTATTGTCGGTAACGTCATCGTAATAATCCGAGCCACTGTCGTCGGCTTCCCTGCCAGTAGCTGGAGAATCCGGACGGTAGCTCTCAATGCTAACACCGTTGCCGTCAGCGACTAGATCGCTGCCTTCGTTAGCCGGCGTACTACTGTCAGCGGCTTCATACGAATCGCTACTTACGCTTCCACTACTACTTTGAGCGTCCTTAGCGAAATTAGCGTTATTGGAGTAGTTAGAAGAATAGTCAAAATTCTCGCCGTCGCTACTAGAATCAGTATTATGTTCACTTGTGAAACCCGCGGACTTCCTATCAGCTTGCTGAGATGTGCTGCTGTCTTGGGGCAAATTATCGAGATCATCATACTCGCTATTGGCACGCTGCGATTCCTGGTACTCGTCACTGTAGTAATCGGGTTCGCTGTCGTTACTGCTTCTATAATCGTCGTCGTTCCCAAGGGACATTTCGCTCCCCCCCGTTGGGGTGGACTTTTCACCCACACTGTACGACACACCAGACGGGTGCGCCTCATTCAGCGATTGCGCCTGAACCAATTTCGGCCGTTGCGCGCTTTTATACTGATTTTGCCCACCCCTTCTATTCCTACCTGTGGGGTAGTCACTGCCTCCGTCTATCGGATCGTCATACTCGTACTCGTTATAATCATACACCGGCTGCACCTGCGACCACGCGAGCTGTTGCGATTGCGCTTGTACCTGGTAACCATTTTGCGGCTGCGCCGGGGTTTGCGATTGCGCCGGGGTTTGCGGCTGGGATCCCGTGCTGTACTGTACAGCGAGATGCTGCCCCGCCTGCACCGCTTGCCCCGCCTGCCCCGCCTGCCCTGCCTGCGTCGGGCGCAACTCCGCCTGCGCCGTTTGACCACTTTGCCGCGCCTGCCATGGCCGCAGCCCCGCGGGTTGTTGCGCGGGGTACAGCACTGGCCGGCGCAAACCCGCCCCCGCTTGTCCTGCGCGCATGCCGACCGTTTGCGCCACCTGCTGGCGGTTGCTCTGCTGCCCTCGCGCGAGAGTGCCGTACCCTCTATAGGCTGATGCGATTGTGACGGCGGCGCTTACAGTGGACTTCACTTGTGCAGTTCCCATCTGCGAAGCGCCCAGCATGAGAGTAGATATGAAATGCTCAATTGGTAAGAGGAGATGGGCAGAAGCAACACGAATGCATTCTCACACGGAGCGTTAGCACATGCGCTCACCGCGTCTCAAAACCAATTAAAAAGCGCCCTCATGCCCCAAACATGTTCCCACATGCCCCAAACATGTTCCCACATGCCTCAAACATGTTCCCACATGCCCCAAACATGTTCCCACATGCCCCAAACATGTTCCCACATGCCCCAAACATGTTCCCACATGCCCCGAACATGTTCCCACATGCCCCACATGCCCAATGTTCCCCATATGACCCATACCGCGAGAATGGCTCCCAGTTCTGTCTTGAGGACTCCGGGTGCGAACTCGGCGAACCCGGTAACGCAGTTACTGAGTTTCGTTTTGATCGCCGCCAGCTGGAAGCGCAAGTCGTCCCCGCGGGGCCCCGCGCGCAGCTCCAGGTATGCCTCGCGCACCTCCTCCGCCGCGTCCGCGCCCTGGCGGACGGGGGGATATTGAGGAGGGGAAATGGAGACGGGAGAGGGTGGGGAAGCCAGGGAGAAGACGAGCGATTCTTTTTAGTGGAACGAGGAGGAGAGAGGGGTTGGGAAGCGGAGGATGTGAGGAGGAAGGGGGAAAAGACGGTGGCAGGGAGTAAAAAGGCCGAGGTTCGAGCACGATAGGAACTGATGACGAAGTTTAGGAGCTTAGAGTTGACGACAGCACTGCACGGTATGGTTGTCGTATCTGGTCAACGCAGTCATACCTGCTCAAGGCAGTCATCTGAGACAGCTCGGATGAAGTGCTGCTGACTTGGCGTGAAGCTGGAGATGTTACTCAACTTTAGCCGTCTCACTACCCGCATCATGCCGTGCACCTGGCAAAACACGCACATGACATCGGAGTGAAACGCTGACGACACTGTCCGTCTATCTGGAACGGCCAGAAATACACGATGTTGACTGGAAAGGCGGATCGAATGGTTGCACGCGGGTCAAGTGAGCGCACGTGAACGCGCATCGTCAGGTTTTCTCTCACCTGCACCTCGACGCGCACGAGCATGGCGGCTGTGACGTACTGCTGTTGCTGCGGCATCACCCCCAGCGACCGTCGCGCGCTGCGGAACTCCGCCACGCACTCCGCCACCCGCGGAGACCCTGCGGGCCCCGCGCATCCCGCCGGAGGGATGATAACCAGGAAGTTGTCTAGAACGTGCCACGTGGCAGCGGCGGCCACGGCAAGAAAAACGGCTATTGCTAAACGGGGAGCGAGCTGCTCCATGCGTCCTTTCTGACTAGACGCTGACGTGTCTGGCTCCACGCCGAGTTAATCTATTCCACTAAGGTGAGAAACATTGTGATTGCAAGAGAGGCGGTGAGCGATCTCTACTCCTGGTCGCGGGCACATTCAAAATGTCGAACGAGTTATGCCGAACCGTACTTGTCGTACTAGTTGAACTTCTCGTAATCGCAAACAGCGAGGGGGTCTACGCGTGAGACTGATAGCACCAGTGCGCTGAGGCCTCACATACGGCGCGTGTCGCCCTTGAGTCGAGAACATGTCAAGAGTCAAGAATCACACGGCGTCAAGCACTTCGCATCGCGTGCCTGCTCTGATTGGCAGACGACAATGCAGCATCTGATAATCCTTGATGTGTCATTTTCGCTCGTTGCTTTCAACGGCGGGGTGGGAGACGAAGTAGCATAACCGCCTCTAAGAGATCTCTCTCCCCCATTCGAGTCGAGTAGTAGCTGGCTAGCTTTAGTAGAGGAAAGGATAATGGGGGCAACAGCATAGTTCGCTAGACCTACCACTGAGACGGGTGACATGCGCTGGCGTTTTTGCCCCTCCTTTCCTTTCCAACCACCTACTGCACGCATGCTTGGGACGCTGTGTGTGGAAAGCGCGGCTCCGCCTTGCCCCAATGCCACACGAACATGCGCGCTTCGTTTGCGCGACCTGACGATTTGACAATTGATTGGTGGAATTAGCCCCTGTGTGCAGGGCACATTGATTATCCCAGCGCCTTCGACGGAAAGTGATTCATTGTTATTCTTGGTGCGAAACTGTTCTCGATTGGTACATGTAATACAAGCATTCATTTCGTTCAAAGTAGGATTGTTCACAACATGTGCAAGTACCTCGATAATGATACCATCACCATCACATGTGTCAATGCGTATCTGCAAAAACAAAATATATCATCGATTATATTATACACTCTTCATTCGCGAGCGCCGATGACCAATGGGCCAGCAAGGGCGTGGGAGGGTTCCGAGCATCATCGGGCATCGGGGCTCGCGGATGAGGAGCGCCCGCTGCACTTCCTGCACATGTGCGGATCCTTCCGCGTTTTGGGGGTGGAAGCGCTCGTTCTGAGTGGTTTTTTTTCGGTCGGTTCACGTTGTTGCGCTTGTCTGGTCCTATTGCCAAGCCAGCAAGAGCGTAGGAAGGTTGCGAGCATCATCGATCATCGGCGCTCGCGAATAAAAGTGCCCGTTGCACTTCCTGCACATGTGCGGATCCTTCCACCTTTTGAAGCTGGAAGCACTCGTTCCGAGCGTTTTGTTTTCCGCCGGGTCACGTGGCTGCGCTTGTCTGGGCCTATTGCCAAGCCAGCAAGGGCGTGGGAGGGTTGAGAGCATCATCGGTCATCGGCGCTCGCGAATGAAAAGCGCCCGCTGCACTTCCTGCACATGTGCGGATCCTTCCGCATTTTGGGGCTGGAAGCGCTCGTTCCGAGCGTTTTTCTTCCGCCGGGTCATGTGGCTGCGTTTGACTCGACGAATTACCAAGCCAGCAAGGTCGTGGGAGGGTTGCGAGCATCATCGGTTATCGGCGCTCGCGAATGAAGAGCGCCCGCTGCACTTCCTGCACATGTGCGGATCCTTCCGCGTTTTGGGGCTGGAAGCGCTCGTTCCGAGCGTTTTTCTTCTGCCGGGTCACGTGGCTGCGCTTGTCTGGGCCTATTGCCAAGCCAGCAAGGGCGTGGGAGGGTTGCGAGCATCATCGGTCATCGGAGCTCGCGAATGAAGAGCGCCCGCTGCACTTCCTCCACATGTGCGGATCCTTCTGCGTTTTGGGGCTGGAAGCGCTCGTTCCGAGCGTTTTTCTTCTACCGGGTCACGTGGCTGCGCTTGTCTGGGCCTACTGCAAAGCCAGCAAGGGCGTGGGAGGGTTGCGAGCATCATCGGTCATCGGCGCTCGCGAATGAAGAGCGCCCGTTGCACTTCCTGCACATGTGCGGGCAGATCATTCCGCGTTTTGGGGTTGGAAGCGCTCGTTCCGAGCGTTTTTCTTCCGCCGGGTCATGTGCCTCCGCTTGTCTGGGCCAATTGCCAAGCCAGCAAGGGCGTGGGAGGGTTGCTAGCATCATTGGTCATCGGCGCTCGCGAATGAAGAGCGCCCGCTGCACTTCCTGCACATGTGCGGATCCTTCCGCGTTTCTGGGTCTGGAAGCGCTCATTCCGAGCGTTTTTCTTCCGCCAAGTCACGTGGCTGTGCTTGTCTGGTCCTATTGCCAAGCCAGCAAGGGCGTGGGAGGGTTGCGAGCATCATCAGTCATCGGCGCTCGCGAATGAAAAGCGCCCGCTGCACTTCCTGCACATGTGCGAATCCTTCAGCATTTTGGGGGTAGAAGCGCTCATTCCAAGCGTTTTTCTTCCACCAAGTTACGTGGCTGCGCTTGTCTGGTCCTCTTGCCAAGCCAGCAAGGGCGTGGGAGGGTTGCGAGCATCATCGGTCATCGGCGCTCGCGAATGAAGAGCGCCCACTGCACTTCCTGCACATGTGCGGATCCTTCCGCATTTTGGGGGTACTAGCGCTCCTTCCGAGCGTTTTTCTTCCACCGGGTCATGTGGCTGCGCTTGTCTGGTCCTCTTGCTAAGCCAGCAAGGGCGTGGGAGGGTTGGGAGCATCATCGGTCATCGGCGCTTGCGAATGAAGAGCGCCCGCTGCACTTCGTGCACATGTGCAGATCCTTCCGCGTTTTGGGGGTGGAGGCGCTCGTTCCAAGCGTTTTTCTTCCGCCGGGTCACGTGGCTGCGCTTGTTTGGTCCTCTTGCCAAGCCAGCAAGGGCGTGGGAGGGTTGCGAGCATCATCGGTCATCGGCGCTCGCGAATGAAGAGCGCCCGCTACACTTCCTGCACATGTGTGGATCCTTCAGCATTTTGGTGGTAGAAGCGCTCATTCCAAGCGGTTTTCTTCCGCAAAGTAATGTGGTTGCGCTTGTCTGATCCTCTTGCCAAGCCAGCAAGGGCGTGGGAGGGTTGCGAGCATCATCAGTCATTGGCGCTCGCGAATGAAGAGCGCCCGCAGCACTTCCTGCACGCGTGCGGATCCTTCCGCGTTTTGGGGGTGGAAGCGCTCGTTCCGAGCGTTTTTCTTCCGCTGGGTCACGTGGCTACGCTTGTCTGGTCCTCTTGCCAAGCCAGCAAGGGCGTAGGAGGGTTGCGAGCATCATCGGTCATCGGCGCTCGCGAATGAAGAGCGCCCGCTGCACTTCGTGCACATGTGCGGATCCTTCCGCGTTTTGGGGGTACTAGCGCTCGTTCCGAGCGTTTTTCTTCCGCCAGTACACGTGGCTGCGCTTGTCTGGTCTTCTTGCCAAGCCAGCAAGGGCGTGGGAGGGTTGCGAGCATCATCGGTCATCGGCGCTCGCGAATGAAGAGCGCCCGCTGCACTTCGTGCACATGTGCGGATCCTTCCGCGTTTTGGGGGTACTAGCGCTCGTTCCGAGCGTTTTTCTTCCACCGGGTCACGTAGCTGCGCTTGTCTGGTCCTCTTTCCAAGCCAGCAAGGGCGTGGGAGGGTTGCGAGCATCATCGGTCATCGGTGCTCGCGAATGAAGAGCGCCCGCTGCACTTCGTGCACATGTGCGGATCCTTCCGCGTTTTTGGGGTACTAGCGCTCGTTCCAAGCGTTTTTCTTCTGCCACGTCACGTGGCTGCGCTTGTTTGTTCCTCTTGCCAAGCCAGCAAGGGCGTGGGAGGGTTGCGAGCATCATCGGTCATCAGCGCTCGCGAATGAAGAGCGCCCGCTGCACTTCCTGCACATGTGCAGATCCTTCCGCGTCTTAAGGGTACTAGCGCTCGTTTCAAGCGTTTTTCTTCCACCGGGTCACGTGGCTACGCTTGTCTGGTCCTCTTGCCAAGCCAGCAAGGGCGTGGGAGGGTTGCGAGCATCATCGGTCATCGGCGCTCGCGAATGAAGAGCACCCGCTGCACTTCGTGCACATGTGCGGATCCTTCTGCGTTTTGGGGGTACTAGCGCTCGTTCCAAGCGACTTTTTTCCAACAGGTCACGTGGCTGCACTTGTCTGGTCCTATTGCCAAGCCAGCAAGGGCGTGGGAGGGTTGCGAGCATCATCGGTCATCGGCGCTCGCAAATGAAGAGCGCCCGCTGCACTTCCTGCACAAATGGGGATCCTTTGGTATTTTGGGGGTAGAAGCGCTCATTCCAAGCGTTTTTCTTCCGCCAAGTCACGTGGCTGCGCTTGTCTGGTCCTCTTGCCAAGCCAGCAAGGGCGAGGGAGGGTTGCGAGCATCATTGGTCATCGGCGCTCGCGAATGAAGAGCGCCCACTGCACTTCCTGCACATGTGCGGATCCTTCCGCATTTTGGGGGTGGTAGCGCTCATTCCGAGCGTTTTTCTTCCAACAGATCACGTGGCTGCACTTGTCTAGTCCTATTGCCAAGCCAGCAAGGGCGTGGAAAGGTTGCGAGCATCATCGCTCATCGGCGCTCGCGAATGAAGAGCGCCCACTGCACTTCCTGCACGTGTGCGGATCCTTCCGCGTTTTGGGGGTGAAAGCGCTCATTCCGAGCGTTTTTCTTCCGCCGGGTCACGTGGATGCGCTTGTCTGGTCCTCTTGCCAAGCCAACAAGGGTGTGGTAGGGTTGCAAGCATCATCGGTCATCGGCGCTCGCGAATGAAGAGCGCCCGCTGCACTTCGTGCACATGTGCGGATCCTTCCGCGTTTTGGGAGTGAAAGCGCTCGTTCCGAGCGTTTTTCTTCCAAAAGATCACGTGGCTGAGATTGTCTGGTCCTATTGCCAAGCCAACAAGGGAGTGGGAGGGTTGCGTGCATCATCGGTCATCGGCGCTTGCAAATGAAGAGCGCCCGCTGCACTTCCTGCACGAATGCGGATCCTTCAGCATATTGGGTGTGGAAGCGCTCATTCCAAGCGTTTTTCTTCTGCCGGGTCACGTGGCTGCGCTTGTCTGGTCCTTTTGCCAAGCCAGCAAGGGCGTGGGAGGGTTACGAGCATCATCGGTCATC